ACCGGGTTCCTACTTTGGAGTCCTGTAGCTCAGTGGTTAGGGCACTCGCTTTGCAAGTGAGAGACCTGAGTTCAATTCCAGGCAGAGGGCCAAACCTTGGGCAAGTTTCCTTACTCCACACGCCTAATAATAATCCCTCCAAAACCCAAAACAATAATAAATTGGTCATTTTCAATCTGCGACTGTTTGTGGAACATTGCTGTGCGCAATTGGCTGCCGGGTTCGCCCCCAAATATACAGTCAATTCACTTTACAGTGTATTCTGTGAAGCGCTTTGGGACGTCCTCCCGACGTGAAAAGCGCTATATCAAATGCAAGGATTATTTGCAAGGATTATTATTACTGCTAGGTAAACAGAAGCGTGCAGAGTAAGGAAACTTGCCTCAGGTTTTGTCCTACTTGGGAATCAAACACAGGTCGTCTCAATTGCGAGGGAAGAAAAACATCTTTCAATAGAATGGCACAATTAGGATTTCCTCCCTTTCCATTATCAGTCGACATACGGGGATTGAAAAGAAGAGACATATACCTTCTGCTAAAAGCAAGTGCAGGGGAGGATAATTATCTTGGAATCTTCCCAGCTAGTGTACAGAACCTGTCCTCTCCAGGGAAATGGAGCACAGATAAACATATTAATACTAAGAATCCTCGCATTTGACCCATTTGACCCTTGTTCTTGGAAAGAGTCAGTGGTTGATCCGAGAAAGAGCTTGAGTGGATTTGACAGAAATAGCAGTGCAACATTTGATTTAGGATATGATACTAAAATGCAAGCTCCGTGCTCATTGTTCGCATGTCTCGGCTGACCGGGCGGTCAGCCTGTTCATTCTAAGGTCACAAGTGAGTGTGGAATGAGATACGGCCATTGGGTCCACCAAGCTCGCTGCTTCCATAGATAATAAGAAACCTACTCTGTCTCCACACACTCTTCAGAAGGAAAGTCCTGTGCTGTCACTGCCCCAAGGTAAACCAAGTCTTAGTGGCTCAGCCTCTACAGGAGCTGGCTTGACTACCGAGGTGAATAGAGATCGAGATGTGTGTGCCAGGTGAAATGGGGGGAATTTCTCCAAGGAGTGATTTTGAATGTGTTTCTAGGCCTTCTTTCATGTTCTTGTATGAAAATTTGTATTGTATTGTCTTAAAGTTAAGAAACTTCAGTGTGTGGGACGTCCTTACAATGCGGAAGGCAAATTATAAATGCAATTTGTTGTTGTTGTTTCCTAAAATCAGTTTTAATAATTGTTCCAAATTTTAAGGCAATATCTGAAGGCTGAGACTATGAGAGATTTTGAGCCTCTGATATTTATGTAATTCCAAATATTTACCTGGTTAATGTTCACAGCACCAGCTTTTTTTGTTAGCTGGCAATGTATCCCTGGGCCGTGGGAGAAAACATTCTTCTAATTGTGAAATTTTTCCTCCAGTGAAAACAGTGTGAGGCAGGTACACTGCTTAATGCTTACATGAAGACCATTCTCCTAATCTGGGCACGTTTAGGATTTGAAAATATAGAAACAGAGAACAGGAGAAGGCCATTCAGCCCCTTGAGCCTGTTCCGTCATTCTATAAGATCATGGCTGATCTGTACCTTAAGTCCAAATACCCACTCTTGCTTTATATCCCTTAATACCCTGACCTAACAAATAGCTATCCACCTCAGTCTTGAAGATATGAATGGATCCAGCATCCACAGCCTTTGGGGGAAGAGAGTTCCAGATTTATGAAAATGAGACAGTGAATCTCTGTGAGATTTATGCTCAGACCTTTACAGTCAAACACATTTTACTTAAAGTTGAGTTAGAGATTCTCTTTTTAGTCTTCATCATGTCGGTAGTTTCAATGGATATCCTAGTAACACATTCAACAACAATAGCAACTCGCATTTATATGGATCCTTTCACACCTGATAGCATCCCTAAGCGCTGTACAGTTGGATGCGGAGTAAGGTAGAAGAGGAAAGGGAGGTCACTGTAGTCATTATCGAAGAAATAGGTCTCAAGGTGGGATTTAAGGTAAAGAGGAGGCCGAGTCAGAGGGATTGATGTAGGGAGTTTCAGGGCATATTGGCCGAAGGCATGGCCTCCATTGGGGAACCTGCAGCAGGCCTGTGTTAGCTGAGTGAGGGGAGTAGCCAGAAGAGTGGGATATGATTCTGAACGTGATCCTGTCCAACTCTATCCACCTATTACTGTAAATGGGGAATGTTAAAACTGACGTTGTTATAGATGTTTTTACAGCAGGTTCCCATGACCTGACTACTGCTCCAGCTGAGATCAACCTCCTCAGCACCATCTGAATCGTAGGCAGGTCACTGCATTGTCACTCACTCTGGGTATTGCAATTACTGTAGGCTACATAAATCAATCAGAGTTAGTTATTTATATGAACTACCCTAACAGCCTGCTTGTATATTAACCAGCATGTACACAACATGGTACTATCACTCTATTGGTTTCCTCTGTATTCAGCAGGCGCTGTCACTTGGTGACATGTGTACTAATGGTTGCTGAAGTGAGTTATGAAGTGTTAATGATTCCCAGGGCAGTCTGACACAGCCTCATCATTCTCAGCTTTCACGGCTGTCAGCAGGATATCGTTTTCACCGCAAGGACCCATTTAGCTTGTGACTGAAATGTGCCAAACTCTAAGAGCGCACTGGGGAGCCAAGCTAATCAAGTGCCCGGTGCTTGGTTATTCATTCAGTGAACAAGGCCTTTCACATCGAGCAACTCTGACCAGAAACTGCACCTCTGCCACTGAGACCTTTAATGGCTTTCCACTTTAACTGGCAGCTTATGGCCACTTGTCAGTGTTTTTTTTGTCAACCTAATAACAACGTTTTCTCTTTCTCCCCAGTCTTCAACTCCTGCAGTTCTGAAAGTGTGTGCACTCCACTCACTTCACCAAGTTTTTGCCTCTGAGGCCATTTGACTTGAAACTTGCGATGATACAGAATAATGAAATAATGAATCATTTGGAAGCCGATTCTTGTTTGAGACTTGCATTAAATCAATCTCCAGTTTTAAAACTGAATTAAAATAAAGTATTCCACAACATTGCATAATGTTAAATTTTAATAAAAAATATGCTACAACTAGATAAAAGTTTGGATCTCAAATGTCTACAGATTATTTGGGAGCAGAGGGCATCAGGCAGCTGAATCTGAACCTGCCTCACCTAAAATACATGCATGTATTTTATACTTTTCATCAGGGTCACTGAGAAACAGGTGATGTGTCTTGCAATGGAATATCGGAATTGAGACAATCCTCTGTGATGGTCTCAATAATCTGAGTCAGGGAGTTCCTCACTACTCCAAGATAGTAACAAAGCAGCCAGTTTGGTCATGGGCAGGGCTTGGAGGGACAGAGAGACCAGTCACTTCATACTCGGCTCCTGTTAACCCTGCAAATGTCTGACATGCAGGGTGGTCCTCGCTGGATCAGCAATATGAAGCTTGCCCAACAGTATTTGCAATAGCAAGCCAAGTGGGTTTAGCTGGTTAAACTCCAGCAGGACCAAAATGCACACACTAAGGTCCCCAAGTCTTGGCTGATGCCAACATGTGCAAAGTGTTTTGTTGGGACTAGTAAGCTGAGTGCAGACCCTCCAGAGAAAGTGTGTGCACTCCATTCCAGACAAATGGGAAATGACTGCTTATGTAGATCTCTCTATTTGGTCTGGACACTGTAAGCATGGCAGTGGGGTTCTACATGTGACTGCACTGCCCCCCACCCCTGCACTCCCTGCACAAATAAAATGTGCTGCAATCAACCCTCAATGCACCTTCACTTACTTTTAACCAATTATTTGCCTGGAACTCAATAAAATAATGTGCAATTCCTTCCCTCCTTCAATGTTTCCTTCCTCAGGCAATCTACAAGCATTTGAAGCTGAACCTCACATCTATTTCCGGTTTAGCTCACCCTCTCACCTCCTGTGTTCAGCCCTGCTGCTGCACTGTACTCTGCATCTTGACCCTTGCAGCTGGGACCTTAATTTAAAACTTGTTTGATGCTTCAAGCAGGAGGTTTTTTTGGTCAGCCAGGTGTCTGGCACATGCGGAAACCCTTCATCATGTTTAAGAGTATCCAAACCAACTGAGAATTCCATGCATCCATCCCACCTACACATGGAAATTCCTGAGATAGATTCTTGTGCACTCTCTCTCTGGAGGGATGCATTCTGCTTACATAACTCCGAAAAGTATTAGGCGCAGGTTGGCAAGAACCAAGGCTTGAGGACCCCAAAATGTGCATTGGGGTACTGCATAGCTTGCCATTGAGGCAAGAGATGCATCTAAGACAGCTATAAGACTGAGAATGTCCCAGTTTTAACTTGGCTAGCGACATTCTCTAGTGACTGAAACTTAATGAAATATATCACTTTTTGGAGGTTCACATTGAATCATTAATCGTGAGGCTGAGAGGCAGGGATTTTACTGCTTCACAACAGTGGGTTGACCAGAAATGTCCAGAAATAATCTCTTATTCCTCCCTCTTTCTGTTACTAAGACATACACACAATGAGGCGGGCCTACCCACCTTAACATTAGTAGATGATATAGTAAAGGGATTAACCTTAAGGCAGTACTAGGGCTAACATTTTACCCAAGTTTAAGTTCTCTATTACGGGAGCATTTCAAATTCTTACACCTAGGAAACCTCACATACGTCATATCGGTTGGGACCATACTTTTAATATGACTGATGCAAAGCATGGATTATGTCAAACTTGCATAGAATCAAAACTCTTGAAAAGGATATGGGCAGATGTACGACTTAGCTGGTTATACGATTTTTACAGATCAGACTTATGCCAGTTTTACTGTAAGTCCTTTAACTTTGAACCCAGTTTTCTGTACGATTCCTTAAGAACTACAGAAAACTGACTTCAGAGTTAAAACTGAATGCAACAATTTACCAAACTCTGAAATGCTACGTTAGAGTAAATCTAGACACGGGTGGAATTTCTACCCCTACATGCTCTGAGAGACTTACGTCAGTTGCTTTCTTCTCTGCTTCTTCCAGCTTTTCCTGAGCCTCTTTTAGCGATTCTGAATAACCATCAACGTCGTCTTCAGTTCCTTTGACCTTTTTCGCCAAAGCCATGTGCTCTTCCTCCACCTAAATATCAAGGGAGAGCACATTAACACATGATAATTCAACAGGAAGCAATCCCACATAGAGACAACTGGTATTTTTCCATAGTTATTATTTGATTCAAAATTATTTTGCTACAATATGAAAGTGATATTAAGTAAATGCAACTGAGATCGAATAAGGCTAAGATTTTTACACTCTTTGCATTGTTCCCTTTGAAGATCTCACAGTAGATTGGTAGGTTTCTTGACTTGTTAAGAAAGTAACAATTTGGAGTAAGTAACCATGGGTAAAAGACAGTGCAACCAATTAGCCAGGGCTTCTCTCGATAGACCAGAAATGGCACCTAGTCTTAGTCCGTGAGACCATTTTGTCTTAAAATTTAAGGTTGCCCAAAATAGTGCAACATTCTTGTAGTCTGTCTTCGTTTGGAAACTGCCTTTTTGCAGTTGTTAGAAAGACTTTGCAATTAAGAATGAATTGCATTTTTTTCCCAAACCACCTTAAATTTTAAGACAAAAAGGTCGAGAAGTAGGTGGAATTTCAGGCGGCTGATCGCCATTTAGTGACCCTCTGGGTGTTGGACAAGGACAGAATTGGCTTGGCCACCCTTGTCCCCAAGGTTAAACATGCTGTCAATATTCACCTGTGAATAATGCCCACTTTAGCAAGAAGAGAGCAGAGGTTTCATGCACTCATGTAAAACCTGTCAATAATCACCTTCAGGGGAGGAAATTGCTTGGAAGGGCAGGCATGCTAACTAACCAAAAGCCAGTGAATGTATTATACACCTGATATAAAGATAAGCTAGACAGAGGGTTGGGTGACAAGGGAGAAGCCGTGTACATTTTCACTGAAATATCACCAGTTGGGGATTGGCATTCCATGTGTTGTCTGCCACCCAATATTCAGGTTGTTCAGTGTGAAATAGGTTCACTTTTTATTTTGCTAATAAATCCTATGATACACATAGTATGTAATTCATCCCATCTACATTAACAGCTTCTGCAGGCAAGTCTTCTCAGGTAAAACTAAAGGATGGCAAATGAGCCAGAGAAAGTGCAAAAACTGCTTAATTATTTTTCTATTAACTTTCAGTGGGTTACGAATGGCAAAGCTGGGTTGGTTGAGGATTGGAAAATGTCTTTTATTCCACAATATTTCTAACTCCAAGCTTTAAAAATGTTAACCCAATGGCCTCTGGTTACAAGTAACAGGTTACCTCACTGTGGACAGAGACTCTTGCAGACAAACTGAATTTTTTAACATGGGTGGAGGGGTGGGGGGCGATGCAAAGTTTATAATAAAATTAAAACAAAACCATCAAAATAAAAATATAATTTAAATATCAAAATATAAAAAATAAACCACAAAATACAGAGTTAATTCACTTGCCAGTATATTCTGTGAAGCGCTTTGAAACGTCTCAATGACGTAATAAGGCGCTATAGTCAAATGCAAGGATTATTATTATCATTATTATTATTATTATTATCAAACCAACCAAGTTGCTAAGAGTTTCCAAGAGATGTAAAAAGTCTGTGCAAGTGCTGATGATGGTTTTGGAAGATTTAGGACAGAAATTGATGCCTAGGTTTCATTTTTTTTGCATACATTTCAGTTTTATCAAAACCTATAGTCAGAAATATTTCATACCCCTCTCAGTTTGTCTTCAACCACTTTCCTGTCAGCTTCAGCTTGCTCAGCCCTGTCGATGGCATTTTCCTTGTCCAGTTTCAGCATTTGCATCTTCTTCTTGATAGCATCCATGGCTGAGTTTGGGTTGGGTTTACCTTTTTAGATGAATATAAAACAAAATGAAAGCAGAACAATTCTGAGCTTGGGGCTGAAGAGGTCTGATCTGTTGTGCAGGAGAAGTCTGACAATTGCTGAGCTCAACTGGGGGTGGGCTGAACACTCAGTCCTGGGAGAGAGGGAGAGAGAGAGGGAGAGAGAGAGGAGGCTGGATTTAAGGAAAGAAATCAATTCCTTTTTTTAGGAAACAGCTGTATATGTGGAGTGGGAGAGGCGGATCCAGCCGGACCACTACCGTCTCATTACCGTCTTTGGGATCCGATGGAGATAAACTCGGCATCATAGAGAATGGAATGCCTCCCGTCCTAAAATACCCCTGGCTCCCAGCTCTCCTCGTCTACCACACACTCCTGCTCAGAGCACTGGCCCCTGGGCTGACAGGCTTCACCCCCACCCCCCCACACCTGCTGCTCACATCTATCTTCCACACAACAGCGGGCAGCAATAAATAATGTTCCCTCTCACCACCACCACCCTCCCTCCCTCCTTTGATCAAATTCCACCCCTTGTTCATTTCCACAGTTTACATTCGACTTTACCCCTAACTCCTATTATCTTCCTCCCTCAATATCACCTCCTTAAGTCTTAATGATAATAATAATAATAATCCTGGCATTTGATGTAGCGCTGTTCACGTCTTCCAGACGTCTCAAAGTGCTTCACAGAATAGACTGTAAAGTGAATTGACTGTATATTTGTGGGCGAAACGCGGCAGTCAATTGCGCACAACAGTGTCCACAAACAATCGTGGATTGTAGTGACCAAATTATTATTGTTTTTTATCTTGAGGGATTATTATCAGGCGTGTGGAGTAAGGAAACTTGCCCAAGGTTTCGTCCTGCCGGGAATCAAACCCAGGTCTCTCGCTCTCACCCAGGTGAAGTGAGCGCTCTAACCACTGAGCTACAGGACGCCACAGAAAGTCTTTAATCTTTCAGGACTGAATTCTCCCCTTTGATTTCACGAATAACAAATACTTAACACGTTCACAACTACCCAAATCAAATACTGTACTTCAATTTGAAATCAATTTGTGTTGATTTCATAAAAAATACTGTATGTACATTTGGTATTTGTCAAATCAACACAAATTGATTTCAAATTGAAGTTTGAAGTTGAGGGGCCAATCCAGGTTTATTACAAAAGTGAAATGTTAATAAAAAAAGTTGTTAAAAAAAATAAAACAGAAGCGAAATGTTAAAATACTAACTGTATTTCAAATCTTAAAAACTTCAAAAAAGTGTATAACACAGACACGGATTTTGTTCACAACAGATTCACAATGAGGAGGAAAATAGCCTCCGTAGGGTGTTTCCACTAAAATTATCTGCAACAACAACAATTACATTTGTAAAGCGTCTTTCACATCGGGAGGACGTCCCAAGGTGCTGAACAGTCGGGATCAGGACCAAGTGTGGGAGTGGGAGCAGGGAACGCAGAGTGGGCAGCTGAAGGCACGGTCAATCTACAACTTGGTCAAGACCTTTTCTCATACATATGTCACACATATATAGATGAATTTCCCACTGTAATGATGTTGGTACAACAACAACTTTCACTTATATAGCGCCCTCCACGCAGGGTAGCATCTCAGAGCGCTTAACAGTGGCGGAGCCTGACTCCAAGCCAGGGGGAGAGGTGTCCGTAAGCATGGTCAAAGCGGAAGGTTTTCAGGCGGAACTTGAAAAAGTGGAAAGAGGGGGCAAGGCAGAGGGATTGAGGGAGAGTGTTCCAGAGGTTTAGGGTGTATAGCTCAAAGCACGACTTTCAATGGTGCGTTGGAGGGTGCGAGGGACGAGCAGGAGGCCGGTGCCAGTCGAGCGGAGGTGCCAGTTGGTAGACTGGGGAGTGAGGAGATTGGAGAGGTAGGGAGGTGCCAGAGAGTGAATGGATTTGAACACAAGTGTGAGGATCTTGAAGTTGATCTTTGGTACCCCAAATAAAAAAAGACTAAAAAAAATGTAGTCTTCTCTGTATTCATTGGAGCCTCTGTCTGTCTTCATAACAAAGACACTGACTAACTGTCATGGGCATATCCAGGCTCCGATACAAAGAGAGAAACCCAGAGTTTTTTTTTAGTTTTTTTAAAAAAAAATGTAGTAACACTGGTATCCCCATACAGACATCATTTTAGACAGTGAGAAATCAAAAAAAAAAAACACACTAAAATAGCCCTCTGTGCCTATCTGTATCCATCATCCATTCTGTCTGTTCTTGTCACTCACTGGATAAAGAGAGACAGTAAATAAAAAATATTTTTTTAATTTGCTGCTGTCTGTAATGATGGGGATACCAGAGTATAATAATAATCCTTGCATTTGGTATACCGCCTTATCACATCTTCGAGACGTTTCAAAGCACTTCACAGAATATATTGTAAAGTGAATTGACTGTATATTTTGTGGGCGAAAGGCGGCAGCCAATTGCACACAGCAGCATCCCACAAAGAGTCGTGGAATGAGTGACCACATTTTTTTAAAAAAGGGTCTATTACTCCTGGAGAAGCAAAACACCAATCGACTGACAACCAGGTTCCCACCCACTGCTAGGCAAACAGGCATCTTTTAGAGATTGCAGCGCTTCCATCAAAGTGCACTCAAAATAGGACAAGTTTCTGTTTGATCTTTCATTAAAAGCCACATTTTGTTTGTTTTCTTAGTTAGCCCTCTTTCTTGTTTTGAACAAGTGCAATTTGACCGCTTTGTGAAACTGGTTAGCAACCCACTCTGGGCTGAACTCACAAGTATCAATAGAAGTCGCTGGGAACACTCAGCAGGTCAGGCAGTATCTATGGAGAAAGGAAAGTGAGTCAAAGTTTTGGGTCCACGATCCTTCGTCAGAACTTCGTTGAGTTCTGACGAAGGGCTGTTGACCCGAAACGTTGCCTCACTTACCTTTCCCCATAGATGCTGCCTGACCTGCTGAGGGTTCCCAGTGACTTCTGTTTTTGTTTCAGATTTCCAGCATCTGCAGTATTTTGCATTTTGTCACAAGAATCACAAAATTCCTTGAATGGGACAAGAATCTTGCTCCCCAAATAAGGTGACACTTGTGGTGGGGGGGGGAAGGAAAGGAAAGGGGTAATCACAGGGTAGACAGGGAGCAGGGTGGCCCATGTCCCCATCATTTAATCCCATTCTTCCATAATAACCGTTGATATTTTTAAATAATGTTGAAATGTCTCAAAGCACTTAGGTTTCTATATAGAAAAGTGACCGTATCTGAGATGACCTCCCAAGGTGAGAGGCGCTATATAAATATAGATTGTGTGATCATATTATATTACAGGTGAGTAAATTCCCAGTTTCCTGCATTTGTAGGGGTAGCCCACAAAATATGTAGCTCACAAAATATACAGTCAATTCACTTTACAGTATATTCTGTGAAGTGCTTTGAGACGTCTAGAAGACGTGAAAAGCGCTACATCAAATGCAAGGATTATTATTATAAGAATATTGGCAAAAGATAAATCTACACACTGTATTTAAAACCTTCGGGCTACATTTTGAAACTGATCTTAAAAGAGAAATGAACACACCTTTCACCAGTAATAATCTCCGCTCACTCACTCAGTCCACATGTACTATTGTGCTCTCTTAATGTCTCGCTCGTGTGATGCAGAAAGAACAGTATTAAAATCTTGAAGCTATTTCAGCCCAAGTGAAACCTCAACATGCTAATCGGCTGGCAAACAGGCATGAAAGGGATGATTGTCAGCACTTGGAATGTGACACCGCTGGAATCAAAAACTTTCAGTGGATTGATTCCAGGAAAGGTGGAGAGGGGTTTATTGGAGAGGAAAGAGGTCTTAGAAAAGAACTTCAACATTGAACTACATTTTAGAGTCCTGCTGGTCAGAAGTTTAGCTCTAAATTGAGATATTAGGTCTTGTGGTGAATGGAAAGATGTTGATATGTGTTGAAGTCTCTATGCCCGATATTTTTGCTGTTATGTTAGCTGCCCATCATTATTTTTTGCAGTTTGCGATACCAATCTAGGCAGTGTCTGGGGAGATGGGATGTGAGACTGAAAACCACCACCCTCTTTGAAAGCATGATTTGTTTAGCTGACGCTGGAGTAGTGATTACTCAAGAGTTCAGCTTGCTGAAGTGAAGCAGAATGAGAATTGTACTTAACGACCACACAGAGACTCATTTAGTTCAAAAAAAAAGCTGTCAAATGGATATCCATCAAGCAAATATTGTCAAAACTTTCTTATTATTGTAACTGTAAAAGGTGCTATCTAAATGTAAATTTCTTGTTGAATTATACAATACAATTTACATTTTTACAGCCTTTCAAGTCAGAAGAACGTCTCAAAACGCTTCACATTGCTGACTGGATACAGCTGGGGATGGGAACCGAGTGTGATGGGGGGGGGAGGGAGATAGATCATGAAAGAGCAGTGAGGAGGTACGTTTTGAGACAGGCCTTGAACGAGGGCAGGGACAGCTGTGTTGGAGAGACTCCAGGATGGAGTTCCAGAGAGTGGGGGCAAAATGGATGAAAGCCCACCCGTTGATGGTAGGTCAGATAAGGCAGTGGACATAAAACAGGCCAGTGTTCACTGAACACACCATATACAACAACTTGCACTTACCCAGTGTCCTTCATGTAGGATAATGCCTCGGAGCATTGTAGAGGGACAGAGTTTGTGCCAAACAAGGGAGAAGGGGGATGGCGGGGGGGTCAGGTGGGATTTAAAGATAAAGAGGGATTGAGACAGGGAGTTGCAGAGATTAGGGAAGTAGAGGCTGCAGAAAAAGATATACTGGTGCTGTGGAGGGGTCAGGGGATGCACATCAAGCCTGTGTTAGTTGAGCAAGGAGGTGAGCAGAGTACATGGGGTACATGTTTCCAAAATAAGCTCTCAACCCATGGATAAGCAACAACAACACATTACATTACACTTGTTTAGTGCCTTTCACGTCAGGAGGATGTCCCAATGCGCTGGGGGCACCTTGCAATGAACTACTATAGCAATATAGCTATATAATGTTAGGGGGGCTGAGGGAGTAAGTGATGACTCGTGCGGAGTATAAATACCTTCATAGATGTTTGGGCCGATATATTAAAGGTCTTCGGATTTGAGAACCCCTGTGCTCTACTCTTACTCAAGGCTCAGTTTAAAGCCATGCCCTTCTTATCTTACACTCACCGTCAATGTCAAATAGTCAGCTTGCATCGTCATCATCTATACTTCTCGGCATTTTAAAGACACAGATCACATTCTCCTCACTATTTAGTGAATAGCAACTACAGCTCTGTGGTGTCTTGGGGATTTTCATCTGAATCCACTCCAATACAACCACAGCCTTTTTGCCCAGAATTGGATGAGGTATTGTAAAGGGTGTCACCTTCAGATGACATGTTTAACTGAAGTCTTGTCTACCTGTTCAGGTGGGGGTTAAAGATCCCATGGCACTATTCAAAAAGACAAGGGAGTTTCTCCCAATGACCTGGTCAACAATCCTTCAGATAAAATTGGTCTTTCAACAGCTGCATGTGTTGGACATTGCAGCATTCAGGTTGGTTGCCACAATCATCCACAAATACACTTAACGCTTTGAGACATTTTAATAAAGTGATAAGCAGCTATATCAAATGCAAGGATTATTAATATTAAATAGAAGCCCATCAATGCTGAAATCCTAGTGAATCTATACTGTACCTTTCCACTGAAAGGCTGCATTTAAACAAGGAGCCATGGAAGAGGATAGGAGATTTACATTATCTTTATACTGGCCTGATGTGGAAAGTCTGAAATCGTAGAATTATACAGCACAGAAGGAGGCCATTTAGCCCATCATGTCTGTGCTGGCTCTTTAAAAGAGCCATCCAATTCAATCCCACTCCGCTGCTCTCTCCCCATAGGCCTGCAAACTTGTTAAATTCATACTTAATGAGAATCAACACTGCCTTCATTGATAGGAGTGCTGGCACTGGATACTCAGTAACACACTAACACATTCTCTAGTTTTACAATTCATTTGCCTCTGCTCATTCGATTTGTAAAATGCTGTCATCTCACTTTACAGTAAAATCTGTGAAACACTTGGAGATGTCTTCTCGATGTGAAAGGTGCTATATCAAATGCAAGGATTATCGGTATTTGATTATGTGAATAGCTGAGGTTGTATTTCTAATTGAAGGTTTGAGCGTACACAAAACTCTGATACGATTGTGATGACATCAAGACTTACAACATCAAATTATATTTGTGTAGCACCTTTCACGTCGGGAGGATGTCCCAAGGCGCTGGACAGTCAGGGATTTGGACCTGAGCTGGGTGTTGAGGTCAGGAGGAGTGAAGGGTAGGATTTGGAGGGTATGTGCAGGAAGGACATAATTTGCTGTAAACCACATTGCCACTGTCGGGTTTACATTGCCTCCTAATCCCGGGGGAAGGGGTTACATTGCCTACAGTGGGTCAGAACGCAGCAATGCCTGCAATGAGGTGACGCAGTCAGACTCTAACACTGCATTTCAAAAGCAACATAAAGGAGGCAAATACAAAAGAAACGCTGTGCAAACTCGTAGTGAAAACCAACTTTATTAAACTGCTTCAAACTTACAATAAAAACAAGTAACCATCCAACTAGCGCTGGAAAGTTGGTATTCATAAAAATGTTATTAGAAGCATATTGTATCAAAATAAAAAGTGATATTTTAAAGGCAATGGAGCATAAGTAACAAATTAAATTTGCAGGCTAAAATATGAACAATGAGGCAATTCTGTAAAACAGGAGGTTTGCCATTTTGGGGGGTAAAAAATTTAAAAGGCCTAAAAACATTTGTGTTTCCAGTAATAGAAACCAGAGTTGACGGGAATATTATCCACAACCAGTTGAAATTCCAAGTAATGAAGATTGTAAACTCTTAACGAACAAATAACAGTTTACAGTCATTTGTATCAGCAACTATTTGCAGAGTTGTTAAGTGCAGATAAAGGCCCATATTATTAATATTTAAAACCACCACAAACAGTTTTTAATTACATGAGATTCAAATGGAGGCACTTGTGTGAGCTACAACAGTGGGGCAATTTTAAGGTTATTGTTGAACCGTCCCAAACCCCATTTTCCTCTGCCCAAGACCCAAGACATGCTCTGCAAACCTGCAATTCTATTTGTTTGTTAGTTGCTGAATTAACACTTATAAGGTTTTGTTATAGGGAACACTTTAAAACAATATGACAAGTTTTTTTAAAAAAAAATTCTGGAGGTTAAACACATTTTTAAAGAAAACTGTTAAACGTTTCCGTAAAAAAAAGCAACGTTTATTCCCATCTTTACTGGAAACACATCAATTTGAAAGGCCAAAAAAGCAGAAGAAAGATGTGCTGCCTGATGTTTATGCACCCTGCTGAAATGCTGCACTATTTATGTACACCTGATTAAAAACTTTGAGACAAAGAGTAACATTAATCCAATCAGTATTTTTGACCTGATTTAAGACAACACTATTTCTGGTATTTAGAGGGCAAAATTATTCCATTACGAACTTTAACTGATATGTATAGTTTAGTCTCTGTGCAAGTTTAGCTCATGAATGTGAGGCACTGTTTTAGCTTTCCCCCATTGCACCGATAACTCATCTACATTAATTTTATATGATTTATAGTGCGTCTCACACACAAAAACCCTTGTGTATCATCTTTGGAATAATCACATATACCTTCCGACTCCATAGAGGTTAAAAAATATATCATACAAAAAGCTTCACAGTAAATTTGCAACACAGCATTAATACTGCAACTTTACATTTGCTTTCTCATACCATAGCGTACGCACGTGCAGAGACTTTCTCTACGATTAATAGCAAAATATCTAATACATTACTGAATATGTGCAGATGGATTGCTTATAGGACGCAGAAAGATACAGCGAGTGGATTGCACCTTTACCATACAGATCTAGAAAAATTGGAAAGAAAATCCATTTTGCATGAACTTTTTTTCCCCCCAACAAAATAAAAAAACAATCTGGTCACACAGATGGTCAACAGTTTGCCTTTCAGGACCAGATGAATTTAATCACCAGATATTTTGCCATCTGACTGCTGAGCTAGATCCATCTATGGCTGACCAGCAAAGACCATTAGCTGCTTTTAAATGATTTAGTTTAAATTAAAAAAAAAATTAGTTTTGTTCTTCTTCGCGAAGTTCTGAAGGGAGAAATTTGTATTGTTGCTGTCGGATGTGAGCTAACTTCTTTCGGGCTTCTTCAAGCTCTCTCTCCTTTCTCAGCATCTCTTCTTGGGCTGCAATAATCTGCGAGAAGAAAGAAAAAAAGAACCACCACAGTCAGCTTTGGTCCTCAGAGTGATTTCACATTGTGCAATAAGAGTGAAGACCATGCGCCAGTTCAAGCACACGATTCTCACCCGGGTCCAGGAAACACTTGCTCAAAGCATTTCTATACTGTCCCATCCTTCTGCCATTGCCAATGATCCAGTCAGAAAGAGCTGCAAGCTGCTCCAAGGACTCTGAATAATAATGGGTTGTGAGGTTTGCAATAGGGACTCCTGAGGTGACTCACACTCATTTTCCTTATTCAGGACCATTTTTCCTTTTCCTAACTCTGAGACACCAAGGCACATTGTGGAGCCCCTACTTGTCGCTCTGGCTGATAATTCAACTGTGATTCTAACCTGCAACCGTCTGATCTCATGGCTCACCTCTACACTGAAGATGCTTTCATCCACTTGGGCATCCCTAGAACATTTATTGTACTTCTAACCATGTCTTTCCACATCAGCTGTCAATCTAATACTCACTAGATCTGATACAGTGACAGAGATATTCCTTCTCCCTCTTCCACTGATACCACATGGAATTACAAGATCATCCACTTTTTACTGTCCAAATAAAGGGGTTACACAAAAAACCTAGATGCTACATCGGAGCAAATGACAAGCATCGGCTCTATGGAGAGTGTACATAGCCTACTCTCATGCATTGGTATTTAACAAACAAAACCAGGCAGCATTTAGTCTTCAGCAACTGTAACATACAGTGGTCCTGTTTCTATTGCTTATGCTGCAGTACATAGGAACAGAGGAACAGGAGCAATTCAGCCCCAGAAGCCTGTTCTGCCATTCTATAAGATCATGATCTGTACCCCAACTCCAATTACCCACCCTTGCTTCATATCCCTTGATACCTTTACCTAACACAAATTACTCTATTTATAACTATTTATAACTCTAATGTGCTACAGCTCAGAAGCTGTAGACCAGGGATTTAAAAGCAGAATCAATTTGGGACCTTGAACTCGAGTTACTGAGCATGGCTTACCTGAGCAATGCCACCGACCATCTTGCTCTTCACAACAACATTCTCCTCTTCCTGGTCATTGAACGCTGCTGCCTTCTGTGCAGCCTTCACCAGGTGATCTGAAGCTCTCTTTACAGCATTGCCTGCAGTCTACAAGAACACACACACGCACACACACAAACAGTCAGTGAAGCTTTAACAGTGAAACCTAATTACTCTATAACTGCTGAAGTGCTGTCTCAAAATTACAATGTATATATTGTAAACCTCGTGAAGTATATTGAACCACTTTGCAATGATTAGGAACACGTGTCTATGATTTGATGGAACCTGGAGACATTGTACAAAGTTTGTGATTTATTTCCACCTTTTGTTACATATTTATAATACACTTTATAATAATGGTCTACCACGTACTCAAGATGTCTCAGCGGATATATCGTAAAGTGGCATGACTGTGTTTATTTTGTAGGCAAACTGGTTTGGGAATACATCAAATTTGACACAATCTTACCAAAACAGATTGAACTACTGATCAACAGCTTCAGTTTATCTGACTGCAAAAGAAAGCAGGTCATAAAATTCACTGAATTCTTACACTGGGGAAATTAATTCTTCAATGCTTGGCTCCTCCGTTAATTAATCCCGATTAATAGGCACAACTGATTTAAACTCTTTCTGAAGGGTAGATGAACTTGGTAAACTAGCCGGGGATTGAGAACAGAACACAACTGTCTAATAATAATAATAATAATAATAATAATCCTTGCATTTGATATAGCGCTTTTCACGTCGGGAGGACGTCCCAAAGCGCTTCACAGAATATACTGTAAAGTCAGTTGACTGTATATTTGTGGGCGAACGCGGCAGCCAATTGCGCACAGCAATGTCCCACAGACAGTCATAGATTGAAAATGACCAATTTAATTATTGTTTTTATTTTTTGGAGGGATTATTATTAGGCGTGTGGAGTAAGGAAACTTGCCCAAGGTTTCGCCCTCTGCCTGGAATTGAACTCAGGTCTCTCACTTGCAAAGCGAGTGCTCTAACCACTGAGCTACAGGACTCCACTAATAAGAGGTTTGTTTAAAATGGAAATCTTCAAAGCAGGATTTGACTGAGCTGTTTGATCTGACAAAGCTGGTGCATTGTGAAATGAGTGCTGGCATCCTCTCTAAACATCTGAAAAGTATGACCATTCACGGGCTTCCGACAACAGCAGCTCTGCAGTGAGACAATGGATCAGGGCAAATATTTTGGATCACAAAATTCCTGATGTCAGAGATGTGACTACACAGTGCTTCTTGGTCATGTTTTTTGTGAACACTCCCCTCCTCCCTCCCGTGACCCTGGAGGCCCCACTCAATGCTGCCATCCGGCTCTGCCCAAGTGGCTATCCTTCACACTTGAGCTCAGATTATAAATGAAGGTTGGCAGGTTATTCAGTTATGAAGGCCATTCACAGATAAGCCCAATCCTGTCCCTCACGGACATCCAGAAGTGATAACAATCAGAAGCAGGAAGCCTGGCTAATTTTCTCCCTTCCTCACCCAGGGGACAGGAGGGATTTGGAGAGCCCTTACTGCAGCACTGGCTGAGATAACACCAATTCAGCACTATCACATACAAACTTCCAGATTGTGGTCAGATCAGTTTTACTCTAATTTGACACCAATTTAGGAAAGGAAACCAATGAAAATTAAAAACAAGGCGCTTTTAAATCGCTCCACTGCCTTGCCCCGCCTTACCTCTGTGACTTTCTCTGCCTTGTAGACCTTTCATTTTGACTGTGTTTGTGGTCATATTTCCCCCTCCCCACTCAGCTCAGGCTCCGTCTCTCTATGAAAAGCTTTGAGATGTCCTCCACCCATGAACGCCACCATATGAACATCAAATTGTTGTGGAGACTATTTTGTTGTTGTTGCTGTTTTTTTAAACCAAACAGTTTATCATTGTCTATTTGCACATTTGAGGGTCTTTTTGCATGAGCAATCCATCAGCGAGGGAGGTAAGTGGGGTCTCCTTGGAGCTGAGCTGGCTTCATGGGGATATGCTTGGCAACCGAATAGTGGAAATGAGTCAACTCTCTGTGGCAGTTTTGGTAGTCAGTTCCTGAGCCAGGCAGGTCCGTAGTATTCCAGCACACTGCTGATGACAGCACAGCCAGCCTGGCTCATTGACCAGACATAGAGAGGCAGATCAGTCACTGGGAGCAAGGACTCATTCCCCCTCAGCTCCTATTAACCTTGTAAGCCAAAGTCCGAACAGGTAGCATGGTCCTAGCTGGACAAGCAGCAAAAAGCTTGTAGACAAGGCTCTCAATAGCAAGTTATACGGTTTTAGCTGGTTAACAACAATAAAAGCCCTTCACTTATATAGCAACTTTCATGTCAGGAGGATGCCCCAAGGTGCTGGACAGTTGTGGGTTTGCAACCGAGCTGGAGGTTGGATTCTGGAGGGATGCGGGCCAGTGGAAAGGGGGGAAGATGACCGAAGATGCAGTCAAAGAAGATATTGAGATGGACTTTGAAGGAAGTGAGGCAAGAGGTGAGGTGAAGAGACTCCAGGATGGAGTTCCAGAGAGTAGGGGCAGATAGGCTAAGTTAAACCTCAAGCAGTACTCCAACTTACTCTCAAGTCCCTGTCCCTGTACCTCGACTCTTACTGTGCCTAATACTCTCTGGATTTAGATAAGCAGGGTTCATATTCCAGATGCATGGGACTCTCAGTCTGGTTTAGATACTCTTAAGCATGGTGATGAGTTTCCCACATATGTCAGTCAATCAGAAGACCCAAGATAAAGCTTGATGAACTAGCTGGCTATTACAATCTTATTATCATGTGAAATAACTGGGGAGGGGGGAAATAAAGGCAAATAGGTCCTTCCTGGGCTGATTTGGCCCTGAGGAAGCATATGTGACAAGCTGGGTTGGTCCACAGTAATCCAAGACACTGGTGTTGATTCCTATCAGCTTGTCAGGCTAATCAGTGAGGTTTGGGGGGGGTGATCTCAACCTTCTGAGTCAAGGCCCCAAAGGGAGGATCGAGTTATGTGGCTCAAATTACTAACAACAACTTCACAAGAGTTACTTGGAGTAAATCACAAGAGAGAACCAGATACAGAAAGTCCTTTGGCTCTTTTGATCTGATCTTAACCAGAGTCTAAAACCCATCACCTTGGTCTAATAACTTGGGGTCATCAACAAATGTTATAACGTTAGTGGAAGGAGGCGTGTATGTTAGGACGTCTTCCCACCGTGAAAGGCACTAAAGAAATATAATTTGTTGTTGAAGCATCGCCCTGCATAACATTTCTGCGTAATGTGAACTGACCACTGTGAGACTCCACTCCTCAGCTCAGACTCCCTCTGCACTCCTCCCCGCCATTCACTCTCACATTCTTCTTTCTGTTGCAATTATTCAGAACACCCCTTGGGCTTTAGTATATTGACTATTTTTGTGCTCCAAATTGCAGAGAGTGGGGTATTTATGAGGTTAAATATAGGACAGCGGCTTAACTCAACCAGTGTCCTGTGAAGTGGGAATTGGATCCTGCCTCGAGTTGATGTAAAACTTATTTTTGTCCCGCTGTAACTGAGCAGGTATTCAAGATGGCGGAAGAACAAAGAGCCCACAGACCAGACTATTGTGCTGCAATATGGTGTGGGGAGGGGGGAAAAAGGAAAATTATATTCAGATCTGAAAATAGTAGATAATCTGACCTAAATTCCATAGCATTTGTATAATCCCTCCATTGCTCAATCCCTCCAAAGAGCACAAAATTGCACCAATCTGAAATTCACGGTTTATCACCTTTTGATACAGACTTGGAAAGGAGAAACTGAAGAAGCAGGAGGCTTCACATCGAGGGAATGAGTGGCCTTGAGTTTGTATTGAATGGTAACAATATCAGCAATCACACCTAGAACAGCTAACTACAACCTTCTTGTCAGCATGTTCTGTAGCTAATCCAGGCAGTACCTTTATCCACATCCACCTGGAGAGTGGAGGACTTTTTCCACACAAACAAAAAAAACCCAATGCAGTTTTAACTGTGGCTGAAACCAGATGAAATATATCCCACACGGTATAAACGTTCCCTACCTGGAGTCGCTTCATGGCTTCTGAATCCTGGTCTGCCTTCACCTTGCAGGCCACCAGTAGCTGAGCTGTGGACGCTGCCACCTGTTTGGCTGAAGAGATGAGCTTTTCCTCGCTGGCGTGACCCTGAACTGCGGAATTGGCCGCTTCACACAAGCTGCTTGTTGCAGCGGCGACCATTCGAGCCTGTTAGACAGATAATCATCAATGAGCCATCATCCGAGAGAGAGGTCACAAACCAGTCATTCAAACCCAGAGGCACATATTTCACAGCAAAGCTAACCCTGCTCATTTTATGAGTCCCACCCTACCTCCGTGATCTCCTGTGACTCGACCAACCCAGCCACTCCCTTCACTGAGTGAACACCGGTCTGGTTCACATCCCCCACCCTTTCCATGCCACCCCATGGTGGTGAGCTTTCAGTCATTCTACACCGCTCTTTGCAACTCCTTACCAGAGTCTCTCTAACTTGTCCCCACACTTTCAAAGCCTACCACTGGACTTAACTCCTTACCTCTTTAATTTTACTTTTGGTTGACTTTCACACCCCCATCCTTCTCAGCTCCCCACCCCTTTCCCAGCTGTGCAACTTTGAAACTTCCTCCCCAGGTGAAAGGTGGCATATAAATGTAAATTGTATTTGTAATATCAAATTCAATTGATTTTACGTATTCTGAAACACCTGAAGGTGAACCTGCAACATTTTAACATGCCTTCATATGGCTAACTTGAGTCCAGTGCAGGATCAGAGAATTGGGAGCAAAATTCCTTACAAGAGCAATTGTATAAGTTGTATAAGGGAGAAGTCATAAAGCTACAGTTCGCTAAATGTTTCATTGCAAATATATACAATCAGAATCAACCACCAAATTGACCAACAACGAGGTGGGTGGGTGTTGGGGGGGAAAGCAAGAACCTTGAAGATTATACCTACCGCTGAAATCAAGCCTTGAGACCACTGGCCGTCGTCCACTGCGTTTGCTGGGACCGCTCCAACCTGCAAAAAAGGAAATGGTGAGAAAATGTCTTGAACATGAGCATGTGCAGTGTTTCATCAGTTCCCTCACTGCAGCTGTTCAACAATCCAGTCAGACAAGGACAGTTAGAAAAGGACTGGGGCGATAGTGAGGTTTACAAATCAGACGTTTCGACTTTGGGCATGACTTTATACCAAGTTCCCATTTGCCAGTTTAGCTGGATACTAAAGGTCCCCTGAAGCTTTGGAAAAGACAGAAGGGGAGATTCTCCCATTGCCCTGGTCGAAAATCCTCCAGATTAGTCATTCATCACATGACTGTTTGTGTGATCTTGCTATGTGCAAAAAGGCTGCCAGAATTACCTCCAAGTGCAGTCACTACACATTAATGAGACAATAATTACAGGCCAAACGCTCTGGAGGATTCAATGTGATGCTGCGAACTTGAAACTCGTCTCTTTGGCAGAGTGAAGGAAAAAATAAAATAATATTTCCACTTAGCGGTTTGTGATTGTGAATATTCTCACCTTGCCTTGAGCCACAAGCTCTCTCTGAGCAGCGGACGCAGCTTTCACGAGTGCACTGGTTGCTGCAGCGATGGACTTCGCTGCCTCCAGGATCTGTTCTTCGAAGTTGAGGCTTTCGTCGGCTTGCTGTCAAACAAACAAAAAGAAGATTTAATTTGTAAACGAAACCGATGACCATTAAATTCTAGGAGTAAATTCTGCCTTTCTCCCTCCATGAACTTTTTCCCCTCACCTCTTCTGAGGGCGTTGTCTTCTTTTGGCTATTCCTAGCAATACATTTCCAAGGTCACCATTGTCATGGACAAGTGCCCACAGCTCATGAGTGTTGGCAAACTGTTTCTGCAGAGGGCATCACAGCTCAGCCTGATTCTGTCCTCACCTGACGCCCACAGCCAGGTTAGGGGCTGTGTGTGTGGGAGGGGTGGGTGGGGGGATTGGAAAGGGGATGGGGAGAGAATCTAAGAATCGTGAGGCCCATTTCTCCTTCCCTAATCCAGGGCAATGCAGTCAGTTATAGCATTCAGCTATTGTTTGGTTCAGATCCGTAACTCAGCACAGTCTGGCATTCGAACTTGCAACCTTCTGGTTGCCTTGTACCCAATGAGTGAGACAAGAGTCCTGCACTAAAGTGTATTTTAAGTCAAACAAATTTGCAATGATCAAAATTCACCAAACAAATTAACATGAACTCAAGTGTAAAGAGGTGACCATAAGATGAATTGAAATAAACTGAGAAACGCTGAATATTTTACATTTGTAAAAACAAAATGTTAATTATGAAGTTAGCTGAGAAACTACACAATGCTCACGGATGAAGTGCTAAACACAGGGTTTCATTTACACTCACATTTCAATAAGGCACTTTTGAAATGCTGTACAGACAAGAAACTATACAAATATGTTTGATATATCGTTGAGTTTGAGTAACAACCTAACATAGCAAACATATCAGACAGTCGCTTGTAATAATAATTTGATTTGAAAAACGAATGGTTTTAATCAGTAAATGGACCTGAAGCTATGTCTCAGGCCTCGTAAATTTTTTTAATTGTTTTTTTGGTCGGCCGGGTATCTGACACATGTGGAAACCCATCACCGTGCTTAAAAGTATCCAAACCAAACTGAGAATTCCATGCATCCCATCTATACATAGAAATTCCAGAGATAGACTGTTGGGATGGAATGCGCACTCTCTCCCTGGAGAGACGGATCCTGCTTACCTAATTCCGGAAAGTATTAGGTTGGCAAGAGACAAGGCTTGGGGGAGCTCAGGGTGTGCGTTGGGGCTAACTGCTGGCCTCATAGGGCTCACAAATAAACCCCTCACGCCACGGAGCTATAGTACTAGAGGTCACTTGAGCCCCACGCTGCAGGAATGCAATGAAAACTCAGATTGCAGGAGCTGTGCGCTCAATAAGCCGCATTACATAATAATAAATAATCCTTGCATTTTGATGTAGCACTTTTCACATCCTGTTGGCGTCTCAAAGCGCTTCACAGAATAGACTGTAAAGTGAATTGACCGTATATATTTGTGGGCAAATCGCGGCAGCCAATTGCGCAAAGAGGTGTCCCACAAACAGTCATTGATTAAAAATGACCAATTTATTATTGTTTTTTTGTTTTGGAGGGATTATTATTAGGCGTGTGGAGTAAGGAAACTTGCCCAAGGTTTCGCCTGCCTAGAACTGAACCCAAGTGTCTCGCTTGCAAGTCGAGTGCTCTAACCACTGAGCTACAGGATTCCACATGGGGTTGATATGCAGAAGGGCAGTTGCAGGATTCCTCTCTGATGTATGCCTAAAGAGGCCCACAATTGGTCTCAATGTCCCTGAAGTGGATGGGAAAATTGACCACGCTGACGTCCAGGTGATCCACGCTATACTGCTGATCGGCAGTGTTTTCAACAATTAGGCTTACCTTGGGTTTCGCCCTTGGCTTCAGCTGTTCGAGCTTCTTGGCTGCAGCCTCAATAGCAGCAGCAGCTCCCAGCAACTCATTCTCAGCGATGACCGTCGGGTCTTCAGGATCTACCCATTCAGTGCCTGAGGGGTGAAACCAGAACAACCGCTTTAACAACACAACCCAAGCTATGGGAGATCATTTCCCTTCATCGGTGGCCTGCACAAAATCATAGTGTTTAATGTCTCATCCGTGCACCCTGGCATTGTGACAAATCATCCCCACCTCAATTTGAGGTTGGTTTGTCAGCGCCTTGGGACGTCCTCCCGACGTGAAAGGCGCTCTATAAATGGAATGTTGTTGTTGTTGTTGTTGTTGTCCAAAAGTGATCTACAGGTGGCATTTTATGCAAGAAACAGAGAGAGAGAAAAAAGAATAAGTCAGCCTCTTTGTCCCAAGCTAATTTGATACTCTGTGTTCCAGAGAAACAACATGCACAGATTTGTATTCATCCTCATCCTCCCCTCCCGAAGTGAGGTCTTTTCAATAGACTCAGTTGTACCAGTTTGAAAGTCGTTGCAAGCATTGTATGTCTGAGGTTTGCGCCATTTTATTGAACTCAATCTTACACAAGGGCCAGGAGTGGGACAGCAGCTTAGCACCATTCCTTGAAACCGTCCTTGCCACAAACACATCACAACCCAAGATGGCATTAAACCACATGGCACCACATTAGAACTTCATCCACTTGACTGGATGACTCTCTCCCTCCCCTTCCACCTCCCCCCAGTGCAGCAACTTCAACTGGTGGCATTCCATATAAAGAAATCAATTGACGAAGATATTATAATAATAATAATCCTTGCATTTGATATAGCACTTTTCACATCAGGTGGACGTCCCAAAGCGCTTCACAGAACACACTGTAAAGTGAATTGACTGTATATTTGTGGGCAAACGCGGCAGCCAATTGCGCACAGCAATGTCCCACAAACAGTCGTAGATTGAAAATGACCAATTTATTATTGTGTTTGGTGTTGGAGGGATTATTATTAGGCGTGTGGAGTAAGGAAACTTGCCCAAGGTTTCGCCCTGCCTGGAATTGAACTCGGATCTCTCGCTTGCAAAGCGAGTGCTCTAACCACTGAGCTACAGGACTCCTGATTCCTGACTCCTGATATTCTAAAACATTACATCATAACAAATTGTAAATCAGTGAACCTTACAAGACACTGACTGGGCAAACAATAACCTTCAAAACTATGAATATGTTGGGGTCTAGTCAATTCTAGGAATTTCTTAGTTTATGAATTTGTTTGTGTGCGTGTGTTTTTAAGCTTCATTTTTTTGCTTGTCGACTCCCGTAGTCAAAACATTCACTCAGCTAGATTGGAGAACACCCAACGCTCTCACTTTGCCAAAGACCAAATGCCAATTACATTAAGTCAGTGTTGAAGATATGAAGTATTTCTCTCCCCAGAATGTGTACGTGTGAGTGTGTACACGCATGCAAGGCTTGAACCAAGATTGAAGAGAATTGTACTGTAATTACATTATGCACTTGAACAAATAGATATAGAAGGATAACGTGCAATTTCATTAGGTTCATTGTGTAATTCAGTTTGAGGCTGTTTGTGGGACATTGCTGTGTGCAAAGCAGCTGCTGAGTTCACCTGCAAAATTCATAGTCACTACACTTCACAACATATCCCATGAGACATCCTCCTGACATGAAAGGAACTATATCAAATACAAGGAATAATTATAACTGTATTGGAGTTGAGGAGATCAGTGAGGAGAGCGTTGGGAAAGTACTCTCCTAGAGATAGTGCCCCGGATGTGGGATTCATCAGCGCTGATGGCAAAGGAGGGAGGGAAGCCGGCAATGTTTCAGAGAGGAAAAGAATATCGTCCCTCAATTCATGGGATCTGGGAGTTAAACAGTTCATGTCAAGGGCTATGCCAAAGAATGGACACCACTTGGTTAAGCTAGAACAAGCAACTGGAGAGAGCCACAGTCAAAGCACCTCAATGTTGGCAAGAGGCAGACGGTTTTAGTTTCGCCGACATGATGTGTAAAAAACGTGGGTTCCATTGGGACTTGATGTCAGACATGGCAGACAGACAGAAGAGCAATGACCCTGGAATCGAGGGGATACAAGTAGAATTAAATCATCAGTGGAGTGGACATGGATCAGCTGCAGAGCATGCTATGCATTTACCCTGCGAGACGTGGAGAGCTCAGAGTGCTGCTAATTAAAGAGTAAAATGCGATCTGAAATTAAACCCTTGGAGCTGCAATGCGATACACAAGCTTATCGTGTTCGACAGTCTCAATGCAGTGGGGATTTACAGACTGAATTGCAGCCTGAGATGAATAAAAGTTTCGCTGTTTGCAGAATTGTCTCCAAAACAGACCCAAGTCAAAGAAATACTGATGCGAATGTCTCACACTCACACCGACAGTAAAACAATAACCACCGCATTTGATTTAGAGCACTTCACGTCGGGAGGATGTTTCAAAACGCTTCATGGGATTTGTTGTAAAATGCAGCAACTGTGAATTGCGTAGGTGAAGCCCTATAATGTCTTCCTTTACCTCCTTTCCCTCTCTTTCCCCTCTTTAAATCACGACCGAGAGCATTCCTCTTCGACCGTGCTTACAGGCACCTCCTCCGTTTCCCTGGCTCGGAGTCAGGTTCCGCCACTGTTAAGCTCTCTGAGACGCTGCCCCGCGTGAAGGGCGCTATATAAATTCAAGTAGTTGTTGTCTTCTCTATTAGCTCAAGGAATCCTATTGTCCTGTGCCCCCCAGGCCCTCCTTACCCTTCATGGCCTCTGCGGCCTGGATGAGCTCAGTGACAGAGCCAGCTACACGTTTGGAATATGCGGCAAGTTGCTGCTTGAGTTCTGGTGATGGCTTTTGAAGAATCTGTAGAGAAGACAGACAAGTCCGAAAAAAATTAATTGTTTTGCTTCAATAAAACGTCTCCTTATTAATCCTCCTAAAGATACCTCAAAGCCGATATTCTGTTCCACACCATAAATTACCAGCTAATATCTTGAGGCATCTTCGAAGATTAATTTGATTCTCGGTTACCATGTCTATTTATAAACATCAGTAAAACAACGTAATTGAGGTGAGGAAATGTCAAACTTTTGCACTGAGCCCAAAGTGGCTTTTAGATCTCCTTTAATGTGAAAAATGGGGAAAGAGCAGGGAATTGGGATTAGAGTAGTTAGCTCTGCAATTTCTAAGATTCTATGAACCTGCTGTGGTTATTATAGCATAACCCTATCATTGCCGCCCTGTCTCCCTCAAAAATAAAATGTTCTTAAGAGTTATGCAGTCTTAATTCCAACTATTAACACAGTCACTTGGGGTCTTATTCATAATGCCCCCAAGTCCAAGTAGAAGGAGGCTGTATAAACACTACCATGTTTTGTGGAGCTTCATATTGAACATTGCCTCTTACCAAATCATAAGTAAACTAACAGGTAAATCTACTGCATTACAATCTGGGTAAACGAAGGCTCAGGATCCTATTAATGAGGGCAGGAAACCTGATCTTTAAGTTCTGCACATTTTGGCATCTTGATTTGACATTCAAAATTAAAGAGCAATGTAAACGAGAATATCAGACTGCAGAGTACACTATTACTGACAACAGATTTCAAACCTACTTTGAGAGGGTAACCTTTTCTTTTCAATTTGAATTTTAAGGCAGAAGCAAATTCTGCTGTAAAGAAAAAAAGTTTTATCCTTTCCCGCTTTTATCATGTGTTTTCTCCTGTTTAAGCCACTGAGATTGTCTTTGACACAAGCTATTTTGATGTTAAACCTTCCTCCCTCTGTGCTCTGAAATGTCCTATAAAGGGAACAGCTGACTTATTTTCCATAAATTGCTCATGGCTTCCGACATTCAGCTGTCATCGCCTTCATTTAAAGAGCACAGGTTGATACTCAAATTCCTCTCCCTTCAGCAAAGCCAAGGCTGAGATCAGGATCTGATCTGAAATGAAATTACTACCAGTGCGCAACTTTTACAGGCTGAACCCCCCCCCCCCCCCCGCCCCCCCAACCCCTCCCCCATTGAATACCCTGGATTGCTGATCGTGTGGGTGTACTGTGGACCATACACTTCATATGCTGAATAACAGACTTCCTGCATGTTGCATTCCATTTGCAAGAAACATCACCCAGTCATCACTTTGTGAAGGAAGTAAGGTCAGGAGCAAGATAATGATCCTGGAAGCGGTTGACCGGTGGCCATTTTGTCCGCATGCCTCCTTGTAACACACGACCAGAGCTTACAGACCCAAGACCATGTTATAAAGGTGGTGGTGAGCGAGGGAGGGGCGGCAATAATGAGCTCAATATACAATATTTCCTCCACCTGCTTTCATGGCTTTTGGGAAGCAAATATCAAAAGCCATTGAATTTGGGAATATTCATAAAATGGCTAACCAATTTCAACTGAGGCAGAGAGCTTGCTGGATTCAAAAACATACAAAATTTAGCCCATAAAAATCCAATTTGCAAATATCGCATATTAGGCCTCAAATTTGAATGGATTTTTGAGTGACAGCCAACCCAAAAGAATCTCGGAAATCTCTCTATACTCACTGAGCTTATTACTGACAAAGCGGCCCAAAAATAATTCGCAATTCTGTGCATTCTGTGCTTTCATCAAAAAAATGCATGCAATGGAGCTGGAAATCAGAACACAAGCATGCCATAACACATCTCAGCACTAATCCACAAGCCAGTGCTGTTTGCTCAACACATTGTATTTCCATCTGGTGCTATCGATATGTTATGTTTGACCAAGCTCCACACAGCTGAGTTTACATAAAGTAACATGTTAGTAGTTCAGGTTAGGGAGGGGGAATTCAATGGGAAAAAAATTATCATTTCATCCCTGGAATGAAACTCCACCGTAAGAAGTGAAATTATATTTTTTCAATAATGCAGACATGACCTATTGATATTACAGTATATAGAGCAACTGAATCTATTCTAAAACAAGCTCACAAAAAACAGAATTCATCCCCTAAAGTGGTCAACTCCAAGCATCCTCTCACAGTTGTAGGGAGTGGAATTTATTGATATTTCATCATATTTCTAAAAAGGTTGGAAAATGGACATCAGATTCAATGAACTGGGTAAAATTTATCAGCAAAGTTTGGTGTGGTGACGCCGTGTGTGAGAACACTCTGAAATGTTCAATTAAATTACCATCCACCCTGAAAGTTAGTTTCCTCCCAAGAACCCACAGACAGAAGGGGCAACCATCAGATTGCTAAAGTTTTTGTTTAGTTAAATTAGCAATAAAACTACTCCATTTCACCCTTTTTTTCCCACAAATATTCATTAACCCCCCAACACCAGACCCACTAGGAACATTTCTTAATATGGTAAACAGGATCCTGGATAAGCTCTCCCTCTCCTTCCCCTCCACCACCCAATGGGGCAGATATAAGTTAGACTAAAAATCTCTGCTGTTAAGATTGACTTTGTATTTCTAGCCTCAAGGAGACACTGCATGTTTGGTCAGCCATATGATTCTGTCCTACAACTGCATCTGGGATGTTGACCACTGATGGAATTAATGCTACGCCTCTTCTCAAGTTCCCGTTCCCTATATCTGTACACACTCATGCACAAGGAGTGAGAGCAGAGGCACATTGCCTGCTGCAACACACTCAGGGCTACTCACCGGCTTTGAAATAAAGAGGAAGGAAAAATATAAGATGGATGGGGTGGGGAAAATAGAAGAAAAGAAAGGGGAAACAAAACACATAGGTGATTCAACAAAGATGTAATGCAACAAACAAACAAACAAACAAAAAAATGTGGAACGATGGAAGGTTTGCTTTTTTTTAATAAAAACAAAGTCGAAAAACATATTCCCCACTTAGGTCCTTGAGGTGCCTGGGATTGATGCTGAAATGTTACTTTCCAAAATTATTCTCTGACACAATGATAGCACCCAATCTATATAGGAATAATCCTTGCATTTGATGCAGTGTCTTATCACATTGTCAAAACGTCCCAAAGTGATTCACCTGATTTAATGTAAAATGCAGTGACTGTGTTTTGTAGGCAAACTGAATTAACAGAATGAAATGAACTTATCACGGGTTAGTTTACACTTCCCAGAAGCTCTCTGAAGAAAGTGCATTCTTCATTTTACACTTTAAAATGCATATTTTAATATTAAGATCCTCAAAGAATTGAACAATCAAATGCAGAGGGTGCTTTCCTTGCTGAATGTTTTTCTCTCTTATTAAAAAAGCTAAAGCTCTACAGAATTAACATTTTGGATGGATGCTTTCCCCCCACTCCCTACATTTTGAGAGCAAGGAGAATGAAAACGGAGAGAGAGAAAAAAAAAGTTTGACCTTTTAGAAGAGCTTAAACCATTTAAAGCACGCTGCAAGCTCGCCAATACTTACAACAAGAACGTGCTCCAAAAGACCCAGATATCCTTCCGAACATTCTTTGCCAAAACGCAGGGCGCGGGCGCGAACATCTGGGGACACCTCTGGATGATGGGCTGCTTGCTGCAAAGAAGTCAAGTGAACAAAACATCATTATTACATATTTAACTACTGAATATAGCTGCTAGTTACGAGTACAACACCTGAAGGTGGGTACACAAGCACTCAGCCAGCACCTCTGGATTTTATATCTGAGTAAAAGTCGCCACCTGAACTGGTCCTTCACAAGTATTTCAACTCCCCAAAGGGCTCAATTCACAAAGTTGCTGTTGAACACAAAACTGAGCTGTTACAGACCGAGAAGACCCCAGTTTCAATTTTGGCCAGTGCTGAGTTTGCTGATCTCAGCTGGAGCTACAATTGACCACAATGTCCCTGGGGCTGAGCAGAAGAGGGCCGTTTGTGTACATGTGCGAGACAGAGAGAAAGAAGAATGACACAGTCAGCGTTAAAGTTCTTGACCATATCCAGTGACCATCCCTTGATGTGACTACACGTGGAGGTCGAGTGTGGACAGGATAGGCTCAGCTGCAATACTCTCAGTGACTAAATATGTCATTACCTAATGTTCAGGATTGCAAATGAAGAGCAACAATTTGGGTGAGATACTAGTCAGCCAATTCCTTAGAAATTATCATGGTCAGCCAATGCTAATAATAATCCTTGCTGATGTGGTACCCTTCACATTAGGAGAATGTCTCAAAATGCTTCAAAGGATTTACTGTAAAATGTACTGACTTTGCATAATTGATTGCTGCGTTCTACTACAAAATACAACGTCCCACAAAACTGCCATGACCAATTTTATTTGTGGGATTGTTGGGCAGGGGGAATCTCCCACTCTTTTCAAATAGTGCCACGGGACCTTTACGATGACCTGAATAGGTAGAAGGGACCTTGGTGTAACATCTCACCTCAAGTACGGCACTTCCAACAACCCTCAGCACGGCACTGGAGGGTCAGACTGGACTAAGTGTGTTCAAAGTCTTGATGTGGGGCTTGAACCCACAACCCTCTGATGAGGTAGGAGAATGCTACCAACAAGGCCAGTCTGATGCCCGATGATATAAAAAAAATACTACTGGTATTGCAGCTAAGTTACCTTGCAAGAGTGAAGCATCTCCGCGATAGCTTTGCGACTGAGATTGGCAGTTGCAATGACATCCTCTTGACGGCAGGAGTTTCCTGCTGCCACTGCTTTAGCTGTTGCAACGGTAATGCCTTTAGTCATACGGATGAATTCCTCAGGTGTAGAGGTGTGTGGTGGCGGATCTCTGGAGGAGAACACCTGAAAAAAAACAAGGGGATCGTCAATGAATTGGCAAAATCTTCCATTCACCTTCTTTATGCTGTCCCTTCCCTGCCTACAACATATATATTTAATGGCTGGAAGTAAGACTTTCACAACTCCAACCCATGACCTGTGTCAAAATAGTACCTGCAGATGATCTTCAAGCATGACAAATAACAAATGTAATTTGTAATCAGATCACCCCTCAACCTCCTAAACTCAAGGGAATGTAAGCCAGGTGTATGCAACCTGTCTCATAATTTATTCCTTTAAGCCCTGGTATCATTCTGGTGAATCTGCGCTGTACCCTCTCCAGAGCCAATGTATCTTTCCTGAGGCGTCATGCAGACCAAAAGGTCGCAGGACTGATATTTTGTCTATGCTGAATTAGATGCACTCACCCAAGGTCACAGTTGGGGATTTGCAATCGAGATCAGAGTTCTAAAGATAATGTTAGGGTTTTCACTTCTGATAGCTACGCAGACACTCCTACTGGAAGGTATCCATTAGGACATGAGGAGAGGACAATTTGCCAACATTCATTGTCAAGGCTCTCCATTGCATTTAGGCAACAACAACAACAAGATTGCATTTATAGAGCACCTTTCACGTTGGGAGGACGTCCCAAGGCGCTGGACAGTTGGGTCGGGACCCGAGTAGGGGGGAAATGGTCAAGGTGAGGGAAGGGAGGGAGGGAGCGAGGAGGGGGTAGAGAGTCGAGAGGGGAGGTGAAGGCACGGTTGAAGAGAAAGGTCTTGAGACCGGCCTTGAAGGAGGAAAGGGAGGAAGCAAGGCGAAGGCACTGGGGGATAGAGTTCCAGAGCCTCGGGGCTGAGAGGCTGAAAGCCCCGTCACCAATGGTAGGGCGGGGGATGTGGAGCAGACCGGTGCTGGAGGAATGGAGGGTACGGGCAGGTAATTAGGGGGATAGTAGGTCGGAGAGGTAGGAGGGAGCAAGGCCGTGAATGGCCTTGTAGGTGAGGATGAGGATCTTGAATTCGATCCTCTGGGGGATGGGGAGCCAGTGGAGGCGAGCGAGGGTGGGAGTGATGTGTTCCCGAAGCCTGGTGCGGGACAGTACACGAGCTGCAGAGTTCTGAATGACCTGCAGCTTGTGGAGGGAGGTGCCGGGAAGGCCGACGAGGAGAGAGTTCCCGTAGGTGAGGTGATAAAGGCGTGGACCAGTGTTTCAGCAGCGTGAGGGGTGAGGTAGTGCCGTAGTCTGGCGATGTTCCGCAGGTGGTGGAAGGCGGTGCCAGTTGTGGCGCGGATGTGGGGAAGAAAGGACAGCTCAGGGTCGAACAGAACACCGAGGCTCCTGACTGGCTTTGAGAGGTGGAGAGTGCAGCCTTGGATGCTGATGCTGTCAGCGCTTGAGGAGCGGAGGCGCTGACGTGAGCCAATCAGGAGGGCCTCAGTTTTGCGCACGTTGAGCTGAAGAAAGTTGTCTCTCGTCCAGGACTCGATGTCGGACAGGCAGCTGTCAGGACATCGGTGGTCGTGGAGTTGAGGGTAGAAGAGGAAAGGTAGAGTTGGGTGTCATCCGCATACATGTGGAAGTTAACCCCATGTCTGCGGATGATGTCACCGAGGGGGAGCATATAGAGGGTGAAGAGGAGGGGACTGAGGACAGAGCCCTGAGGGACACCGCACGAGACAGTGCGGGAGCTGGAGGAAAAGCCGTTAGCGTAGACAAAATGAAGACGGTGGGAGAGGTAGGACCTAAACCATTCAAGGACAGGGCCTTGAAGGTTGAGGTGGGAGGACAAGCAGTGGAGGAGGATAGAGTGGTCGACAGTATCGAATGTGGCCGATAGGTCGAGGAGGACGAAGAGGCAGAGGGAGCCCTGGTCTCAGATGGTCAAGATGTCATTAGTGATCTTGACCAGGGTGGTTTCCGTGCTTTGGGCAGCACGGAAACCCGACTGGAGTGGTTCAAAAAGTGTATTAAGAGGGCCACCATTATATTAAGAGGGCCCCCATTGATAATAAATTTATTACCCAAAATAATAAATTCACTCAATTCACGAATGTTTGTGAGACACTGCTGTGCGCAATTGGCTGCTGCATTTCATCCAGAAAATAGTCAATTCACTTTACAGTATATTCTGTGAAGCGCTTTGAGACATCTTGAAGATGTAATGAGGCGCTATATCAAATGCAAGGAGTATTATTATTGAACTATAATAATTTATGCAACTGATACAGAGCTGGTGATGTCGAAAAGGGTGAGTATTTGCAGGCACACCCAGCAGTCAATCTGCACATAGCAATGAACTTGAGGAGAAGTGGGGGGCAATCAAGAGAAGTGAACAGAAGGGGGAAATTTTCCACAATAAGGAAAATCTAGAAATATAAATACATCCGAAGCAACAAATCACAACTTACATTTACACAAAAAAAATTAAAAAGATCAACAAGGAATCTACAAACCAACTGAAGTCTTTTTTTGACAACAAAAAAGTGCCTCGGAGGCACAGAGGTTCTCTATAATAAGCAGCGCTTTGCTCTTTTAAAGAGACTGAATGTGCAATACATACTGCAAGCTCCTGACGGATGTGCTCAGTGGTCGCTTCCAAGGCTCTGGTGCCTCGAGTGGCTTCATCTTCCACCGCCTTCACTGTCTTCAGTAGAGACGTCACATTGGTCACCATAACCTAACATGGAGAGATTGAGAGGACAGACATCAGTGCTCATTAAAGGCATATTCTTGCCTTTAAGTTGGTGTGTGTATTTGTTTGTGGGAGGAGGAGGGGGTGAATGGAAAAGGGATTGTCATTAAGAGAATGAATAGTGAGTTTCTCAGTCACAGAGGGAGAGACCCACACAATACATCAGCAACAAATTCTTGCATTTATATAGTGTCCTTCACACAGGAGAGTGGCTCAGAGCGCTCACACACAAAGAACTGCCACTTTAAACAAGATACCAGAGGGCACCTGTGGCACTGTACACCCTTACACAAAGCACTCATGCATTTAGGAAAGGCATGGAGTGAAGCAACAGATTTAGGGATTTCAACTACACCAGACACGGGGTTTTGTTTAGCAATCTCACCTTGGCCGCATTCTTGAGCTGATACATGGACGGATCATCCGGAGCCTTTCCAGCGGCGCCCTTTGTGGCACTGATGAGATCTCCCAGGGCCTTTGCCACATCTTTCACCGCATTGATCAGCACGACCTGAACAAAGACAACAAGGGGACAGGCTGGTCACCACAAACATAAACCTTTACATCACCTAACAAGATCCTATAAGCACAATGCTGGCCATTTCACTGTAGTTTGCTGCCATTGTAATCACATTGTAATCACAAGCACAGTTGAACAGTTCTCAGTTGGTCAGGTTTTGGACCATAAGGGGGGCAGAAAGCAAAAAAAAACAACCTCAAACGAAACCCGGGGGTGGGGGGGGGGGCAGCATGGTCAAAGGTGAAATTATCAGAGTGAACAGATAAAGAAAGATTCTAAAATAGGAACTGAATCACAAGATAACCAATTTGCCACAGTAACCACACTGGCAGACAAGGCAAGCTTGTTGAATATTTTGTTTTACAAAAAAAATGAATTTTGTATCACAGAATCTTCATGCAAATTAAGCTCCTGCTGCCAATGCCTATTCAGTGTAGAAATATGAGCAGAATGATCTGTGCTTGTGTTATCGCACTAACCAATGGTGCTGGACTCTACAGGGACATTACACACAGGGTATTCAACTGCCGCAGTGCACAACAGCACCAAACACTTAGGTACTTGGTTGATTAAGAATTCAATGGCCAATGATCACACAATTTAATATTTCAGATCCAACGCTACTCGTGGTGGACTGAGGTGGTTTTACGACCAATGTGACAAGTTCTCCACTGTTCACAGCAACTCAAGTTTTAACAGAGAACCTATACGACTGATGCAAATATAATCATTACTCTATTAAAATACTAATCCATTGTGACGACTAACTTTGTGAACAAATACCCGGTTGCAGCCACACTGGGCTTGCTGGAATGAGTGATTGCTTGCAACAAGCCAATTTCATTGCTTACAACGGTTTCACTGCTGGTTAGGTTACGTGATGTGCCAATGCTGGCAGAGCAACTTTGAGTAACGGGAATTTACATTTGCAGCAGCATCACAAAATGTGAAATATTTCCTACCCTGCTGTTAAGGAGTTGCAGCATGAAGTGATAATTATTTAACACCCCAAAAGGCACTGGTTTCACTTATCATTCCATTTGAAACAAAACTAAGAAACCTGCAGTGAAATGATATGGCGGCTGAAAGCGGTTGTGTGGCAATAGAAAATACGAAACATATGAAGGTGACTGTAACTTTCAGGGAAACCAGCTGTGCAACAACAACCAGATGTGCAACCATTACTAGACTGAACCAATGTGGGTTTTCCATTAGGAAAGAACATTTTAAATATATCTGTGTGAGTGCAGCAAAACACGCATAGATAATTATTTGGGGAGGACTAGTTTGCAGGGCTATGGGGAGAGCGCGGGGGAGTGGGATTGAATTGGATAGCTCTTTTAAAAGAGCCGGCACAGACCACGATGGGCTGAATGGCCTCCTTCTGTGCTGTATAATTCTACGATTCTATGAAGTTTGATCTGTATAAATCATATAATCGACTAAGTCCCATGTCAAGAGTTTATATTCTATGTAATTTGACATAACTCATACTTTGCATAAATCATATTAAATGTAGGGTTCTAACTGATACGACTTGTGTGAGGTTTACTGTAAAGACATTTTGGGGCTCAGGTGGCAAAGAGTATGCAAACTTATGGTTTACCGTCCAGCTCGGGTCCAACTCCTTAACTGTCCAGCGCCTTACAACAACAACAACAAGATTCCATTTATTGAGCGCCTTTCACGTTGGGAGGACGTCCCAAGGCGCTGTACAGTTGGGTCAGGACCCGAGCATTGGGGGGAAATGGTCAGGGTGAGGGGAGGGAAGGGAGGGAGCGAGGAGGGGGTAGAGAGTCAAGAGGGGAGCTGAAGGCACGGTCAAAGAGAAAGGTCTTGAGACCGGCCTTGAAGGAGGAAAGGGAGGAGGCAAGGCGAAGGCACTGGGGGATAGAGTTCCAGAGCCAACCTTAGGATGTCCGCCAGACATGAAAGGCCCAATCCAAATGTAATTTGTTGTTGTTGTTATAGGCAGAGCAGGCCACCCAAAGTGAACAAAGTTTCGAAGAGTTAAAATAAAGGGTTTTTCTTGCAAGAACTTTTTACCTGTGTTTCAGGATCTTCAGAGCCCAGACTGGCAGCTCCTAACTTCACAACCTCAGCCAGACGAGTAATAGTGACAACAGAGGACTGAGCTGCGTGGGCCAGCTTCTCCTGACTCGCGGCAGCTCCCGATACCAGCAGTTTGGTGTCTTCCACCAGAGCTTTAGCTGTCTTCAGGATATGTTCCCTAAAAACGGTGAACAATTTTATACATATATATATCTTAAAAAAAAGGCCAGAGCTGTGTTTTTTTTTAAATCACTAAGAACATTGTTCAATAATTGTTGCATTTGATACAGTGCCTCATCACGTCATGATGACATCTCAAAGCGCTTCACAGGATTTTACTGTATTTGCAGGCGAATACGGCAGCCAATTTGCGCACAGAAACCCACAAACTCCCACAAACAGCCATGAAGTGTATGACCAATGTTTATCACTGTATGGAGGCCAAAGAGGGAACTTTGCCTGATTTTCTCTCTCAATTTTTTGTTCTCCTCCCTTGCCCATGGTCACTGAGGACAGCTGTCCTGTCTGAGGATTCACGCACACAGAATTCAGTGGGCATTACTACCAGCATTTGCTGATCAGGCTCAAAAAGGAAGCATTAGGGAAAGAGGTGCTGAAAGGATGGGAGGTGCCCATGGTACGGTTTCACAAGGTGCCTTTACTCCCCCTCCCATCAGCCTAAACATACTCTAGGTTACATTATAAACAAGTTTAAGTTTAAGCGCTCACTACATAAATGGAAGTTGCTGTTAGAACATTTAGCTAATCAGCATACGGGGCTCAGAATATTTAAACAGGTTCAAGAATCTGAATGATCCTGTCTGATCCAGGTGATTATTACATGAAGCTGAATTGGCATACAGATGAAAATTGGAAGCTGAATTCCAAAAAGGCATTAAAGTAGCTTAACAACAAGAATTTGCATTTATATAGTGTCCTTCATGTGGGGGAAGTGTCACTCAGTGGTTCATCAATGTCCAGTGCCTTGAGGTTGTAGAACACAGGTTCCTAACCAAGTTACTGATCTCAGTTAAACCAGTGGGTGGGTGGGAAGAGTGTAAGTTTCCCAAGCTTGGAAACAGTTTCTTTGCCCTCCTCGATGGTGGGGTACTACTCATGGTTGGAAGGAGCCAAGATTGAAATTCTCCAAATGACTCTCAATAAAGTGATGTGTTACACAGTTTTCAGAATATAGTGCGCTGAATTCCCGATTTGTATGGCGCCTTTCACGTCCTCCCGATAACCAAATGTAATCTTGTTGTTGTTGTTGAATTGATGGCCCCAACGAGCAGAAGAATGTCAGTCGAACTTACCTGTGATCGGCGAAGGTCTCTGCGTTCTCTCGGTTCAGTGTGCCCGCCGTAGCAAACATGATGGTTGTATCCAAGTCAGCAATGATGCCAGACACGGTGCTGGCAGCAGTAATACAGGCTTGGGTGCCACGGTTACCTGCCTGTAAGGCTGCCAACACGTGAGAAACCTATCGTCAGAAAGAAAACACAGTGTAGTAAATTACCATCAACAGATACTCAGTTGACTCGGATTGAATTTCGCCCAATAGCACCTGGTCTTCACAATAGTTCACTTTTTCAAGCCCTCCCCACTTTCTCAACTGTTTCCTTAACAAGTCCATTGCCATCACACATCCTCCCTCAGTTTCCACACAGGGTTTTGACTGTGGACTCAGCCACTATTGATCACATCTCATCTGTGCTGGGGGGACAGCAGGGCAGGCATTCTGAAGGGATGAAATGAAGGGCCTTCTTCATCCGAACTGTGTGATTTAAGTAGCAGTACCCATTCCTCTGTCAAAGGCCAAAGGTTTGCTCCTATTATACTGACACCCATCCATCAGCCTTCTAGGCTGAAAGTAGACAAAATGCTACTGAAGCAACAACGATTGCATCGGGTAGCACTTGCAGCGAACTTGTAATCATCTGATCAGAAGTCAGCGGCTCGGCCCATTCTGAGCTAACCAGCTATTAGAAGGGGCATTTTTACTGCATCCAGAACAGTGGATCAAAGCATTGGGACAATTTGTTTGGAACCAAGTTTAATAAAATTACCCAACAAATTCACCAAACACTTGCAAACGTTAACTTATTTTTACATTCATAAATTCTTTACCTTTTCGGACACCTTGCGGGCACATTCAATGAGTTCTTTCTTGGTAAAAGTGTCGCTAGGGCTACATTGGAGAGCACCAGCCTTGAGAACCAGTGAAGCACAATTGTGACCAAGTTCTTGCACACGGTTCTTTATGTGATTTCCAATCTGGAATTAGATTTGAAAACAAGATCCTTCAAAAACACTGGAATTTTTCTCTCCTTCAACAAATAATAATAATAATCCTTGCATTTATATAGTGACCTATCACATTATTGAGACGTCTCAAAGCACTTCAGAGGAGATACTGTCGAGTGGATTGAATTTAATCTGAATGTTGGCCCTCAGTAACGCAAACCCCATTTTGTAGTCAGATCAACAAAGATGTTACAACACCCCTAAATAGTATGCTGAAAAATACTCATCCCACCTAACATGTTTTGTTCAACAAAGGTCTTACTCTACGACTGATCTACAACAACAAGATTATATTTGTATAGCGCCTTTCATGTCAGGAGGACGTCCCAAGGCGCTGGACAGTGTACAGCATTTCAGACCCGAGCTGGGGTCAGGGGGGAGAGGGGAGGGGAAGGGGGGTTCCAATGGCATGGTCGAAGAGGAGGGTTTTGAGGTGGGACTTGAAGAAGGCTAAGGAGGGAGCGAGGCGGAGTGATTGGGGAATGGAGTTCCAGAGGTTGGGGGCAGAGTGGCTGAATGTTTCTCCAGCCAATGGTGGGGCGGGTGGGTCGGGGGACTTTATAGATTCAAAGAATGTTACGGCGCAGAAGGAGGCCATTCGGCCCATCGAGTCTATGCCGGCTCTTTGACAGAGCAAGTCACTTTCACTAACCCCAATCACCAGCTTTCTCCCCATAACCCTGCAAACCCGTCTTCCCCAGACACCTATCCAGTTCTCTCTTAAAAGCTGTTATCGAATCGGACTTCACTACCCTTTCAGGCAGATCATTCCAAATTCGAACAACTTGGAGCAGGCCAGAGCCGGCTGAGCGGAGGGAATGGGGGTGCTGGTAGGGAGTTAGGAGGTCGCAGAGGTAGGGTGGGGCGAGACCATGGAGGGTTTTGTAGGAGAGGACCAGGATCTTGAACTGGATCCTCTGAAGGATAGGGAGCCAGTGGAGTTGGGCGAGAGTGGGGGAGATGGGGTCATGGAGTTTGGTGCAGCAGAGGGCACGGGCTGCAGAGGTCTGGATTATCTGCAGCCTGTGGGGGGGGAGGAGTTGGGATGGCCGACAAGCAGGGTGTTTGCATAGTCGAGCCTGGAGGTGATGAAGGCATGAACAAGAGTTTCAGCGGCCTGAGGGGGTGAGGTAGTGGCAGAGTCGGGCGATGTTATGGAGGTGAGGAAGGCGGAGCGGGTCATGGCTTGGATGTGGGGAAGAAGAGACAGTTGAGGATCGAACAAGACACCTGGGTTCCTGACTGGCTTGGTGAGTTGAAGTGTGCAACCATGGAGGTTGATGCTGCCAGAGCCTGAGGTGCGGAGGCTCTGGCGCGAGCCAATCAGGAGGGCCTCAGTCTTGTTCACATTCAACTGTAGGAAGTTTGCCCTCATCCAGGACTTGATGTCTGACAGGCAGTCTGTCAGGACAGCAGTGGTCTTGGAGTTGAGGTTGGAGGCAGAAAGATAGAGTTGGGTGTCATCCTCATACATATTTACTTTGATTCTCGCCTCTGTAGTAGTTTTTTAACCTGCACTTTTGAGAGATGCATATTTTACGTGCTGAACAAAAGCCATGCAACTAATATACTAAGTGATGTTTGTGTGCATTCAATCAGACTTCTGTAGAATGGAAATATTTATAATCATAGAAATTCTTTTACCAAAGCTTATACTTTCCTGAGGTTATAGCGCACAAAGAATGGGATTATAACATGCAGCCTGTACAATAATCTTTGCATTTGATTGGTTCCTTATGTCGTTGAGACGTCTCAAAAAGCTTCATAGGATATACTGTAAAGTGATGTGCATTTTGTGGGTGAACGTGACAGCCAATTATGTATCCAACAAATCCTCACAACAGCCAACGAGTGACCAATTTTATTTGGGGAATTGTTGGCCACGACAGGGAGAGACTCTCTTTTCTTTTCAAAGTCCACCTCCTCTACACTTAGTCATCAGGCCTTGCATCAACCGTCCCATAGACTTACCTCAGCGTTTTCAGCAGTTATGGCTGCAGGTTTAGCTTCCTGTGCCAACTGTCCATAGTCACTGGTGAGCTGATTGGCTAAAGTTCCCAGATCATCGGGATTTGTGTTCGATTTTGTGACCTACGAACAAAGAAGCACAAAATGAGAAATAAATAATAATAATCCTCGCATTTCCATTTGATATTGTGTCTTATCACGGCATTGCAACATCTCAAAGCACTTCACAGAACACACTGTAAAATGAATTGACTGTATATTTTGGGGGCGAACCGCAGCAGCCAATTGCGCACAGCAATGTTCCACAAACAGTCATGGATTGAGTGACCAAATTATTATTTTTTTTTTCTTTCACCCAATCACCCAATAAATTCACCCGATCGGATGCACCCAATTTTTGGGACTAGAGCGTACCATTTCCTGTACTGTTACAGCGATAGCTTTGGCCGTCTTCACCATTGTGGTCTGGTAGTCAACAAACGATCCCTCCGGCTCACCTGAAGCACTTTCATCAATCTGTGTTCAAACAAAGAGCACTGAGATTCTTGCCAATTGTACAATTGCTGGTCACATAAATGACGAAGGAAGATACAAAGCCAAGTATCACCGATTTATTTGGAAGAGCAGGTGAGGAGTTGATAGAGGGGAGGAGGAGGAGAAAATGTCCTCAAATGTAAGAATCACCGATTGATTTCGAGAAGGGTGAGGAGATGATAGAGGAGAAAGCGTCTTCAAATCTAAGCAGCAGTGATTGATGTGGAGGATGTAGTGGAGGAGGAGGTGGTTTGCTTTACCTTGTTTATGGCCTGGTTGATGGAGGCCACCATTCCACTCACTACCCCCGCAGCACTTGCTGCATCGCTCAGCGTTCCCGACAGGTCTTCAACCGCCTCCTTCATCATCTGCGTAGACTCGTCCAGTGCTTCCTGCGTGTGTGCCGCTTGCTGAAAACAAGTGTAAGGTGTTGGACAAATTTGAAATCACACTGCATCATTACAAAACGTGCAAGTTACTACAAGCAGCAAGCAAATGAATCTCACTGTTGGAAAATCAGATAGGAGCAACAAGTGTCCATTAAATTTTTTTTAAAAAAAACAGAGGGCCTGCATCAAGCTATGGATTACATTTCGTAAAAATGGGGTTTACTTAAAACAGTTCAATCACCAAATACAGGTCATTCCCCGTTACAACCGGTGATCTGGGATTATAAACTCAGTCCCAGTGCGTTAAGGAAGTGTGAAGATTCTGCTGTTTTGGTTGTCAGATTACCACTGACATCACTTCCTACGCTTTATGCACAAGAAGCACCGTTGACATCACTTCCTTCGTGAAATGATGTCAAAAGCAGTTCCACGCAGTGCACGTGCAATAAGTGACATCAGCCGCGACCTGAACAGTGTTTAGTGCGGGATTCCAGGTATGCCATACACTCACATTACGATGGACCAGGGCTAAACCATGGCACGGAACAGAAGATACGGTACAGTGATTCAGAAACCGTAACAGTAAAATGCCATTGGATTCTCACAACGCTGTTCAATATTAATTGTTCATCCAGATTGCCCTTAGCCTGTAACTTTGTCTTGTAATAAAACATCAAGGCACAAAAGCATGTGGGTTCATGCCTGCAACTTATTCACATGAGTTGCAGGCAATTTTAGTAGAGATCTCCTCTTTCATAAATAACCCAGGACCTCTGCTAAAGATATGGTGGAAACAAGCACACCTGCAGTGCCTATTTTTTCTCCCCTCACTCCCCATCACTCTCTGCGCTGAGCAGACAGCTAGCATTTAAAGTCAAAGGTCACACAAAGCAATGTGCCACTTGGATAAGGTACTGGACAGTTCCTACTATGATTTGTGGAAACAATCCCAAGAATGAGTCAATCACTGAAGGGCAAGTAGAAGTAACAAAATACTCAAGTACATCTCCAAGTTCCCCTCCCCGATCGAGTTAAACAAATTTGGATGAGAAGTTGTTAAAACTTTAAAATTGTTTTTAAAGCAAGTTTAGAACTTGCGAATGTTACAGTCTGCATAACTGGAAGATAAAAATGGAAACATGACCAGAACTAGTTACGGGAAGGATGCAATTCCCAGGGACATCAGCCACAGGATGATTTTAGGTTCTCTGCTGTGTAAAAGGACATCAACTCAGGTGAAACTTTTTTTTTTTTTTTTTTGAAAATGCCTTATTCAAACTTTGTCCTTTATCCAAATAATTCAGGGTTTTCTGATATCCAAGGATGAACAGACATTAAGTTTCCATAAAAGCTGGTTACAGACTTAAATAAGATGACGGTGTCAAGCTCCTTTTACCTCTCCAATGCTGCAAGCATTATGATTGTGGTTTGATTTCTGGGCGGGTGGCTCAATTGCACAACACTTATTCCCAGATCAGAATGAGACAAACAATATTAAGCTTAAAAACATTTTCTGGTCTCTTCATAGGATGCAGGACCATGGTTATTGACATCAACAGCATTATTCAGTTTGTGTCCGCAAGTACTCATTTCATTATTTATTCACATTTTAATACAGATGAACTCTGTTATACTGTGCATGGCCTCATATACAGTGGATCCATGCAAACTGGAAATGCAATGCACTTGGCTTCTGGCACTGATTAGACATCCTCCCATGTTAAAAATAGTCTGACTTCCAGGTTGTCACCGACGTAGCCTGTGCACTGAGCACAGACTGCAGGAGGTGCCATAATTGGTGTTCTAACAACCAGGAATTCAGTCTTTTCACGCTTCACTTATAACAGTTGCTGAGATATTGTCCCAGCCAACCAAACAACAACGAGGTTTCCAGTAACCCCTCCTGGTACCCGGAATTCATATCTAGCCAGACTGGGCCCAAAACTGAAACATTTTAAAAGTTTCTGTGGGCTGCATGTAGACTCTCACCAGTCCGCTGTCCTAGTGAGCAAGCCCCATCTCACTGTGCTTGCTGACCTTCAGTGGCCAGGGGTATCAACTTTGATCTAGTTTGAATCCTGCGAGAGGAAGACGGCTTATTTGCTACCTCCTGCTCACGGGATTCAGAAATTTTGGCTTGCCGGACCGGATCTCCCCCCCATTAGTCCAGGCCGCTGGGGTTTCACTGTACAATATAAATGATAAGGAGGCATTTGCAGACAAACCAAATACCACAGTAGATTTGATTGAACTCTCCACGTTTTGGATGCATTTGACCTTACCTTGGGATTGCCGCCCGCCTCTTTGGCCGTGTAGAGCATTTGAAGCGCCGACTCGGCCAGCGTCTTGGTCTGATCCAACAGGTTCATCTGTTGCTGGTGGTTGATGGCTTTGGATGCTGCGCCAATGGAAGCCATGGTCAGTGGCTCAAAGTAACTGGCCATCTGAGATACCTACAAGCACCGAGAGAATAAATCATAGTGCACTTTACTTTTCCTTAGTTTTGTTGTAATATTCCAGGGCACCACGCTCCTTTCTGCAAATCACCTACTGAAGTGCTGAACATTTAAGACAATTTTGACCCTCTACACTTGCCTCCCCCTCCACCCAGGTAAAAATACAAGGTGAATTTCTGGTGTACAAAGTAGTGAAATATTAAGTCGCATTTCAAGGGCATTGGACTATCAATTGGAAGAAGTTATTCCAACGTTGTACTTGTGAGGTCACATTTGGAATATTGTGTCCAGTTTGGACAAACTAGCATTGGAGAGGATTTTAGTAAAACACAAAGGATAACAAAAGGGTTGTATGAGGCTTTTGTCTGTACAATACTTGAGGGACATAGATTATGTAATGTAAGCAAGCAGACCTGATGAGAGTAGAATGTAAGGGTGCAGGTTTAAACTGCAAAGCAGGAGTAAAGACTAGAAGGTTCTCTTTTTTTTTCTTCCTTCCCCACATGAAATCCATACTTGGAAGAGTTGGCCAACAGAAGCAGTTAATACTGCTTCGTGAGAACATTAAATGGTCAACATGTTATACGCAAATGTTCTGGGGAGAAGGCAAACAGGATCTTTGGGCATTAGGAACCTGTGATATTTTATGTTCTTAGATCTAAGACCATTGTCTTAAAACAGACTGGACAAACAGAAGTCTCAAATTCAGTCATAATTTGGAGGCCGATACCAGGAAGCTTCTGTGTTTCCTATGCTACTGTCTCACCTTATGTCCTAACTGAGAAGCCTCAGCCCGAGCTGCCACTGCCACTGGGTCAATCAGGTTGCTGATCTCATGGACAGCTCCAGCCATCTGGTCATGCAAAGCCTAATGTGGGAGGGAATTAAAAAAACACACACAAAATGAGATTTACCCAGATATCCATCACGTTTGATTTCACGGTTGATTTTTTTTTCCTTTGTTCATTTAAATCTCTCTTCCCTCAGTCCCATTTCTAAACATACACCATTATCTGGGCATTGACCAGACACAAGACATCTTTTCGAATTTAGTTCCCGAGATCAGACTGTGAGAGGTTGGCTCCACCAATTTTCCTCCTCCTTGTAAATTGCCTCTTCCCAGACAATAATAATAAAAAAATCATTGCATTTGATATAGAACCTTATAGATATACTGGAGGATATACTGTAAAGTGGACCAATTGTGGATATTGTGGGTGAATGCAGCAGCCAAAACAGTCAAGAAGCGAGTGACCAATTTGAGTTGGACATGATTGTGAATTTGCTGATTAGGTAAGGTATTGATTGGATAGCTCCATCAACAACAAACAGATGCATCCACTCCCTGTAATATTTTACAATTATATAACAACTTTCACATTGAAAGGACGCTTCAAATTGCTTTCAGGTTTGCTGTCTGGACACCCGATCTGGGGGTGGGAGCCGAACGGGAAAGATGACCGAAAGCACGGTCAAAGAGTTAATTCTCATTACGGGCCTTGAAAGAAGTGAGGGAGCCAGTGATAACATTCCCATCTGATTACATCTTCTACAGTAAATAAAAGGTTTTGCTTTTTTTTGAAAAAAACAAATTGTAATCGAGACCCATCTGAGATAACTGGGTTTGGTATAATATTAAATTAACATTTTGCAGTTGAGAGCAACACTATATAATGAACAACATTATGTAAGACAATGATTTGGAGCTCACCTCTTGTGAGATATCTTCTCGTGGTGCCAGCTGCTGGCTGATCGCTGCCAAGGAAGCCTGGTCCAAATCCCTAATGCATTGGTTGAGGGCATCAATGGCATCATCACACTCTCTCTGTCCTGGGGCTTTATCTCTGCGAAAGAGTGAAATAAACAATAAGAATCCTTGCATTTGATATAACACCTTATCACATCGTTGAGACATCTCAAAGCACGGCACAGAATAAACTGTAAAGTGAATTGACTGTAAATTTTATGGGCAAAATATGAAAACATAAAATATAAAAATAATAGATACTATACAGATTACAAGATCTGCAACCAATCAATCCAAACCTAGTAGTCTCCACTTCTCCTGAAAGAGATATCGAGCAATGAAAATTGGAACGTAAAAAAAACTCTCATCTTAGTGTCAAACTTCCAACTACTGCCCTTTGTTGACCTTGAAACAGCATTTGAAAGAACTTTGAAGCACTGAATGCACTGGCGTCTCTCGTGGTGCACTGATCAGGTGTCTGACAGCATAGCTCCACAAACCATCTTGTGGAAGACAATGTCTAACACAAATAAACGGTGCACGTTTCTGCTACACTGGTTCCCAAATCTAACGCAAAGTCAACATTTGCGAAACAAAGTACGGTTACAGCTCATTTCACAACAGCAAAGGTTGAAAGAAAACAGCGAGCAAAGCTTTAGATTATAAAGAGAAACAGACCCTCAGTCACAAATCCTAATCTGTGCTATTAGCTGATCGCAAGCCAGGGAGCAGTAGTGGAGGAGTAAAGCCTTTAAATACCTGATTGAAGTAATGAGTTTCTTGATCGAGTCCGACACAGTTCGAGAATGTCCAGCCAAGACCGACCACTTTGGTGGGTCTTTGGGATTCACAGCAAGAGAGCGAGCGGTCTGAATGAGACCAGTGGAACTGTCCAGCATAGTCTTTGCAGCCACCACAATAGGCTCCATGGCATTGAGGCCCTGTCACGAGCAATCACAATTATACACAGATACACACAAGATTTTTCTTTTAAGCAGTGATTTGCGTTGATTTATAAATGATTCTGTTACTGCTAACATGACTATTGAAAACAAATCAGCAATGGTTTCAATCCAGCTTTTGATAACTGCTGCCCTCTTGCGTGCAAAGCATTTCATTGCAGGTTACCTGCATTGATTTTAAACACGGCAAGTTAAGCGCGATGGAAAATGTAGGTCAGATTCTGCTGAGATGAATTATTGGATAAATGAGCTGCATAACACCCGCCCCTCAGCAAACACTGGTGACTAAGAACCCGACCTGCATTTTAATTCCCATGGATAGTATTCAGCCTGGTTCAATTGCTAATACTTTTGTCTTGTTTTAGAGAGGGGATTGGGGGGTGGAGACTCAGGTGGCATATAAACGCCAACACAGACAAGTTGGACCAAATGGCCACTTCCTGTACTGTGGAGAATGAACGTAATTCTACAATAATAATCCTTGCATTTGATATAGCGCTTTTCACGTCTTCTAGACGTCCCAAAGCGCTTCACAGAATAGACTGTAAAGTGAATTGACTGTATATTTGTGGGCGAACACGGCAGCCAATTGCGCACAGCAATGTCCCACAAACAGTCGTGGATTGAAAATGACCAATTTATTATTGTTTTGTTTTGGAGGGATTATTATTAGGCGTGTGGAGTAAGGAAACTTGCCCAAGGTTTCGCCCTATCTGGAATTGAACTCAGATCTCGCTTGCAAAGCGAATGCTCTAACCACTGAGCTACAGGACTCCACATGTATAAAATGCACACCACAAATTTGAGCATTATACCTTCTCCTAACTTTGAACATGAATATTTCCAACTACCGATTGAGGAATTACTACTAGATGCTGGGTGTCAATTACAGTTTAGGTTGAAGAAGATTTTTAGTTGCACATCTGCCCAACTCCAATTCCCCCGTTCAACACAAGACTTCGGTTACTGCTTACCTCTGCACTGATCTGAGCTGGAATACTGGCAAACTCGGGGTTGGAAGCAAAAGCGGTCAGATTTTCAACTGCTTCAATCAGAGGCATCGTGGCAGCACGGCATTTCTCCCGGTTCTCGTCCACGAAAGCACCATCAAGAGCCTAACAAAACACAACACATTGCAAATAAAATAGATTTACTGATGATGCCGAGTATGTGCCCCAAGTAAGCCAACCTTTTGTGTATTAAATAAGCCTGTACCTTATCAGGGTGTACACATCACTTCAACATCTGTATGTAGACAACATCAGGATGTAGACTAAATCATACAGAATTAATTGCTATTAACATCTCCATTATCTTAGCATACGACTACCAGGATGGTAGAAAGTGAATTAGATGGACCTTGTTCTTTGTTCGTCTAGCAATTCCTACGTTCCTATCTGGCCAATACAAGTCTGTTTGAAGACCTTACTTGTGATTAAAACTGAAGATAGGCATCTGTAACAACTACAGAGTAGTTTTAAAGTTTTTAAAATGTACTTTAAAGATTTTAAAATAAGGAGACGCATCAAGTTTCTACAGATAAAACTCAAGAGATATAGTGGATAATCAGTACAGCAAGTTACCTTGATGGTCTTCACAAGGTTGGCTGTGCTATTTGCCACCTCTTTGGCCGACTGAACAAACTGTCTCTTTGCAACAGGGTTGGATGTCTTTGATGAGGCGAGACGGCAGGCATTGCACAAGGCAGAAGTGTGCTTTGCAACAATGGTGGCAGCAGAGAGAACCTGTGGGGTTGGGGAAAGAGGGGGGAAGAGAAAGAATATCAGTTTATTTGCTTTGAGCCAGCATCTTCCTTCAATAATGTCCCACATTATACTAATAATCCGTGCATTTGTTGTATATGTTGAATATGTTGTAAAATGGATTCACTGTGTATTTTGTGAGCTAAATAATAATAATAATCCTTGCATTTGATATAGCGCTTTTCACGTCGGGAGGACGTCCCAAAGCGCTTCACAGAACACACTGTAAAGTGAATTGACTGTATATTTGTGGGCGAACGCGGCAGCCAATTGCGCACAGCAATGTCCCACAAACAGTCATGGATTGAAAATGACCAATTTTATAAGGGACCAAGGACAGAGCCCTAAGGAAAGCTGCACAAGACGATGCGGGGGCCAGAGGAGAAACCGTTTGTGGAGATGAAGTGGAGACAGTGTGAGAGGTATGATCTGAACCAGTCAAGGACAAAACCATGAAGGTTGAGATGAGAGGAGAGATGGTGGATGAGGATACAGTGGTCAACGGTATCGAAGGCAGCAGAAAGGTCAAGGAGGACGAGGAGGCAGAGGGAGCCCTGGTCCCAGATGGACAAAATGTCATTTGTCACTTTGACCAAGGTTGCTTCTGTGCTGTGGGCGGCACAGAAACCCAATTGGAGGGGTTCGTGAAGGGAGTGGCGGGAGAAGAAGGAGCGAAACAATGACTCGTTCCAGGACCTTGGAAAGGAAAGGGTTATTGGAGATGGGGTGGTAATTTAAAGTGAGAGATGTTGGAGAAATAGGAAGTCAGAGAGAGAGGAATAGAAAGAGTGTGTGAAAGAGAGAGACTCAGAGAGAAAAAAGCTGAATGAATAATTATAAACCTCACACATAGTATAGCGCCTTTCACATCTGGAGGAAGTTTGAATGCGCTTCATGAGATAAACTGAAGTGGTGTGTGTTTTGTTGAAGAGAATGTGTGCGAGAGCGAGCGACTGAGTGAGAGAAGGGCTAGCAGAGTGTGATGCTATACAAACAGGATGCCTCCTGTTGGAACAATTTGTTAATTAGCACTGTGTTAGGAAGATTGAGTCTCACCTGTGTCTGGATGCATGCTGGATCCACTAAGTTTTGACAAGCCATCTGGATTGCTTGATTTGCTCTGGCAAATTGGGCTGGATCAACCAATCCTTGCTGACCTGCGTGACTGTTAGGATCTGAAATCCCTACAAGGTATGCAGCCTGCAAATAAGATGAAAAGATGTGAAAAAAAATTGTTAGCTACATCTCTACTCTACCTTAGCTTTGTCACCTTCACAGTCGTTTGCTAGAGTTAATACTATTCAAGTCATATAATGGACATCAATTGCTCTGCATTTGCAATTACTTTTATTTGGTCACCTAAGGTGTCCGCTACATGTGGAAAGCCATCACCATACTTGAGAGTATAGTATCCAAACCAAACCGAGTTCCAATTATATATGTCACCTCTGCGTGGAAATTTCCTCGTGTTTGAAATGAAAAATGCACTCTCTCCCTGGAGGGGCACATCTTGATTACCTAATTCCAGAGAATATTAGGTGTTGATTGGCGAGAGCCAAGGCTTGGAAACTACAGAATGTGTGTTGGGGTATTGCTGGAATTTAACCAGCTAAAACTGCACAGATTGCCACTGAAAGCACTGTCTGGCAGTTTTCCTGCAGCTTGTCCAGCTAGGACCACCCTACCCGTTAGGTCTTTGGCTTCCAGGGTTAACAGAAGCTGAGTGTGAAGATTCTCTGTCTCTCCAGCCCTGACGATCAACCAGGTTGACTTCATCTGCCATTAGCAGTGCACTGGAGTACTGCGGATTTGACTCTGGAACCAGATTACTGAGACTGGACTACCGAGGCTGGCACCAGAAAATTAGGCCATTTTTCCTCATAGGCTGCCAGCAGAGGTGAACTACGCAAATTCAGAATGCAAAATAATAATAATCCTTGCATTTTGATATAACTTCAAGACGTCTCAAAGCGTTTCACAGAATATACTGTAAAGTGAATTGACTGTATATTTTGTGGGCAAAAAGTGGCACAAGTAACTGGGACAAGTGAATTAGTGAAAAGTACGGAAACCTTTGACTTTTACAGTTTGCTTCCCAAATACACTTGCTAAGTTATGGTTTTAATTGCTGAATTTAACCGAAAGGACGAGGTAAACTGAGATGAGAAGATGACCTTTAGCTTTACTGACTTCAGTTTAAGAACAGGAACAAAACTCACCTGTGCGGCTGCTTCTGTGAGTCCACATAAAGCCTTGGAGCCAGCGCTGACTGAGTCACCAAAAGCTGGCAGGTCACTATTCTTAGCATTGTGAGAGATTCCAGTCATTGCCTCTCCAAGAACCTGGACAAAGATTGGAGGGCAAAGCTAGATTTTAGTCCAAACTTCACATCCTGGGCCAACGATAGAAGAGTAGGACCATGAATTTCATTACAGTTCAAACCACAAGTAACCAAATTCATCAATTTCATTCCAAACATTTTCAAAGAAACTAGTCGAGGATTAATTTTTTGTACTAAATTCCTTCAAGGCAACTATCCATTCCCAACACTAAGGCTCCAGCTTGGTTTACACACCTAATAAATGCTGAAGCTCTTAAGCACAGATTTATACAGTCAGAAACACTTGTAGAAATATCCACACGAAAGCAACACATTGTGACATCTCCAAAGTAAAAGGTAAGTATAATGTGCCCTTTGCAAATGTTACCACTGTTCGATGGCGAACTGAGATCAAGTTATAGCATATACTATTAATCTAATAATTCAACTATTTTTTGTATAGAATTGCAATGCAAGGTCAAGTATTGATATTCCCTCAAAACATTCTGTCAAAGGGCAAATTTTCTTAGCTGTAAGTGTCAATATTGGACAACTGTGACAATCCATGGAAAAGCAAAGTACAGCAATAAGGATAATAATCCCCGCATTTGATATAGTGCCTTATATCATCAAAACATCTCAAAACAATTCACAGGATTTTAATATAATATAGTCACCCTATTTGTAGATGAATGCAGCAGCCAATCTGCGAACACAACTGTCCCGTGAACAAAAATGTTTGTACACATACCTTGGAATTCTCCATAACACTGTCGATGCAGTCAAAGTAAGACAAGTCATTGACAGCCTCGGTGGGATTGTCCAGCATTCCTTTGACAGTCTGTAAGAAAGTCACATTTAGATTTATACAGTAGTTTGTGAGAACAACATCCCAGGAAAGATAGAATTGTAGTTTTGCTAAACTGACACACATGGTGCAAGCTCGTGCATCTGCGTCTAGCATTGTGACACTTCAACTTTGTCATGGTCTGTTGCCACTTTTATGGAGCTCCTTATGTAAATAAAGATGCTAATAGGATTAATGCAAATCCAATTTGGTTTCACTTTAATCCCATGAACAAACACACCAATATGGATAACAAGACATTAGCAGCCTCAGACACGTGCATTAATTTCATTGTGAGGGAGGGGGATGGGAGAGAGAGGGGAGAAAAATCAGGTCAAAAGGTTTGGAAAGGAAATGATTGAATTAAAGGGCTGGAGGAAAGAAACCCTAAAGTAACACTTTATCCATATAGTTTCACTGTTCTCCACTTTGAAAAATACAAAGATAGACGTTGACACGGCATTCAAATGTTGGCTCCAAATAAAAGTGCAGCTTTCTGATCAGACAGTGCCTTATACTGCTTTAACTTGAGGAATTCCTTTCGGATGCTAGCCCACACCTGGAGGTAACCCGATGGAAGACATCCTCGCTCAATCCATCCTAAACTCCGAAGCAATTTAAAGTGGCAGAGGCTCATAGCAGGGGCAATGTCTCCGGTGTGTTGGTATATTATAACTTTCCTGAGCCAGAACATAAAACAACTAGAATTTTATATTTTGATAGCACCTCCCTCATCAGGAGGACTTCTCAAACAGCTTTGCAGAACTGACTGGGAGCCCGAGCCTGGGGGGGGGGGGTTGGTAAGAGCTGAAGATAAGTGCAAATTGTGATCAACAACAGTCAAAGAGAAAGGTCTTAAGGCAGGCTTTAAAGTGGAAAGAGAGTTTGGTGGGGGGGGGGGGGGGGGGAGGGATGAGACTTTGAGAGAGCAGGGGGTGGAATTAATTCCATACTAATGCAAACAACAACTGATCCTATCAACACCAGACAGAGGCACAGAGGGCACTTCTTCCTGTACGGAAAGCCAGGAAGAAATTATCGCCTCCCATTAGAGGCTCATTCACTAAGTCAGAAAGTGTAGATGTGGTTTGTTGATCTCTAATCATTTCACATCTCCTACAGGAAATAGTGTTTCTGGTTACAAGGTCCCCATTGGCAGTTCATGGCCTTTATTTGGCAGCATTTATTTCAGTGATTATTTGGCCTGGAATATCTGTTTACACGTGCTGTGAAGTGAAATACAAACACTACTGTTGAACTCAGCTTGGCAGTTTGGGTGGGTGGGGAGAAGAGGGGTTTTAATACCAAGGACAGCTATCATACCTTCATTCATTTCCTTGACCATTTTGGATGCATTTTCTGTACATACCCAATAAGATAATAATCCTTGCATTTGGTAAAGCTGCCTTATGTCATCAAAGCACTTCACAAGAATAATTCTGTAAAGTGGCATGACTGTGTATTTTGTGGGCGAATGTGGCAGCCAACTTACACACCAATGTCCCATTTAATAAAAGTTATGAACAGGAGTTACAGATGCTTATGGAATGATGAAAGTAATCTAACCTGTCTATACCCATAGAGCGCTGTGAATGATCTGACTCAGTTTCACAGCTTTAGACAGCTCTTTAACTAAATCGTATCTGTTAATATAACAGTGTATAATACAGAACCTATGTCTGCAATCCTGTCAAAAATCCCCAGCACAAATGTCAAACTAGATATAAGAGGCTCCAGAGGAGCTTGTGCATGAGAGAACTGCTGCCTCCTTATCCCATCATTAATACCATTTGAATATTTTATAGTGGATTGAGAAAGGAGTTTCAGAGAAAATGTACGCTGCGAGGATGAATCTTGCAGAAGAGATGAGGAAAATGGCAGGGCCTCATCACGTTGTTGAGACGTCTCAAAGCGTTTCACAGAATATATTATAAAGTGTATATTGTAGACTGTATTTTGTGGGCGAAACGCAGCAGCCAATTTTGCACACAGCCGTGCCCCACAAACAGCCTTGTTTTTGAGGGGATTATTACCCGCCGGAAAATAATCCACCAATCGACTAATAACCGGGTTCCTACTTAATGCTAATGTAAACAGACCATGTGAAGTAAAGAAACTTGCCTAAGGTGTCGCCCTGCCCGGGAATCGAACCTGGATCCTCTCGCTCACGAGGCGAACACGCTAACCACTATCAAATGACCAATTAAGAGCGGTGGTGTTCACCACATACCTCCAGCTCACGGAGAGCATTGTCACATTCCTTCTGTCCCGGCGCCTGCTGCGTACACATGGTGATCAGCTGGTTGATGCTTTCAGTCACAGCCCTGCAGAAGAAGAAAAACAAACAGCTTTACTGCAAGACTCACACATCCACAAAAATCAAACCACACATATTTGATTTGAACGACCAGTTGCTGCTTCCTTTGTAGAAACAAGCCCTGGGCTGTTTTTCAGGTTTGCATTTCAATTTCCATATTCCATTATAAATTGAACTCGACTTATAAACAATCTGAACTTCTGCAACCTCACATGACATTTGCTCGTTTATCAGATTTAGACTCATTAAAGAAACGCATTTGCCCGTTTTTCACCCCAAGATCCAACTTCCAAGATTGGTCCGCTCATGTAACTGAATCAACAGCCTTTCTGTATTAGGCTTAACATGGAGCAGATTCCATCCAGGGCTGCATTAAAACACAACTCTCATTGAAGCAAGACCCAATTCCTATTTGGTTACAGAGATGATGGACCACCCCGAATACCCAAGTGCTAAACTTTAATGAAAGACAGACAAACATAAGGATAGGACACTTCCAGCAGATAACTGGATGACAACTGGTATTGCGAACCCTTCCAATTTTCACCTATTCCAGCCTCAAACAACAAAGACTCCAGTGCCCCCTACAGCTATTTGGGTAACATTACAAAGCGACATTGTCACATTATAGCTAAATCACTGAAAGTCACCATTGTATTACTTACTCAAGACTAGAATCTCTACCTCTGTTGATCACCAGGATGAATGTTAATTTAAATACTCTAAGAGTTAACTGCACAATAAGTATTTTGCTCTTCTGTGCCCTTGCAGCTGCAGTGATTAGATATCTTTTGACAAAGTTTGCCACTGACACACACAAGAAAGCTGCTTCAGAAGATTGCTGTAAAACGCAACTTTCCTGTACTATTTAATGCAAACAATTTTTTTTAATGGAATGCACCAAGTATACTAGAGCTTTATAAACTCGGAATTACAGTCTGCCTGGAAGACAGAAATTGCCCTTTTTCTTCTCTTCTGAAGGCAAGGACTCTGGCTGAGGTATACTTTGACAAAACTAGTCAACAACAACAACAACTTGCATGTATATATTTATTTTGTAGTCGCCCTAAGGCATCTCACTCAAAAATCCAGTTCCTCAGGGCTCTGTCCTCGGTCCCCTCCTTTTCACCCTCTACATGCTCCCCCTTGGTGACATCATCCGCAGACATGAGATAAATTTCCACATGTATGGTGATGACACCCAACTATATCGCTCTGCCTCCACCCTCAACTCCAGGACTACTGGCGTCCTGACCGACTGCCTGTCCGACGTCAAGTCCTGGACGAGGGACAACGTTCTCTAGTTGAATGTTAGCAAGTCCAACGCCCTCCTTATTGGCTTGTGCCAGCGCCTCCGCATCTCAGGCGCTGGCAGCATCAGCATCCACGGCTGCACACTCAACCTCACTAAGCTAGTCAGGAACCTGGTATCTTGTTTGACCCTGAACTGTCCTTTCTCCTCCACATCCGCACCATAACTGGCACTGCCTACCACCACCTTGCCAGACTCCGCCACCACCTCACCCCTCAGGCTGCCGAAATCCTCACCCACGCATTAGTCACATCAAGGCTTGATTACGGGAACTCCTTCCTCATCAGCCTTCACAACTCTTCCCTTCACAAGCTGCAGATCATCCAAAACTCTGCAGCTCGTGTATTCTCGGGCACCAGGCTCCGTGACCCCATCACTCCCACCCTCGCCCGACTCCACTGGTTCCCCATCCCTCAGAGGATCGAATTCAGGATTCTCGTCCTCACTTTCAAGGCCATCCTCCTACCTCTCTGACCTGCTGACTCCCTACCAACCTGCCCGCTCTCTCCGTTCAGCTGGCTCCGACCTGCTCCATGTCTTCTGCCCAACTCGCCCTACCATCGGTGGCCAGGCTTTCAGCTTCTCTGCCCCTACACTCTGGAACTCCATCCCACAGTCCCTTCGACTCACTTCCTCCCTTGCCTCCTTCAAGGCCAGTCTCAAGACCCTCCTCTTCGATCGTGCCTTCAGTCTCCCTCCCACCTCTCTGCCTTCCCTCACCCCAACCCCACCCCTCCCCCATGCTTGGGGCCTGATCCGATTGTCCAGCGCCTTGGGACATCCTCCCGACGTGAAAGGTGCTCTATAATATAATTTTGTTGTTGTTGTTGTATTGAGCTGCGATGTTGGACAGGGAATATAAGTAGACTACATAACTGTGGATTGCGGGGGTGGGAGGGGGTTGGGTGAAGGGGATACACCCGACTCTGATCAATCCTCAACCGATGTCTTTCTCTTTCCACCACATCCCCTACAAACTCTACATAACTGTGGATTGCGGGGGTGGGAGGGGGTTGGGTGAAGGGGATACACCCGACTCTGATCAATCCTCAACCGATGTCTTTCTCTTTCCACTACACCCCCTACAAATTCACGGCCACAACCACAGGAGCAGGTGTCATAGTCATAATGCAATGATCAGGAACCCTTCCCCTCCCCAGATCGGGGAAACCGAGGCCAACTATAGCGAGCTATACTGGCTGAGATTCCCTCAAGGTCTCATCTCAGAGGAGAGCAAGGTGTGCCTCTTTGGTGAGATTGCTGGAACAGGATAGAAACAAGAGGCATGTTAAAAACTGACTAAAATGAGTCTCACTTTTTTTTCTACTCACTGAATCTAGCTCTCAACCAATTCCTTTTCAAGTCACAAACTCACTTAAAAAAAACAAGGGAAACCTGATAAGTTTCAATGCACATTTGTTTACACAAGAATCAAAATAGTAATGAGTGACAAACTAGAATGTCGGCTTCTAGGGTTTCTGCCCATTTAAGGAAGGAACATAAAATCCCATGACTGACATTCATATGTACCTTGCTGCAGCCGCAAGTTGATTCTTGATGTTGGGAGCGGTCGGATCAGCAGAGAGAGCTTTAGCTGCGAGTAAAAGTTTGCTGGAAGCCATGGAAATGCTCTTCAGGTTTCCGATCACCTGAACCTTGTCTTCTTTGTCCTGTTGAGGTGTAAAGGTTAAATGAGAACGGACAGCCAACAGAAATTTGTGTCCCCCAATCTGTTCACTTGTTTTTTTAATCCACGATTTTCCTCAAAAACAAGGGCGAGCACAGCCTACTTAAATTCAATCTCAGCAGCATTTTTAAAAATTATAAATAATATATATGGCTGGGAATAAATTATAGATGAGTGAGTCATCCGGAGTTGTTTGATGTCACTGTGCAAGCCAAATTCTGTTTGACAATACAGGTATGTGCACATTCTCTAACGCTCACACACACACCCATTTACGTTGGACATGTAAAATGAGAGAATTGCCATTCTACAGAAATATGCAAAATTTTCTGAAGTAATTTGTTACTTTGGTACCACTTTACGTGTATGTAATGCACACTATATACTGATAGATACTTCAAAAACTATGAAGGAATAGGTAGGATAGCTTACATCCAGTTTCACACCATCAAATTGTACCATTGCAACTGATCTGGTTGATGTTGGACACGGTGTCATTGAAATAAGGAAACATTCCTCACAGAGTGGTTAAATGCATCTTTAGTAAGTAGGGAACTTCAAAAATTTCATTCGGATTTTTCATACTAAGTGCACCAATCTCCAACTACTTTTCAACAGCAAAGATACAATATCTGGATGATCCAATGTACTTGTCAATCAATTTGATACTAGATTATTGTGGAAAAGGCTCAAATGCCTCCCCTACAGTGACTGAGCTCCTGACCTCAGTTGTGATCACAATGAGAGGAACCTAAACAGATGTTGGTGCTTCACAAATATAGATCAAAAAATTTAAGACTTCCTGATTTACTCCCAGCCTGAGGCAATATAATAATAATCCTTGGATTTGATATAGGGCCTTATTACGTCATTGAGCCGTCGCAAAGCACTTCACAGAATGTACTGTAAAGTGGATTGACTGTATATTTTGTGGGTGAAAAATGGCAGCCAATTTCTATTACAATATCTATATTGTAGTTATTAAAAAAACTTTAACCCTTAATAATAAGGTTACTTCTAAACCTTTAAGGAAGTGAAGCACTGACTCAATCTCAGGATCAGTAGACAGGTTGGCTTCATGCGAATCATTAATGAACAGGAAGAGGTTTTTATAGATTCATAGATTCATAGAATGTTACGTCACAGAAGGAGGCCATTCGGCCCATCGAGTCTGTGCCGGCTCTTTGACAGAGCAAGTCACTTTCACTAACCCCGATCACCAGCTTTCTCCCCATAACCCTGCAAACCCGTCTTCCCCAGATACCTATCCAGTTCTCTCTTAAAAGCTGTTATCGAATCGGACTTCACTACCCTTTCAGGCAGATCATTCCAAATTCGAACAACTCGCTGAGTGAAAACATTTCTTCTAACCTCCCCTCTGCTTCTTTTGGTAGATATCTTAAGACTGTGACCACAGGTCACAGACACACCTACCAGCGGAAACAGCTTTTCCTTATCTAGCCTGTTGAAACCTTTCATGATCTTGAAGACCTCTATCAGGTCCCCGCGTAACCTTCTCTGCTCTAATGGGAAAAGTCCTAACTTCTCCAGCCTGTCCTCATAGCTAAGGTTCCCCATTCCTGGTATCATTCTCGTGAATCTCCTCTGCACCCTTTCCAGTGCCTTAATGTCCTTCCTGAAGTAAGGTGCCCAGAACTGGACGCAGTACTCCAGCTGAGGCCTAACCAGTGTTTTGTATAGATTAACCATAACCTCCCTACTCTTATACTCTATGCCCCTACTAATAAAGCTCAGTACACCAAATGCCTTTTTTACTGCCTTATCTACCTGCCCCGCTACCTTTAATGATTCGCTTACTTGAACACCCAGATCTCTCTGTACGTTCACCCCCTTAAGATTGAGCTACCAAGTCTATATTGCCTCCTATCATTTTTCCTACCTAAGTGTATCACCTCACACTTATCCACATTGAAATCCATCTGCCACATGTCAGCCCATTCCACCATTCTGTGTATGTCTGCTTGCAGTTGGTTACAGTCTTCCTCACTATTTACTACCCTACCTAACTTTGTATCATCTGCAAACTTGGAAATAGTGCTCTCTATGCCCAAGTCCAGATCATTAATATATATTAGAAAGAGCAGTGGTCCCAATACCGATCCCTGAGGGACACCGCTGCACACCTCCTTCCATTTCGAGAAACACCCATTAACCACCACCCTCTGCTTTCTGTCACTTAGCCAGTTCTTAATCCAAACTGCCACTGTCCCCTTAATACCGTGGGCCTCTAATTTTTTTATTAATCTTTTATGTGGTACTGTGTCAAAAGCCTTTTTGAAATCCATGTAAATAACGTCCACCGCATTTCCCTCATCAACCCTCATAGTCAGCTCTTAAAAAAATTCTATTAGATTTGTTAGGCAAGATTTGCCTTTAACAAATCCATGTTGGCCGTTTCTAATTACCTCATGTTCCTCTAAGTAGAGATTTATTCTGTCCCGGATTATGGTCTCCAGTAGTTTTCCTATTACCGAAGTTAGGCTGACTGGTCTGATGCAACAATTAGTAACCTCAATGTTCACTCTCTCTGTAAAGTGGTGCAATTCACTCAGCGTGAATCTCTAAATACAAGCAGGACATCTATTTGGTGGTTCAATAATACATCACTGTGGTTGGGCTATACTGTTTGTAGCTGTAGGTATGCTGATCTTGGCACACTCTGAGCTTCCATTATACCTTAGCACCCTTCCACTATGAGTGAATGCACGTCTAAAGTCAGATTCTTTCCAATTTGTTTTCTTCCTTCCTCCCACCACTATCTGTAAGGAGAATCTCCAACTGTGTACATCTGATAATGAGCACTATCCAACTCTGTCCAGCAACTGACGACTGAGCTCAAGCTTCTAGTCAGGAGTGTAACACTACTTGTATTACTATCAAAACCATGACAAGAGTGTAACACTACTTGTATTACTGTCAAAACCATGACACATCAGGTGCTATATAATCAATGTAATCAGAGTAAAAGAAAAACAAAAAAAGTACCTCAATGTTTCAACCCATTCGGGTTTTAAAATATAGTGCCTTATCATGTCGTTGAAATGTCTCTAATTGGCTAAAATAGACTGGGAAATTAGATTAAAAAATGACAGTAGACCAGCAATGGCAAACGTTTAAAGATATAATACATAATTCCCAGCGATCATATATTCCCTTGAAAAATAAAAATACCACAGGAAAAGTGGTTCAACCTTGGCTAAATGGAGAAGTTAGGGAAAGTATAAATAATAATAATAATAATAATAATAATGAAATATACATATAAAATGAAAAGAAGAGGCCTATAATACTGCCAAAAAGAGCAATAAACCTGAGGATTGGGAGGGCTTTAGAGATCAGCAAAGGAAAATCAAGAAACTGATTAAGAGGGAGAAAATGGAATATGGGGGTAAACTAGCTGAGAACTAAAGACAGATTGTACGAGTTTTTACAAGTTCATAAAGAGGAAGAGACTATCAAAAGTGAATGTGGGTTCATTGTAGGCACAGACAGGAGAAATTATAATGGGGAATAAAGAAATGGCAGAGTCATTTCTGGCATTTGTTCTGGCAAACAAATATTTTGCTTCTGTCTTCACGATGGAGGACACTGAAAACTTACTGAAAATAGAGGGGAACCTGGAGGCTAATGTTAGTGAGGAACTTAAAGAAATGAACATCAGTAAAGCAATAGTACTAGAGAAATTGATAGGATTAAAAACCGATAAATACCCTGGACCTGATGGCCTGCATCCTAGGGTTTTAAAAGAGGCGGCTGCAGAGGTAGTGGATGCTTTGCTTTTGATCTTCCAAAATTTCCTGGATTCTGGAACGGTTCCCATTGATTGGAAGATCGCAAACGTAACGTCGATATTTAAGAAGGGTGGGAGACAAAAAATGGGGAACTATAGACCAGTTAGTCTGACATCAGTGGTAGGGAAAATTCTAGAGTTTTTAATTAGGGACATCGTTGTGGGGTTACTTAGAAAATCATAACATGATTAGGCAGAGTCAACATGGCTTTATGAAAGGGAAATCATGTTGAACAAATCCACCCATCCCAAAGTGTGCCTTGAACCATAAAAACAGTGAAAACAGTACATTTACTTGCATTTTTCTCCCTCCAAACCAGAAGCCATTCATTCATATTTGTGCTCATGGATCATCTTTTCAGGCCATTTCTCCTACCTTGGACTGTCCAGCCATTTCAACTCCAGCCTCCAGAAATTCATTGAAGTCTTCACCAAATTTCCCTGAAGCCTTTGCCAGATCCTGTGTAGTTCCACGCGAGGCCTGTACCAGCTCATTGGCAGATTGGTTCAAGCCAGCAGCAGCTTGGTTCAGGTGGCTCTGCGCCTCCTGGAAGTTCCTGGAACCTGGAGGGAACTAAATAAAACATTGAGGGAAAAGCGGTTATTACAGGATCAAAATCTTCAGAACTTACAAAACAATACGCCCCCACTTCAACATTAACAGCCTGGAACATAAGAAATGCTAGACGAAAAAACAGACCAAAGTCCATCTAGTTCGCCTTCCACCTACCTGGGGGTTGCATGCACATATGTCCCAAACTACCTATGTAGTATATCCCGTAATGTTATTTCCTGGAAGAAAACTATCTAAGCTTCTTTTAAGCACTACAGAAAAAACGTTCTCAAAGCTAAGGCTGAATTCAATAATTTGGCAAGTTCTGGGCACTCTCTAAAATGCTACATAAACTGTATACAGGTGGAATATCACGTCCAAACGTGTGGTAACTGACATTTCCTGGTTACCAGTTATGGCTTTCCTGCCTTCACTTCAATTTCAGATTTTTCAGCATCTGTTTCTGGTCTGTTCATTAAACCTGACCAGCAATGCCCTCTGCCCCGCGAGACATGGAGGTGGCCAATTTGTCAACTGAACCAAACCGGCGGTGAGTAAATCCAAGCGATTGCTCTGACTGCATTTAGAACTTCTGTTTACAAAGATTCAGAACATCCACTTGCACAAATGTAAGATGATAACCTTTGCATCAGATACTGTGCAATACGACATTGTCAAAACATCAATGTGTTTCATAGGATTTACTGAAGTGTCGTGACTGCACGGATTTTGCAGGCAAACAAAGCAGGTAATTTATGCACAGCAATGTACCATAATCAGCGATGAAGTGAATGACCAATTTTATCTAGGAGATTGTTAGACACTGGGAGAAGGAACTCCTTTCTGTTTTCGAAGGTGCCGCAGGAAATTTCACGTCATCTCACGAGGCAGATATTGGATACTGAGCGCTGAGAGGGCTGGCTTGAGAAACAGACGACCACTTACAGAATTTGCAAGCAGTCTTTTGCTAGCCTCCCCAACAGTTCGTAAAGCTGCGTCCACATCTCTCTGGCCTGGCAAGCAGTTCACGCATCTGTTCAGAGAGGTTGACATGGCCTTAGCCACCTGTGGAGGGGAAAACAAAATATCAAAGTCAGCAAAATCAGTTCAGTTCATTACGGATCATTTCAGACACAATTACAACCACATCAGCAACAGTAAATTTCATTTATATAGCACCTTTCACGTCGAGAGGGCATCCCAATGCGGTGAGGCTTGCATTTACAACGTTTCAGAATTTACGTGGCTTTGGAATGAGTCTGAATTACAGGAAAGATTTCAATGCAACCACAGAAGCTTTCAAAGCCTTTGGAGCCAGGCTGCATTTGTTTAAACTTGCACGACAGCACATTTGGGAGTGTCCCGGGATGTGACACCCACCAGCCTGCAGCAGGTGTGTTACCTCAGCAGGCTCTCCAGTTACAGGCTGAGAGCAACCAGTTCCTCTCCACAGTCATAGGGTGGGTGAGACAACAACTTGCAATTATTCAGTGTCCTTCACACTGGTGGTTTCCCAGGGATGCCAGTAGCCAGTCATTTCTCTCATAGACGTTTCAAATCAGATCATCCACATATTTGAAAATTGTTCCCCGCTTCAAATGCTCAAAGAGCCTTGATCTTTAAGCGAGTCAGAGGTATTAACTTGGTTTAAGTTGTACAGAATTATAACCCAACTAAAAGCTCTTCGAAGTACTAGATGGCTTACAATTCATTCTCCAGACAGAGTTCCTGATTCAGGCTGATCCAAGAACAACACTACTCATTTCTCCCCTTCCCAGCTATTCCAGCTCTGCTGCTCACCACATCCTACACAATGTACTGGTGAACTTCATATGAACAGCACAAGATGGAAATGGGATGCCAAACAAGGATGAATATTGCCTTTACCACATTAAAACCTTAACGCAAAGTATATATTCTTTTTGCCAACACTTTCCCAACAGTGCTGTGCTTTGTAGTGGGATTCAGATTCGGAATCAAATGGCCTCATCAAGACAGATCCAGCTGCAATCCAGACTTCAGACTAAAATGCTTTGGGAATTAGTTCTACAGTTATTGGGATCTGATTACATTGGGTGCCTTTAAAATTAACTTCTAAGCCATTGTATACATGAACATTGTAGTATATACCGCTTTGTCCCAGGACAGAATCCACTAAGTTCTATAGGATGATGAACCAGTCAAGTGTATCAGGGTTAATGTGCTTTTGGCTGGTTAGACTCCAGCAGTACCCCACAAACCTTGGGAGTCCCCAAGGTGTCCCCAAGCTTTGACTCTTGCCAGCTTGTGCTCAATACGGTCCAGAATTAGGTAGGCAGTGTGCTTCCCTCCAGGGAAAGAGTATGCATTCAATTCCAGACACAAAAATGTCCATATGTAGGACATTTACATATAAGAACATAAGAAATGCGGGATGAGAAAAGACCAAGGTCCATCTAGTTCGCCTTCCGGCTTCCTGGCTGTCGCATGAACATATGTCCCGAACTATTATGTACTGTAACCCATAATGTTATTTCCTAAAAGAAAACTATCTAATCTGTGTTTGAAAGAATCCATATTCATATTTACATGGAACTTTCAATCTGGTTTCAGCTCTGAAGTATGGTGGAGGGTTACTGCACTTGTTAGACACCTGGCTGACCAAAAAATAAATAGCTTTTATGTATTACAATCAGATCAGGACACCTTGCACCAGATGAGACTTTTATTACATAAAATGAAATATACACTGCCATTTGGGATACATTATTTGGTTGTTTTGACTCAAATCTAAAGGGATGAAGTGGCCAACAATGACATCTTGCCCGAAGTGAAGCTCCTGCTGTTTCTGTGCAGCTGAACAGCTTCCCCGATAACAAAGCAAACAAAAGCTTCACCTATTTCCTGACGCATACAAACAGAAGCATCACTCTGCCTGCACAGGCACACATGACCAGAGTGTGCTCTATAAAACTGTTATGGGACTTTAAGGGGTTCAGAAAGTCAGGCACTTTAGCAGCATCAGACAGTCACATTAAAGGGAAACATGACTTTTGGGGAAGAATGCAGAACTTTGTTAGCAAATTTTGGACTGTCATCTACTAGACGAGGTCATTAACGCTACATAATGGAACACTCTCACTTTGCCCAAACTAGCAGCTGAAGCATTATAAAGAAGATCTCAGTCAGGTTCAGCTTTGCTCAGTTGTTATCATTCTTGCCTCAAGTCAGGACCTGAGTTCACAGTCTCGGCTGCCAGTCCAGTGCTGGGGAGCACTATCGTTGGATGTATCATTCATTCCAATGAAACGTTATAATAATAATAATAATCCTTGCATGTGATATAACGCTTTTCACATCGGGAGGACGTCCCAAAACGCTTCACAGAACACACTGTAAAGTGAATTGACTGTATATTTGTGGGCAATTGCGCACAGCAATGTCCCACAAACAGTCGTAGATTAAAAATGACCAATTTATTATTGTTTTTGGTTTTGGAGGGATTATTATTAGGCGTGTGGAGTAAGGAAACTTGCCCAAGGTTTCGCCCTGCCTGGAATTGAACTCAGGTCTCTCACTTGCAAAGCGAGTGCTCTAACCACTGAGCTACAGGACTCCATAGTCGTTAAACAGTGGTCCTGTTTGTCTGCTCTTCCAGACTCTAAAGATCCCATAGCAATTAAATAATAATTCTTGCATTTCACAGAGTGCCATATGTCAAAATATCTCAAGGCGCTACTGTAAAGTGTAGTGACTGTTTATAGGCAAAGGCAACAGCCGATTCCACACACAGCAATGTCTCACAGCCACAAAGTTGAAAAACCAACTTTTTTATCTGGGGAATTGTTGGCCATGACATAGGGAGAAACTCCCTTCTCTTTTCAAATAGTGCCATGGGATGTTTAACGTTCGCTTTAACAGGCACTCAGGACCTCAGTTTAATGTCTGATTCAAAGGACGGAACTTCAGAGCACAGAGTACTCCTCCAGCACTGCACTGAAGACTATGCGAGGGAGAGGGGGGTGAAGAACAAGATGAAAGACCAATATGCTTGAACAGACCAACCTGTGCCAGTCGTTGCTGGTTTTCTGGGTCACCAGGCTTAGCCATAGCTTTCCTGGCCTCTTCAATCAGATTGCTCGATTTATCCATAAGGTCACTCGCAGACTCCAGCATTGCGTTGCGAGCCTGGGGATCAGTAGTGTTGGCTGCAACGCCCCGGGCAGCCGAGCTCAGAGCTTTTAAGGCTTGAGCCACTTCTCTGGCAGCCAACCCTGAGAGAGAAACACAGCGAATCAGAATACATTCTCACTCTTTATTATTTTAATCTTATAGTTAATTGCTCTCAAAACATCCAGACACCTTAATTAAGAGGAGGAATAGGCAACTCTTGAAATTGCGCACTTTCTACATACAGAAATCACTGCCCCCCCCACCCCCATCCCCTTTGATAAATATCCAGCAACTTTATATGGTTCATGAAGTCATTCTATTGTAATGTTGCCTCTCTTTAACAACAACATGCATTTTACACAGCGGCTTTCACGTGGGGCAGCGTTTCGGAGTGTTTTAAGCAGCTTCTATAGTCTTGGCCCCGATTGTCTTCCAATAGGAAGTTTGGTCACTGCTGGCAAGTGCTTTGTAATATGGTGCGTAGAATCATAGATATTTCATCCTTTTTTTTATAAAAAAGGCCTCTCCTGATGGGATGGTTCTGGCAGAAACACAGAAATTTAGTAAAATGTAATTGGCCATTTAGCTCATTGATCCTGCTCCACTACAGCTAATTCCACAGCACTATGACCTCCCCTAATCCACGCCACTGACAGATTCCCAAGACTCCCTTTCACTCAGACTGAGAGAGCCTGGACAGTGAGGATCAGAAGCTAATTCAATGACAAGTGACATTAAATTCAACTCTGGGCTCATATGATGTCTATAACAAAAGCAACAGGGGAAAGGTTTGGAAATAACGTTAATTTTTTCTCCTCCACTCTCCCTAGCCTAGTGAATTTCATTTCTAGTCTCTTCTCTTCCCTCTCCCATGCTTTTCCCTATTGACTGATGCTCTCCAATTTAGACATATCTGATGCTTAATCCCAGATCTGTCCAAGTTTCTCAGTAGTAGCCAGTATCACAAACTATCCAGTTCATTTAACCGCTGAGCTTCTGGAGAAACTGTTTTTCTCTATAAACTGAACATTGACAAGAGGACTTTGAGATACATCTCTCGATTTGTAAAAGGAACAGGTAGAGACGCATCATCAAATCCTATCGACAGTTATGGTTAGAGCTTTAATTTTTTTTAAGCTTAAAAATTATCCATTTCAACAAAACAGTAAGTCGAGACGTATTTAAAAACAGGGACAAGAGGTTAGCTCCCATATGTACACTGGGAGGAAAAAAAATAAACTGTGCGCACCTGATAATGAGCACCAAGAAACAGCCTACAACAGGATGAGACAGAAATGGCGTCATTAAATTCAGTCGCCTAACAAAACACAGGCAGGCTTCGTCCGGTTTACAAACAGCAAGCAAAGCACTCGAGGGACTTCCTGATATTGTTAGACCAGGGCAACACCACACTCTCACATCAGTGACTGCCATCATTCATTACACTGAGTTTGCTGCACATCTGTTTGCGTTTGAGGATGCACCAGAACGAAGAGGTCACACACTCAGTATTTGTTCTCAGGACCGTCAGTGCCAATAAAAACCCCACGCTTCACACAGTGGGCAAGAAACAAATCCTTAGAAAGGAAGTTAAAATAGCCAATGTGACATGCTTTCAGACTTCCTCTGGTAAATAGAAATACAGGATATCCTTTACCCTAAAAACCTCTTTAAAAATCAGGTTAAAAACTAACATTTGCTAAACAGATTGAAGTAGAAAATCCTTGACCAAGTGTCTTGGGGTAAGATAGACCAAAAATCAATACATTATGAGCACAAGGTCAGCAATGCTTGTAATAATAAAAATAATATTAATCCTTGCATTCGATATAGAGCCTGTCATGGAGGCAGCTCAAAGCAATTCACAGGATATACTGTGAAGTATAGAGATAGAGTGTATTTTTGTAGGCTAACACGGCAGCCAATTTGTGCACAGCAATATCCCACAACCAGTCATGAAGTGGTCACTGTTATAATAACCACAACAATGTGAAATCAATCACATTGGTGAAAAAAGGATAATGATAGACCTTGCATTTGATACAGTGCCTTATCATATCTTCGAGACGTCTCAAGGGCTTCACAGAATAAACTGTAAATTGAATTGATTGTATATTTTGTGGGCAAAACGAAAAGGATGCCCATATACCTTACGTTTTTTAATCCCAATTTTTCACCAATGATAACAGGTTAAAAACCACAGGTGCTGGTAGGTAGTGAGGTGGAGCCCTGGACTCATGTGAAACTCACTTTATTAGTGAAGTGAACTTCTTCACTCATAAAGCTGCGCTTACCATTACCAGCACAAGGTGGCATGAGTGAACCCAGAAAGTTGTGTTGTCGCTAAAATTAAAAACTCTTGTTTACAGTCAGCTGAGCAATAACGTCTGCTTCAAACTATTTTGTTGCGGGATTTGGGCTCCTGCATTGCATTCTGCACTCTTGGGAAATAATAATAATAATCCTTGCATTTGATATAGCGCTTTCCACGTCTTCTCGACGTCTCAAAGTGCTTCACAGAATGGACTGCAAAGTGAATTGACCGTATATTTGTGGGCGAAACGCAGCAGCCAATTACGCACAGCAGTGTCCCACAAACAGTCGTGAATTGAAAATGACCAATTTTTTTTTTTGGAGGGATTATTATTAGGCATGTGTAGTAAGGAAACTTGCCCAAGGTTTTGCCCTGCCTGGAATTGAACTGAGGTCTCTCGCTTGCAAGGCGAGCGCTCTAACCACTGAGATACAGGACTCCACATTTGGAGTGAGGCATTTGGAAATCAGAAGCATAGCACATTGGTGTAGCAATCCAATGCCAGAGCTAGGCCGCATATCTGCATATCTGCAACATCAATCTGATGTCCAGGGGCCTGATTCACATGTAGCTCAAAACAGACAACGTATTATACCAACATACTTCAGAGTTCATATAAGGCTTTAAACCTACTTTGGATTATTTTCACTATTATTCACTGCATGGCGTGCTAGTGGAAGAATCGGCCAAGCAACAACTAATATTTCTCCACTGGGAATCAGGTGGGGGTGAGGAAAAAAATGATACACATTTAGTGCAGACAACTCTCACACATCGCAAGGAAATGACCTCAAACAAAACAGCAACAATTTGCACCTATATCGAATCTTTCACTTGGCGAGAACATCGAAGGAAAAGTCTGAGTGGGAGCCCAGCCAGCAGGGAGTTAGGGGGAAGGTGGCCGAAATCACAGTCAAAAGAAATAGGTTTGTAAGTGGGTTTTGAAAGCAGAGGGAGCGAAGTAAAGGGAGAGAGTGGGGGCAAAGTAATTGAAAGCTCACCCACTATGGATGGAGTGGAGCAGGCAGGGAATAGCAAGCAGGCCTGAGTTGGTGGGGCAGAGGGAGTAAGAAGTAGAGCTGGATTGTAAGAGATCTCAGAGATACGGTGGGGCTGGGCGGTGAGGCATTTGGAAACAAGGAACAAGATTTTGGAGTCTTGTGGTTAAGGAAATGGGCTTGCGGAGCTTGCTGATAGAGAGAGAGAATGTGGCTGCAGAGGTCTGAGGCCAGCAAGCAGAGAACTAGAGACTTGGATAAGGGTTTTGGCTGCATTGGGGATGGGGAGGGAAGGGAGTGGGGGGGGTGGGGTGGCGGAGACTAAGGTTGTGACAGAGGCAGGTAATGGTCCCTGGTCCGATTATTCCTCGCACGCCCTTGTCTGTCTCTCTCTTGCTGCTACTTGTGGAGTCCTGTGGCTCAGTGGTTAGAGCACTCGCTTTGCAAGTGAGAGACCTGAGTTCAATTCCAGGCAGGGCGAAACCTTGGGCAAGTTTCCTTACTCCACACAGAGCCTAATAATAATCCCTCCAAAACCCAAAACAATAATAAATTGGTCATTTTCAATCTACGACTGTTTGTGGGACATTGCTGTGCGTTTGCCCACAAATATACAGTCAATTCACTTTACAGTGTACTCTGTGAAGCGCTTTGGGACGTCCTCCCGACGTGAAAAGCGCTATATATATGGTGGAGTCCTGTAGCTCAGTGGTTAGAGCACTCGCTTTGCAAGCGAGAGACCTGAGTTCAATTCCAGGCAGGACGAAACCTTGGGCAAGTTTCCTTACTCCATACAGAGCCTAATAATAATCCCTCCAAAACCAAAAACAATAATAAATTGGTCATTTTCATTCTACGACTGTTTGTGGGACATTGCTGTGCGCAATTGGCTGCCGCGTTCGCCCACAAATATACAGTCAATTCACTTTACAGTGTGTTCTGTGAAGCGCTTTGGGATGTCCTCCTGACATGAAAAGCGCTATATCAAATGCAAGGATTATTATTATTATTATTATATCAAATGCAAGGATTATTATTATAAAGCAGATTTGGTCAGAGACCAGAAAGGCGAACTGAGGGTCAAAAATAAACAGTGCGGTATCTGGGAACAAATCTAAACAGATTGGGGAAGAGAAATATTTTAAGAAATCAAGGGAATTATAAAAATAGAAAAATCTCCTCTTCAAGGTGACATCTGGAAAGTGACTTTACTACAGCATCCATGGCAATAATTTGACCTCTGGCACACATCTCATTAACTGAGTTATGTTGACAGCTATTATAATCTATTTCACCACATAACAAGTCTAACGCACCTGTGTAATTCTCATTTCCTTGTGTGACCGCACTCAGCAGCTGAGCAACGGAGGCACCGACCATCTTGGCACTACTTCCCAAGTCCTGGGAACACTTTTCCAGCTGTCAAAAGAAAGCATAGAAAATGAGCATTTTCCCCTCCCAAGCCTGCAGCTGTGCAATCAGGAATAAGATAACCCCCTCATTGGTACCTGTGCCATGATTCGCGTACCTACGCCACATTATAACGCAATATCCTTCACCGTGTTATGGTAATATAGAATAAAATGGAATCAAGAAATTCACTGTCATTTTAAACAAGCAGCATATCATTCCCATTTATCTTCCCCCCACCAATCTAAACACTCTTGTAGGTTTCTTAAAATTCAGCCAGATGTTAATCTGCTGTTTACATTATAGCAGGCAGGCATTTGAACCTTCACATTTAAATTTGTGCTTTGCTCCCCCCATGTCCTAGCCACTCTGCATTAAGAAAACTCATTCCTCCTAACCTCTCCATTTGCTTGTTTAAACTATAAAGAGGTCAGATTAAAATGCTTGCAGCTGGGCAACATTTTCTTCAGAACAGCTGATGCTGATTTTCCATCACCTGGAAAGCACTGCATTCCAGCTCCATAGATTAGTATTAGAAACCTGGTGCTGGCACCAAAAAAGATGGTGTTTTTGTTTTAATATTTACTTCATTCAACATGGGGTACAAGCAACATCAAAGCACCGTGTTCTGAATGAATGGAGAGCACTGACAGGTCGTTTCTGTTTGTGCTCCATTTAAGATGAATCCCCCTCAGTTGGTCCAGTGCAATCTCCGAATAAGATAACCTCTAGTTTAGATATGATGGATATTTATTCATTTGTGTCTTACCGTTTCCCCTGGCAGTGGTCGGAGTTTTCCTTCTGCTGCAGATGCTTTTGCTTCCTGTAAATCTTTCTCCATTGTCCTGATCTGGCTCAGGGCAGAGTCCATTGCCAATGGACCACAAGCTTCCTGGGCCTGTATATGGAAAACAGTGGAATGTTATTAGGAATATAGGAATAGCTGGACGAAAAAAGACCAAGGTCTAACTAGGTCATCTTCTACCATCCTGGTAGTCACGTATTACAATAATAATGTAGACAACAACAACAACAAGATTACATTTGTATAGCGCCTTTCACGTCGGGAGGACGTCCCAAGATTATTCATAATAATAATATTCATAATTATTCATAAGAATAATAGACGATTATTCATGGCAATCAATCTCTATCGATTAGTCTACTTCAGAAGCAGGCATGAGACGAGGAAAACCCACCAGTGGTGAAAAGCTTTGGGAACCACAGATTTAACGAGGAATCTGTGAAACTCCCTCTCTACCCCTCCACCTCGTTATCCGTCTTTTATTCTTCCCTAAAAATCTCTCTTCAGCACCATCTGTGATCACCAACCCTTCTCTCCCAGGCTTTAATTGTATAAAGTTACAACCGCACAGGACAAACATCACATAGCGAACACTCATACTCAGTGTCAACTCCAATTGCAAATCATTCTAACTTGCCTTCTGTGCAGCCGCTCGCAGTTCTTGTAAGGTGTTGGCCAGGTTCTTAGCGCACTGGCTTAGCTGCATGGCCGAGGCCTGCTCTCCCACAGTGGGAATTGTAGCTCTGGCAGCAGCAACCATCTTAGCACCAGGCTACAAACAAACAAACAGTCAATAATAATAATTTTTCAAAGCACTTCCCAGAATATTCTGTATATTTTGTGGGCGAAACGCGGCAGCCAAATGCACACAGCAGTGTCCCACAAACAGTCATGGATTGAGTGACCAGATTCTTATATATATTTTTTAAAGGGGATTATTACCCCTGGAAAAGCGATCCACCAAAAGACTAGAAGCTGGGTTCCTATTTACTGGTATGTAAACAGAGGTGTGTGGAGTAAGGAAACTTGCCTAAGGTTTCGCCCTGCCCGGGAATCGAACCTGGATCCTCTCGCTTGCGAGGCGCGTGCTCTAACCAATACGCTACTGGACTCCACAAGAATGCTTCAGGCATACTATGCGATAGGTTCCATGCACTCTCTTACTGAGAAAACTATGAATGTGGATAAATCATCATTGCGACTATCAATTTCTTTCGGTTTTGTGCTCAAACTTTTTGTAAAAAAGAATTGTGAAATTAGAAAAATTAAAAAAATGAATAGTTGATATCTGACAAAAAAACACCAGAAAAATTAAAAACTTATTTTTCCCAACCCCCATGTGTGGTGCATGGACAAGATGCATGCACCACACTTGAGCTGTTCATCATGTGTACAGAGCAATGGACTAGGCTGTTCAGCTGTGTGGTGTATAGAGCGGGCGACCAGGTGGGATTGTAGACCTGGCGAGTGTGTACCTGCAGGAAGTTCTGGCTCGCACTTATGAGTGCCAACTGGGCGCTGGGACTGTCGGGCTGGGATTGGCTGCCCCGTACACCTTGGACCAGCAGTGGAATCTGTTCAGCAACAACCTGCAAACACAAGAAGAAGCGTCCTGAAGCCTAACCCCAGACCTAAACGTTCCACGACCTTGTATCCATGCAGGATAGAACTTTGAGTAGCGCTTAAAAAAAAATTTGGGGTGATGGGAGGAGCAGAAAGAGAAGATTATGAACACCCAATGTTCCAGAAACAACCGTTTCATGACAAGTATAAATTTAAGGTATTGAGGGTTACAAGAGGTGTAGTTCGGGATTACATCTGTTCATATTTTGGGACAGTGCTCAATGATGGAAGCAGTGGGCACAGACCAAGAAATGAAAGGAATTTAGAGGTCATCGAAGGTAACAAACAGAAGGATGAGCTTTTAGGGGGTTTTTGGAGGTTAAAAGGAGAGATGCAGCAAGGCAAAGTGATCTTGGAAGAGTGCCATAGAGGACAGCATTGATGGCTAAACACCAACCTCTCTCTCACCCAACAAACAATAGTGAAGGAGAGGGAATTGAGTACAAGCAATAAACCAGAGAGAGACTGGCATAAATTATTTGATAAATTTGGTATAGCGCTTTTCACGTCTTCTAGACGTCCCAAAGCGCCTCACAGAATATACTGTAAAGTGAATTGACTGTATATTTGTGGGCGAACGCGGTAGCCAATTGCGCACAGCAGTGTCCCACAAACAGTCGTGGATTGAAAATGACCAATTTATTATTGTGTTGTTTTTTTGGAGGGATTATTATGAGGCGTGTGGAGTAAAGAAACTTGCCCAAGGTTTCGCCCTGACCTGCCTGGAATTGAACTCAGGTCTCTCACTTGCAAAGCGAGTGCTCTAACCACTGAGCTACAGGACTCCATAAGGCCAGAGAGGAGCACAGAATAGGTATATCAAGATAGTGGAGGGAGCAGAACAAAAGTACTGAAACAAATTTATTTCAAAGGCGTGGCAAGGATGGGGTGGGGGGGATGAGTGACAGATGGGGAGTCTGTAAGGAGTACAGTAAATCTCACATAAGACATATCAGTTGGGACTACATATTTAACATGAGTTATGCAAGGTGTGAGTTATGTGAAACTCACGTAAGTCGCATCATGTACAACTTATTTAAAATTATGTACAGGTAGGATTTTATGTGACTTACACATCATAAATACAAACATACTGAATTGGCTGGTGACATTACGGCAAGGTTTAACTATGTTTAACCCATGCATATTAAAGCTCTGCGGGTTTTACTTTAGAAAGAGGTAGTCTTTTTCCATACGACTACTTCTGGATAAGGGTTTAGTAAAAGGGCTTGAAATAAATATTCCTTTGAAACACTGCAAAGGTGAAAACTATAATAGAGCTCTCACCTTACAGCTCTGGACCATCTGCTGCTGTACGGCTGGGTTCTTGTTTGACGAGGCAGCGTGTTGAGCCGCAGCAATAGTCTGTGTTGCAGCAGCTGCAGCTTGCTTCGCTGCGTTCTGAAGAGAGAAAGGCACGACCGTAAAATTCAAGTTCAACATTTCCCCCTCCTCGTTTTGTTACGAAACTAGAATTATTTTACAAATCATATACAACACCAGATAAAACCATTAACTCTGCATTCACTCACAAAATACACTTTACAGTGCGTTGAGATGGCTCAAAGACATGATAAGCCACTAAATCAAATGCAAGGATTATTATTATTATCATCATCATCATCTACTGAGCTTCAACTCATGCTGTTAAAAACATGCATGAGCAATAACAGCCATTCAGAGAGTTTTGTGCGATGGTCCAAGAGCATTAATGTCCAGTAATGATAAAAAATACTCGATGCTCAAAGTTTTTCAGAAGTTGATTTGTAAAGTGCAGGGATTGCAATTATCTGCAAACATAGCAGCTATTTTGAGCGAAACAATGCTCCCTTGTCAAGCAGTGAACCAATTTCTTCAGTTTAATGTCTAATCTGAAGGACAGCACCTCTGACAATGCAGTACTCCTCCAGCACTGAATTGAGATGTCAGCTTAGAGTTTGGCTTGAACCCATTAACATCTGACTCGGAGGCGAGAATGTTATCAACTGTGCCAGGCTGACACCTTGAAGAGCTTTTTGGCTGAGCCAAAAAAACAATTTTCAAGCAAGACTACCCAGTTAATAATGATGCATGACAACTCTGGCTTAATCTCTCTCTATAGTCATTGGACACTAGTGTCAAGTGTGTTCATCAAATGCCCCGTTGAGATCAATTAACTCAGTCCACTGAATGTGGGACCTTTTGGACAGGATGGACCAGGGCATTTCTCCATGAATGCACATTGCTATCAGAGAAGCCTGAAAACCCCACTTCAGGCTTTACCTCTGTTAGTACAGTCCTTGCTATGACAATAACTGACAAAGGCTACAGGCAACATTCACCTGTTACATCAGGTTTTTCCACTCACCTCTAATTTGTTCATTAATTTCTTCTTGATGGCATTCTGGGCTGCTGCATTGGTGGCCATTCGCAAACCTTCAGCAGCTTCTCTCAACCTCTGCTGCTGCTCTTCACTGTCAGGATTAGCTGCTGCACCCTAAACACCAAGAGACAACAACAAAATAATTCAACCTTCCCTTTGTACAACCAACATCAACACAGAATGGTGTAATAAAACTACAAAAAAAATGAAACTGGAAAAAAACTTTTCTCCAGGCTTCTTTTATGCTCTTGAAACCACGATTTGGCAAGTAGACACTGGGAAAGAAAAAAAAACTAGCAGCACTTTGTATTTGTGTGGACTTTGATGCTACAGACTACACACAAACTCTCTTAGCTATCCCAATTTTAACGTTACCTTTGCAGCTTCCACCATCTTGGCAGTGGCGTCTGCTAACAGCTTGGCTGCAGAGAGCAGCTTCCTGGAGTGCTCGAGGTCTGATTCACCTTCAGCATCGGCTTTGATGGCGTTCACCAGATCCGAAGTCGCTTGAGCCAGAATTCTTGCCTGACGTACCATTTCACCTGTTTTGGGGATAGGTGATAGGAGGGGAAAAATAGAGAGAAAACGCATGAGAAAATGGCATTTACTATTTAATAAATATTCTGCACAAAATGCTTTATGGAGATCAAATTAGCCAGAGGACAAGAAGCGCACATCACAGTACCATTGAGACAAATCAATACTAATACAGTTAACAAGATTAGTTTATGAATACAGAAGTGATGATACTGATGGAAGCTTTAGCCACGCATCACATTTCATTTGTAAGCAGATGTTTAAATGTAGAAGGACTTTTTTTAAAAAAAATCTTATGGTGGTTTCCCAATCGAGATAATAAGACATTACATGTTCACCTGCAGCAACCCGTAAAGTCACAAGCCTGCGCATTCATCAAAAGCACAAACATCCTTACCAGCATCCCCCATGGAGCTGAAAATGTTCTCAGTGACTGTCAGGATGGTGTCTGTGGCCTGATCGTAACGTCCTAACGGGTGTCCTCCGGTGGCGTACAGCTTGATGTGCTGGAGGAGGTCATTGAGGGCCTGTGATACAGTGGTGGCAGCCACTCCAACCTGCTTCAGCAGCTGCTCGTCTTGTGTGGCAGCCTGCGAGGCCTCCACACAGCCCTCCACTGACTTAGCGACCAGCTTGCCAGCTTCAATCAGCTGCTCCTGACATGCCGGGGAACTAATGGTTGGAGCTACAACCTGCAAGAGTAGAAATAGATGCAACTTCCTTACCAGTGCTTTACTTGTACAATCAGATGTCTCTTAGGGGAACCTCATTTTGCTCTGATGGTAGTTAAATCAGAACACAGAATAAAATGTTTACATACATATCACATTTATTATATGTGAATTACTTACAATATATTATAAATCGTGTTATCATCATATTTTATATACGGATATTATAATCACAAGATTACCCCAAAAAATCTATTACAAGATTAAAATACTATTTTAAGAAAATGCTCATTTTTATAAAGCTTTCCAACCAGAATCCTTTCTGAAAATTTGGCTATAGCTAGTCTGCCCAATACAGTTTTTATTTTTTATACTGCATATACATTGGAAAATAAATCTGTGTAAACAAGGGGTCAAATAGGACAGTCTCTTCCTAAAATACCCCAAAAGGCCATTTGGAACATACTCAAAAGAAATAATTTGTCTGCAAAATACCGCCATGACACTTTAGAGTGAATCCTGTGAAACAATTTGAGGCATCCTCCTGATGTGAAATTCCCTATATCAAATGCAAGGATTCTTAGTGTTGTGATAACGTATAATGTACTTCAACGATGGATAATTATTTCTGCTACAATGATTTGTGCTGCATATAAGGGGTTTGTTTCACTATATAAGGCATAATATTTTCATCAAGGAGTGCGGAAGCTGTCTGTTGCAGTGGTGGATGTTTAGTTCTGTAAGGTCTGAAGAACCTATCTTGAGGTGGCAGCGGGCAGAGCTTTCTTGTGTCTGAATAAAAGTACCCAGTGCAATCATAGGAGTATAGGAACAGGAGTAGGCCATTCAGCCCCTCAAGTCTGTTCCATCATTCTATTAGATTATGACTAATCTGTACCTCAACTCCAAATACCGACTGTTGCCCATATCCTTTGATACCCATACCTAACAGAAATCTATCCACCGGAGTCTTGAAAATCTGACTGGATGCAGCATCTACAGCCTTTTGGGGGAGAGAGATCCAGATTTCCACTACGCTTCCACCAATTTCATTAATACTTTAAAAGTTCACCGCGTGCTCGTGACCAACAAACGAGGTCTTGTAAACGCTTACCTTAGTACAAGCCACGAGCTGCGAGGTGGAGAGAGCACACTGTGTCGCAGCGGCTATGACACGATTCTGCAAACCCGAATCATCTGCTTTCTGAGCCACATTTTTCGACCTCAGGACCAGTGCTGCTGCCGCATTTGCCACAGCTTTGGCCAGCTGCATGAGGACCTCCTGGAAATGGTCAGAAAATCGACAAAATTAAGAACGGCAACATTCGACAAACGTGGGAGAAGAATCAATAGGAATCTACTATTCATCAGCTCAGTAAATTCAAGATTTCCACAAGTTACTCCAGAGAGTTTGTTTGATCCAAAATTCCAGGGCAACATAAACCAAGATCATCCATGTTGCTAGATTATATTGGATTACTAGTTATATTATGGACACTGAAAGGCTCTATCTGGCTTGCACGGCATTGTTTAACCTCATTTCCCAGGTTTATTAACGCTAATGTAAGCTACGTCAGGTCTAGGTGGTAACAGAGATACGGTCAACAATCCCCTATATTTAATAAAATTGGTCATTCATTTAGTTTGTGCAGCATTGGAGGGTGCAAACTTGTTGCTACTTTCACCTACAAATACACAATATGCTTCGCAGGAAAACAGTAAAACCTGTGAAGCACTCCGAGACATTTGGACGGCCTGCATGATGTGGCATTATATTCGGGATGCTAACCCGTGTGAAGGGCGCTATGTAAATGCAAGTTGTTGTTGTTGCATATCAAATGAAGGGATTTTATTGATATTATTGTAATATAAAACAAATTGGAATAGTTTTGTGTGGTTTCCCTTTGCTAAATATCCATAATTTCATACACTTAAGTCATTGTTTCCTGACAGCCTATCCAGTCACAGCACTAATTTAAAAATTAGAGCAAAGTTTAAAATAAACCATATCAACCAGATAGTTCCTTTTCAAAGATTAAACAGTATAATAGTCAAAACAAACTGAGGATTAAACTGAAATGTGTGCATTAAAGAAATTATTGGTGAACACCACTCTGTACTTATCCCAAAGTGCACTGATCAGGCAAGAAATGGACCCCTGCTGCGGAGCCTTCATATGTAAGCATTCTTGCTGCTGAAACGTCATTCATGAATCTAGTTTCCAGCTTTAGGAATTGAATGACTTGTTGTTAAGTTCTGGTACTTCGCTGCCCAAAATACCTGGGTCAAAAAGTGCCAATGATCTCTGCATCTAATTTTTTTTTATAAACTGATTCCCTCCATACTATGAACCAACACAGGTTTCTTGCAATTACAAGACAAACACTAACCAATGCAGCGTGGGATACCTGCAAAGTGGTTTGATTAAAATTTAATCTGGAGAGAAATGCAATCAGATACATCCACCTCAAATAGTTAGTACATTTTCTAACGAGACTTCAGTTATTATTGCCAATTCTGATTCCATGGCACTTTCAGATTCGGAGAAAGAGAAAAAAAATCAAATCCCAATTATTCAAAATATATAATAATTTTTAAAAAGCACTGAACGAATTGCATTTACCGGTCTGAGAACAAAGCCTGAAACAATCCTTGATGTGTATTTGTGTGCATCTACAGGAAGCTGTACAAAGCATTTACAAAAATCCAACAGAAGGTTAAGACACTTTAAAACGCAGCTGTAAATGTGCAATTATACTACGACTGAAAAAAAATGTAATTTCCATTAGCGCATACCTGAAATCGTGGATCGGCATCGCTTTCCCCGATCTGCTGCAGAAGCTCACCACTTGTGTGGCCCACAGTTCCAGCAGCAGTGAGTAGGTGCTGACGAGGCTGAAACACAGACAGGGGCGAGTATGAATGCTTTCTGCATCTCATTCAATAAACAAATCCTTACTGTCAACTTGTACCAATTATCAGCTTTGACTGATAAATTGGAAGGGGGGAAGAACGTAGTAACACTGGGCACTGCACAGTAGATGTCGTCTGTTTACTGTGACAAAGATCACCTGCTCTTTCCGTCACTTGCATGCATCTTTAATACGGAACATCGACTGGTGATTCTAGTCGACAAATCCTACATAATTTACAAGGTAAATGTGATAAGGAGGACTGTAAATAATTCACTTGCTCAACTTTGCTGCACATTGCCTAAAAACAGACAATGTGCCAGTTATACTAGGAACTGACACCGTTGTCCTATAAAACCTTAGCCAGTGCCTTTAACTCTCTGCAACATGCAGTCATGAAAAAGCCATGGCTCATGTCCTCTTAAGTGTCTTATCTAAAGCAGAGCTTGCAAAACCCAACTTTCCCTCACGTCCCAATCTATTACAAGGGCACCTGCAATTTGCTGTTGATCAGTTGCAATGCAACCTTGCGTGCTCCCCCGCTGCATTTAGGTAGATTTTAAAGTGGGTAATGGTTGGAATTTATTGCGCTTTGCATAGGCCAACATATATTTGCCCACAAAACATATAGTCAATTCACTTCACAGAATATTATGTGAAGCGCTTTGAAATGCCTTGAAGACGTGATATGGCGCTATATCAAATGCAGGGATTATTATTATATACAGCAACAGTTTGCTGCTTGTATACAGCACTGGCCCACTTGACTCAGTACTTTGATGAATCAAACAGTACAAGTTAACCTCAGCAGTTGCTGGCTGAGCTGTCTTCAATAACTCTGAAACAGCACAGGCCAGGTTCTTGGCAGCTTTCAGCAGCTGCTGTCCATTCGCGCCCTCGTCTTCCATCAGGGCCGCCAGTAGTTTGACGCCTTTTGACATTTCCGTCAGGTTTGAGGAGATGGTGGTCACTGCACACCCAACGGCACTGTAATCTGTATCAGCAGGGTTTCCTGTTACATAAAACCAGCAGACCAAGATTAATATAATGCAACTCCTAAGCAATAAGTATGAAAATAAAAAGCTTCTCCGCTGCATCCCTAGGAGCTCAGAACCATAAAGGAGAACTGTTTCGACACAGGAGTTTTATGCCACAAGCTTAAAATGTACTTGAAAGTTGCTGTCCTTGGAGACAAGAACAGAGTGCTTGTTGTCCCTTCTAAACAGAATTCAAATTACATATTGCACAGACATAAATGTTCTTGCTTTTATTAACTTAATGAAACATGCTAATTATTATACCCAGGAATAAAACTTAAAAGTTATTCATAAATCATCCCAAATCAGCTTTGATTTTCTCTGCTAAAAGCACAACCACATAACCGCTTACTTAACGCTCAAAATTACACCCAATACTTAAGACCAATTTGTCTTAAAAATTTAACAAGAATTAGGATTTTAATTGTGTTTATTTTTGCACTGCACCAAATTTAAGAATTTTCCACCAAGATATTAAAAATGTAAATAAAATGCAAATTAAATCAAATACTTGACTGCCCAGCAGTTTGGGACGTCCTCCCGATGTGAAAGATGCTATACAAATGGAATTGTTGTTGTTGATGATGTTGTCGTTGTAAATCAAAATGGTTTTATTGGCTAAGACGAAGGAAATTTCTGCCAATGAGTTCACGAACCTGCGGTGAGATTGACCACTGATGCTGTGCCTGCAGTAATCGCATCAACCTGGGAATGGATCTCATGTTTGGATTCATCCATTTTCATTTTTTTCCATTCATTTGAGGCCTAGGGGCACAAACATAACATTATTGCAATCTCTTCAACAGCAAAGGACACACAATACAATTAATGCAGTACTATTGCTCACCAGTGCTGCAAAACAACCTGTGTAATGGACTCACAAATCAAGACTACAATATACAGTAGAGCTTTATGAAACTGTTAAAAAGAAATCTATTAAATATGAGTAAAAGTAGCAGCGGTGAAAAGTATGACCACAACAAATGTTAATTCAATATGCATCCATCAAAACAAACTACTTAAGGAATAATCCTAGAGATTATTGTTCTAGTCAGTTATTTAACTAGACTAATAAGTGGCTTGCTTGGTTCGGGTGAGAACAATGTAGTGAGTAGATTGTGCATTTGAACTCCACAACAGGACTTTTAATCATAATAGAAATAAACATGACAAGGGAACACTGGATGTACTGTCTTGCTGGTGAGATGTTAGCCTGTTGCGATGAACATTAAGATCCAATGGTACTGTTTTAAAAAACAGGACATTTTCTCCTACCAAGTTCAATATTCCTCTCATTCAAATTCAGGCCCAGTAAACCTTACTCTGGAAGATGAATAATTGATGAGTAAATAACTGGGTTTTTTCTCAGATTTCTTGGCCAGCAATCACCCAGATTAAAATTGCTGAATCATTTCAGTGCTGCTTGTGGAATCTTACCGTGTGACCATTGGCTGCCGTGTTTGTCTACAAAAACAAAGTCACTATACTTTGCAATAAATCCTGTGAAATATTGTGAGAGGTTATGATGATGTGATAAGGTACTATACCAAATGCGGAGTGCGTGTGTATGTGGCAGAAAGCTTGGACAGTACACAGTTCATTTGAATCTGTGTTAAAGGTTCTGACTTACAGCATCGTGTCCAAGGGGTGGCAAGGCATCAAGATCATCCAGACTGGCTGTTGCTTGCTGAACAGCCTGCATGCTGGAGTTCAGAGTTCCCATCAGCGCTTGCTGTGCAGATGTCTACAAATAAAACATGCAATGTAAAAACCAAGTAAGAACAAATAGGATTTTAATCATGTTTATTTTTGCACAGTTCATTGCTTCTATTATTGGGTTGTCGATATTATTATTATATATTATTAGTACTGAATATTGCAAACTGATACAGCACCCTGAAAGCAACCACTAAACCCTCAAGGATGGCAAAGAAAATCTTCGGAAAAATAATCATTGAGAAATCATTAGTTGTGGTATGTTTCATCAGGGGTCTCCAGACCGCAGTGAGGAGCAGGAAGCCTGCACTCCCCCCACAAGCCTAACCCAATGGTGCCGAAGCCAAAGTCCTTATACATGTTTGTATGCCTGAAACATGTATATGGAAGGGCACTGGTCTGATATTCCCTGGTTGCAAAAATCCGAAATAGTGGCAAGGCAATAAACTATTTATTTCAAAGGCTTAGCCTTGGTATTCATTTTACATCATTTAACTGGTTGGCACTGAAGAGTTCTAGTTCCAGGAAACATTTCTTACCAGTGGAGGCATGTGTCCACAGTGCATCTGTCCACTGGTCACCTGCTGCTGGGCTGCTGGCATTGACCCAACCTGGAAATTCTCCCGACCCCCAGCACCAGAACGCATGATGGCTGGTAACGCTACTGACCCATGCTCCAAAGTCCCAATTCTGTTAAACTGTTGCTGCATGATGGTAGATCTGTAAAGAGCAATAGTGTGAGCAGAAGTCATTCCGTATGCATTTTCAAACAAAAACTATTAACTCATTTTATCTCATTGCAGAACTACACACGGAAAACCTCAAAAAATGATCGCCATAAGAATACAGACTCTGAACACATCAATACATTCAGGCGTACAGAGTTCGAAAACTTCTTTCTGGTCAACCAGATGTTTGACACTTGTACAGCTCAACTCCACAGAGACCGTTCGCCCCCCCACCCGCCACTTACCTCCCACAACAAGGAGTTCAGTTGTATTTTCACTGATGTCTCAAAGTGCTTTACAGGATATACTGTAAAGTGGTCCGACTGTATTTTGTGGGGGAGCAAAATGGTGCCCACTGTTCAGCTCCGGATCCAGTGTTCAAGCATGAGTAGAGTTCTAGTTCCAGGAAACATTTCTTACCAGTGGAGGCATGTGTCCACAGTGCATCTGTCCACTGGTCACCTAATATAGTGAGCTAATATAGTGGTATAAGAACTAGTTCTTAAATTAATGAAATGAACACCTTTTTTTTTGTGACTTACTTCTTAGGAGACACAGAATCCTCCAACATTGTGGATTCTTCATCACCTTCTAGTCCAAAATGATCTTTGCTTTTTTTCTGCAACAGATACAAAGTTGAGTTGATTCAACAGCTTTCACTTGTAATAGCACCTTTTACCTAGAATGTGAAAACTTCATAGGGAGAAGGAGAAAAATGTTTTTAAAGAGGATTTTCAAGGCAAAGACCTTTTGGAAGGGTGTTCCAGAGAGGCAAACACAGAGTGTCTGGAGGCTCGACCACCAATAGTAGGACAGAGGGAGTGAGTAAAAATAAGTATTGCTTTGAAGGAACCTATAATAGTAGTAACAATTATTCGGTGCCCTTCCCCTACCTCAAAAGTTCAAACTCTTAATTCCAGGGCATATTTTTGTCACTTCTTGACCACTAGGTGGTGCATTTTCTGGTCACCAAAAAAACAGTGGGACCTGCGCAGACCAAATAGCAGCAGCAACTTGCATTTATACAGTGCCCTTCAATAGGAGGAAGGGTTTATAATGCACCCTTTGTGTCCTTGGATACATCACTCAAGTGATCCTCCTTTTGTATTGAATTGTCCCTGTATTGTACAGGCACAAGCATGGGCAAGGCATTGAGATACTAATCTGCCACAGGAGCTGTCATAGCTAAGATCACTCCGCCTCTCCCAGCCCATGTTCTCATTCCTACACCCACACTGGACTGTAATCAGGGACAAAAACTGGCCAAAATCTCGCCTCCCTAACCCAGGTGGTGCTGAAACCAAATGAGTCAGTCTGCTCCCTGTCATCGATCCATGAACCCCACAGATCAGGGAAGAAACGTGAACCTTCCTGGTGAGTACAGCTTACTCACTCTCCACTGCTATTTTTTACCCTCCGTTACTGCCTTCCTGTGGTCAAGCACTGTAACAGAACAACAGGCATAGCTTTGTGCCAATCACACCGAAAGTGCACGAAATTGTAAACTTCTCTGAAAATCATGGCATTCTTCTTCATCAATATCTCTTGGAAACCACTGTAAACTTTTAGGCAAGGGAATCTTGGGGATTTCTTCCGATATCTGCGCATTCATTTACGTACAATTAACCAGCTGTAAAATGTACTGGATTGAATACCTTTTTCAAAATGATATCGATGTATCCAGCTATTAGCTGTGCAATTTGTTCCCCCTCAGTTGTCTGAACTGAATAGTAACCGTCCTGGTAGTCACCAAAATCCTGAAAAATAGAAATACATTTAATGAGGTGAAGAAATTCAGCCCCAATCAGCAATGTGCTCTAATTTGTATCAATGTCATCGTCATCGCCATCCGCCCAAAAAATCTAGGCTCCTAGGCTTCCTCCTTGCCTATGACATGTAACAATGGAGGGAGTATTCCTCCCATTCGTCTCCAAGGTTCTGGAACGTCGTCGGGTCCCAGCTCCGCTCCTTTCTTTCTTGCCATTCCCTCTTTGAAACCCTCCAATCCGGCTTCCGCGCAGCCCACAGCACAGAAACAGCCCTGGTCAAAGTCACTGATGACATTCTGAACATCTGTGATCAGGGCTCCCTCTGCCTCCTTGTCCTCCTCGACATCTCTGCTGCCTTCGACCACTCCATCCTCATACACTGCCTCTCTTCTTTACTTAATCTTCATGGACCTGCCCTTGCCTGGTTCGATTCCTATCTCTCTCACCGTCTCCATTTTGTTGCCTCTTAACGGTTTCTCCTCCACCCCCTGCACTGTCACGTCTGGTGTCCCCCAGGGCTCTGTCCTTGGCCCTCTCCTCTTTAATACCTACATGCTCCCCCTTGGTGACATCATCCGCAGACATGGGGTCAACTTCCATATGTTTGCGGATGACACCCAACTTTATCTTTCTGCCTCCAACCTTAACTCCAGGACCACTGCTGTCCTGACAAACTGCCTATCGGACATCAAGTCCTGGATGCGGGCAAATTTACTACAGTTGAATGTGAACAAGACTGAGGCCCTCCTGATTGGCTCGCGCCAGCGCCTCAGCACCTCAGGCTCTGGCAGCATCAACCTCCATGGTTGCACACTACAACTCACCGCCAGTCAGGAACCCAGGTGTCTTGTTCGACCCTCAACTGTCTTTTCTTCCCCACATCCAAGCCATGACCCGCTCTGCCTTCCCTCACCTCCATAACATCGCCCGACTCCGCCACTACCTCACCCCTCAGGCCGCTGAAACTCTTGTTCATGCCTTCGTCACCTCCAGGCTCGACTATGCAAACCCCCTGCTTGTCGGCCTTCCCAACTCCTCCCCCCACAGGCTGCAGATAATCCAGAACTCTGCAGCCCGTGTCCTCTCCCACACCAAACTCCGTGACCCCCATCTCCCCCATTCTCGCCCGACTCCATTGGCTCCCTATCCTTCAGGGGATCCAGTTCAAACTCCTGGTACTCACCTATAAAGCCCTTCATGGCCTCGCTCCACCCTATCTCTGTGACCTCCTAACCCCCTAACAACCCACCCGCTCCCTCTGCTCAGCCGGCTCCAGCCTGCTCCAGGTCCCCAACCCACTTGCCCCACCATTGGCGGGAGAGCCTTCAGCCACTCTGCCACCATCCTCTGGAATTCCATCCCCCAAACACTCCTCCTCGCTCCCTCCTTAGCCTCCTTCAAGTCCCGCCTCAAGACCCTCCTCTTTGACCCTGCCATCGGTCACCCCCCTTCCCCTCCCCTCCCTTCTCCCCCCGACCCCTACTCGGATCTGAAATGCTGTGCACTGTCCAGCGCCTTGGGACGTCCTCCTGACATGAAAGGCGCTATACAAATATTCAGAGGTGTGCAAGATCAGTTGACTCAAATTTCAATTTTGCTCTATGGGGATTTCTGTCTGCTTGGTAGCTGCTGCAAACAAATCGACTGTGAAGGAACCCAATATAGGGGAGTAAGGGAAATGAAAGAGGGCAAATAAATGAATAGTAATATCCAACAAATTTAGATACAATCTTTAGTCTGTGTAGAGTGGGTTAATGTCACTCGAGACTGAAATAGGGGTTGCCAAATTAGCCTCGGTGTTCCTATGCCATGGGATTAGGGGGGTGGGGAGGTCGAAGAAAGAAAAAAAGACTACAAAGACTCTCACTCAGTCTTCACTGGAAAGTACATGTGTGGGAATAGGATCAGGAAGGATTTACCCAGAACTAAATATTTTTATCCAGGCTTACATGAAGAATGGTCTTTTTCTTTAGAAAGGTTTTTCACTTCTTCATGCAGCCAGGCTGTGGGAACGTTCTGCAGCACAGTGCACTGATGTGATTTTGGTGTTTTATCCTAGTTTACAAGAACGCTCATATTGTTGACAACAGAACGTTAAATTGTACTTTTGGCCTTTGGCTAATGAGCAGTAAAACTAGCCAAGGACATCTCTGACTGAAACAAATGCCACTCCTTAATAAGCATGTCAGGAGACGTCCTGAGCACACATTTTATCTAAAAAAAATTGTCATTCTGAATGACTGAGTTAAAGTTTAATCAACAGGATGTTACATCACGACAGACTCAACATACACTCACTCCATCAGGAACTTGCACAATTGGTTTGATATATCAGAACGTTCCATTTCAATTACCAATTGGCACAGCTCCAGAGACAGGTGACCCAATTGAGATGAGTCAGAAGGTGGAATAAGAATATTTATGGTCTATAACTTTAAGACACTGACTGTCTAGCTGAACACTAAATTATACAGATCATTTGTTTTTGGGGGGTTGGGGGATGGGGTGAAGAGGAGCCCTTCCAAATCCTGCCAATGAGCCAGACTGGCTGTGCTGTCTTCATCAGCATCCTGGAGAACTGCGGTCCTGCCTGGCTCAGGGTACAGATCAATTCAGTGTGTGTTAAGTTAGTTAATCTTAGCAAGAGCTGTTGTTGGGGTATGACATTGGCACCAACATTCAAGATGCACCTGGACAGAGTAATGATTCTCCAATTTAACTGGTCATTTTTCTCAAGTTGGAACTCACTGGAATAACTGGCTATCGAGAAAGACAGTCACTATATTTAGTAATTTAAGACATTTTGATGCAAGTTCAGTCTTTTTCGTGAATCTCAGGTGAGGCAATAATTAAGCATTGCAACAGAAGCCTCACTGGTTGCATCATTGCAAGTTACAGGAAGCTTGGGGATTAAAATGTTTATAGAAGCACTTGACTAAAGAATTTAAGAAACCAAACAAATCCAAATTGGACCTTTTAGAACCTGCACTTACAAGGACTGTGAAGATAGCCAGTGGTCTAATAGTTTAGACAGTAAAATGAATTATCATGGGTATCAATGACCATGCTGTTGAAACTAATTGTTTTTTTNATTGTTGAGCGAAGTTAGACCTGCTCACCCGCATTAACCGAATTAGAATTAACCGAATCACACCCCAGGACGTGGTGGCGGGGTGGCTGTCATCACCCGGTCCTCGCTCAGCCCTTTCCCTTCCTCCTCTGGAACTTTCCCCTCCTTTGAGAACCTTACACTCTATCACCCCTCCAACCTTTTCCTCAAAATTCTTCTCCCCCCCAAGCCTTCCCCCACCTTCATCCCCAACATCTCCACCCTTCTATCTTCCCTCTCCCTCAGCTCTGAACGCCTCCTCATCCTTGGCGATTTCAACCTTCACTTCACCCTTCCTGCTCTACCTCCCTCCAATCGGACTTCCGTGCCGCTCACAGTACAGAAACCGCCCTGGTCAAAGTGACAAGTGACATTCTGTCCATCTGCGACCAGGGCTCCCTCTGCCTCCTCGACCTCTCTGCTGTTTTCGATAATGTTGACCACTCTATCCTCATCCACAACCTCTCCTCTCACCTCAACCTCCACAGCGCTGTCCTTGACTTGTTCAGATTCATATCTCTCGCACCGCCTGCACTTCATCTCCTCTAGTCCCCATACCGCCTTGTGTGGTGTTCCTAGGGGTCTGTCCTTGGTCCCCTCCTCTTCAATATCTATATGCTTCCTCTTGGTGACATCATCCGCAAACATGGGGTCAACTTCCACATGTATGCGGATGACACCTAACTCTACCTCTCTGCCTCCTTGACTCCAGGACCACTGCTGTGCTGACTGAGTGTCTGTCAGACATCAAGTCTTGGATGAGAGCTAACTTTCTTCAATTGAACGTCAACAAGACCGAGGCTCTCCTGATTGGTTCCCATCAGCGCCTCCTCACCTCAGGCGCTGACCGCATCACCAGCCATGGTTGCACACTCCACCTTACTAAGCCAGTCCAGAACCTTGGGGTCTTGTTTGACTTCAACTATTCTTTCTACCCCACATCTGCGCCATGACCTGCTCTGCCTTCCCCCACCTCCGCAACATTGCCCAGCTCTGACACTGTCTCACACCGCAGGCCGCCGAAATCCTCATACGTGCTTTCATTACATCGAGGCTCAACTATGCAAACTCACTGCTTGTCGGCCTCCCCAACTCCTCCCTCCACAGGCTGCAGATCATCCAGAACTCTGCAGCTCGTGTCCTCTCCCACACTAGGCTCCATGACCCTATCACCTTCATCCTTGCCCAATTCCACTGGCTTCCCATCACACAGTGGATACAGTTCAAGATCCTAGTTCTCACCTTCAGAGCCCTCCACTGTCTTACACCCCCCTACCTCACCAACCTCCTCCCACTACCAACCTGTTCACTCCGACCTGCTTCATGTCCCCCGGCTTGCTTGCCCCACTATTGATGGGTGGGCCTTCCGCCACTCTGTACCCACCCTATGGAACTCCATCCCGCAGTCCCTCCGTCTCATTCCCTCCCTCACCACGTTTAAGACCCACCTCAAGATCCTCCTCTTCGACTATGCTTTCGATCTCCTTGCTTCCCCCCCGCCCTCCACCCTCCCCCATCCCGACCCTCAGCTCAGGTCCGTAGCTCTGTCTGTCCAGCACCTCCCAACTTGAAAGGTGCTATACAAATGTTATTTTGTTGTTGTTGTAGAATGAATATGTTCCACTAGGGAATGAGGGTTGTCCCCAGAAACAAGCCCCAATCCCCTCCCCCCCACCCCCACCCCAAACTCATCTAGGCCAAATTTTCAATGAACAATGCAGACCTGAACCATGTCTTCAAGACCACACAAGCAAGTCAGGTGTCGGGGTGGCCTTTCTGGCAGGGCAAGCCTGGCCTGAGGCTGGTGATTAAGTTCTCAAGTGAGCTCTGCGTTCCGGTATCTCCGCTTCCTCTTGTGAGAGCACATCAAACTCCTCAGATCGGATGCACTGCAGTACCAAACCCAAACTAACTGTTGCAAAAACACTTACCAGGGTAAAACTCTTTGGTGATGCTGCCCAGCGCTTGATATTGGTCAGGCTCCATTCCTGTATCACCTCTTTTGTTCTCTCATCCACACGCATCACACTTTCCTTGGTAATTCCCAGCAAACGTGGGACAAGCTTATTCTTCCCTTTCATTTTCTCCTACAAAGGGTTCAATACATTCATATTAGTTCACTGCATTTCTTGAGAATGCTTAAAGAAACATAGCCATCTCAATCTGTAATACAAGTCATTTCTCACATTAAGGTTCACTCCATACGCTATAGTCTATATGGAGAGCTTGCCTTAATAATATAACAATGAATAACACACATTAAAATTTTATTACAATTTCAAATAAATATTCACCTTAACCAAAAAGAAGGACACTCCATATGTCTTCAGTGAGCGGGCCAGCTTTACGTACAGCACTTTAGCCTCCATCTCGGTCATGTTTGCGCAGTTCTTATGTGCCTATGTAAAAAAAGAATATTTTTATGGTTGTTTGATATTTGGCTTCGGGCTTATGTGCAAATGAGAGAGAGAGAGAGAGAGTGTGTGAGAGAGAGAGAGAGAGAGAAAGAAAGAGAGAGAGAGAGAGAGAGACAAGACGGAGAGAGACAAGACGGAGAGAGCAAGAGACGATGGTTGGCCACCCATGGTTTAATGTAAAGTTAGTGACTGTATTTACAGTCAATTTGCACACACAATAAAATGAAATCTGTCTTCAATTTGAAAATTGAAGAATACATCCTGCGCCACAGAGAGGAGACACTATGAGTTGACTGTGACACAGTCAGTCTCCAGCAGGATATTCTGTCTGGTGTCGGGAGTCCCTACTGGTTAACACAGTAGAAAAACGCCAGTTGGAAGGAAACTTGTTTAAGAGAGGTTACTGAGCCAGTCAACATGAGGCACTGGAATTAAACGTCTGAAAGGGAATAGCACTATGGTGCAGCATATGTTTGGAACATCAAAGCACAGTGCCACAGACATGCAGAGGCAAAGGTAAAATTCCTCTTATTCTCCTTTTTCCAATAGTTCCCAAATCTGTGGTGAGGCATCATCAACTGAAGGCCAGGTCAGGACTGAGTCATTGGCTCACCCTCTTTCTGTAGGTGGTGTGTTCTCTAGATTCACGTGGAGGTAAAAGGATTTCATCCACTCATTAAACATAAAATCAAACTGAAATCATACAGGCTCAGTAACACCTCCAAACTAGATCCCCAGCAGATATTGTCAGTGTATTTAACCAAAACACAATTGAATACAAACTATTTGACACCCACACCCTCACTTTCATCAAACAAGTCCTCGCCAAGCTCTACTTACTACTCTGTCTCCCAACCGATCAACTTCAAAATCCTCAACCTCACCTATAAATCCCTTCATGCCCAGCACCTCCCTCACTATGTCCCTTATCTCTAGAACTCCCTCTACCCCTCCACCTCAATTTCTCTCTATCTGTCTTTAAAGACCAGCAAATAAACATCTTCAGTTGTGCTTATGGTTGCCTCTTTCCTCGCTCAGTATCTAACACAGTCTCTGTGAAGCACTCCGCTGTATAAAAGCAAGCTATTGTTGCTGTTGAACAATCAAATCACTCGCTAGCAACAGTTTGAATTTATAAAGATTCATCCTGATGATGAAAAATGTTTTCCGACAATTGCAAACAGAACTACCTTCACATAATATAGGTCTCACTGTCTGCTCACATTTTAACAAAGGATTCAAAGGATACCAAATTCAGCACAACCTCTTCCCCCGCAAAGCACTGAAATTAATATGTGTTGAGTCAATTACGCAAATCATTTTGATCTTCCTACAGTATAGCAAAAGAAAAACATTCAGTGTCAGGAGCAATGACCAGCCTTTCCTGACACCAGGTTTGGCCTTTGTAAAAATAGACTCCTCGTGTTTCCTTTCCAGAAAGTCTGCCATTTCCCTACAATGCACAGCTGATAATCTACCCTGCCAAGGCTCCATCAATGCATAAGATGCAGTGAAAATCTAAAACCACCTCCATTGGCCCTGCCACAGGATGGAAGCAAATTCACAATATGACAGTGACCCTGCTTTGCAGCAATGTCCAGGGGAAAGTCTGGGCTCTTATTTCTTAACATGTAGACATTTAAAATGCAGCTTAGTTAGACTGAGATTAGTTTCAAGAGGAGGATAAGTCAAGCCAAGTCACATTTAAATAAAGATTTAATTGGGGGTGGGAGGGGACACTGGAAGCAATTTCATTAGATTTTCCAATTGGTATTGGAACGTGCAAGAGTTTACACAAAGGGACAGCAGATCCACAATATTGTGTCATCTTGTTTATCCTTTTCCTTGGGAATTCGTAAGAGGAAACACAAGTCAGAAAGGACAGGAAATCAAATGCCTGTCCAATTGTATTCATTTAATCATACCATGAATATTTTCTTTTCCCCTTTCTGTTTGATGTATTCTTTAGGCAGGAATTCTTTCAAGCTAAAGAAAAAAACAAAGAACATAGAGGTAAGTTTAATTTTCTGTAATGATTTATTCACCAGTCTTCCTTTTTAAAAAAAATCCAAGTCAAAATATAATTTGTTTTTAAAAACAAAGCACTCACATCTCAAAGCACTTCACTGGATGTACTATAAAAAGAGAATTGACTTGTTTTGGGGAGCAAATGGAGTTCTTTTGATATCTTCATTCTCTCCACCTCATACTCCCCCACCCTCCACCCCCTCATCCTCCTACCCTCATTCCCACGCCCATCTGAAGACATTCTGACTGGGTCTTGGGCTACCTCCTCCCTAACCCTGTCAGTTTGGGGTCCCACAATCGATGTCTTTGTAAAGCACTTTGCTATGAACATACAGACAATTTCCAAGACACTAAATCAATCAGCTTGCACTGATGCAGCAGCATTTATGTCAAAGAATCTCTCAATGCGCTTGAAGAGATCAGTGGACAAAAGGGCAAAAGAAGTGTGAGGAATTTTAAGGCGATTTAAGTTGCTTTCAAAGGAATGGGTCTTTTGAGATTTTTGAATGCCGGTAGAAAGGCAGATTATTTGGCTTTCAAAAGGAGTCTCAAAGGGCTCAAAGGCAGAAAGCTGGTAGTGCAGCAGAGGGCACGAGGCACAAGCAGTAAATTAAGTTAGCTGCGGAGTTGTCGCCCTGGCGAAGCTTGAACATATAGGATGGAGCTTGAGATTTGTAAATTGTTCTGCTGAGGAGACAGGAAGCCGGAGATGCTTGGAACGATGCAAGTGTGGGACTTGGTACAGGCCAGGCCTCAGAACAGTCAAGTTCTGGATGCATTAAAGTTTGTAAAGTCAGTTACTAAGTCAATGCTTCATAAGACCTTAAGATTCCCTTTTGACAATCGCTGTATTTTCATATTGAAATCAATCTTTTCTTTCCTGATCTTCCTCTGAATACCTCCAGCCCTCCTGATGCCAACCCCCTACTTGGGTCCAAATCCCTGACTGTCCAGCACCTTGGGACGTCCTCCTGATGTGAAAGGCACTATACCAATGTAATTTGTTGTTGTTGAAGACAATTGACTCATTATTTTTCCTTCTATTGGCATCTGGGTCCACAGCCACCAATCGCCCTCATGGACAGTTTCTCACAGATGTGATTATTAATCATGTGAGATCCTTGCCACACTCTATAACAAGGGTGATTGGTGGAAGGCCATCACATATACATATACATTTTCAACAACAACAACAACAAGATTCCATTTATTGAGCGCCTTTCACGTCGGGAGTACGACAATATGGAGACAGTAATGGAAAGTCATGTAATACAAGATCTCCAAGTACAAGAACTTGAAATGGATTGAAAGAAATGGTGAGAGGTTTAGAAATATGAATGTGCTATTGTGCTGTCATTCATTCATTCATTCATTCATTAATTCATTCATTCAGTCATTCAGTCACATTTGTGGTCACTTCTACCTTGAAGAGTGAAACCAAGTTACCCAGGACCTGAGGGTTGACGGGGTGCGTGTACAAAGTACAACGGGTCAAAGCAAAGCAACTGAAGTATTGTGAAATATTATATTGCCAAGGAAAGCTTTAGACAGTTTTTTTAAAAACAATTAACCAACTGTAGGTCTTACTAAATTATGGAGTGTCAAGGATTTGACCTCTGTTCTGCAAGCTCACAAATCAGGACAAAGAACCATATACATACAACAAATATACAGGAATTTGGGGGGCATAACAATTTAATATTCTATGTGAAGAGCTGCCATCCATTTCCTGTGAATTGTTTCATGAGTGAGTGATTAGGGTTAGATTATTGGCCCCTTCCAATGGCTCATCATGTTTTTGACAATAGCAGATCAGGAAAGTCCCTTTCAATCTCTCGTCTTTGCTAAATTGACTGATTTCAATTGGGAAAGCACTTTGGGCACCACAATCTAGCGTGTCAAGGATCTCGCATGATTAATGGTCACTATCCAATGGAAACTATCCACAAGGGCAACTGGTACCTGTGGACCCAGACCTCAGAAGGAAAAATAATGAGTCAATTGTCTTCAGAGGAAAAAATTTGCAAAACAAAAGCACCAATTTCAATAGCTAAGGTCTAAGGAATCTAAAGTCTTGTGAGGCATTCACTTAGTAAGTACATTTTAAGACATTTTACAGCATGCATTTTGTTTTACATGAGCTTATTGTAACAAAACAACAAAGGAAAGATTGTCTCAAAATCTAGAACTGTTAGCCCAATTTTCTCTACTGAACTCTCCCTCCACCAGCCCAAATTCAGATTTGTGGTGGGATAATAACAACAATAATAATCCTTACATTTGATATAGTGCCTTATCATGACTTCTAGACATCTCAAAGCGCTTCACAGAATATACTGTAAAGTAAATGGACTGTATATTTGTGGATGAAATGCGGCAGCCAATTGCGCACAGCAGTGTCCCACAATCAGTCAGGATTTCCAGGTACAGTTTCCAAGTGATCATTCAGTGTCCCCCTGAACATTATCACTTGTCTCAAAGGTGAACTCTTTGGGTTGCTCACATGAAATGAATATTCCCTTGGATCCACTTGGGAAGACTGGTTGGCGATGTATAAATTCGTAATGTTTGACCTGACAGAAAATAAGTTCAAAGTGTATTTTGCATCTATTCTGGGGGCTGAAATCACTTCTCATACCTGTGCAAATCACTTCTCATACCTGTGCAAAGCCCTTTTCTAAAACTGGAAGCTTTGATAAAAGGCTGGTACTCACTCCAAGAAGCCAGGTTTGTGCTTCAGTTCATTGTGTGGTCCAAACTGAATCTGACTCTGATACCCTGCAAAGTCACAGGCTTTGTCAAAGGAGACAGGATGAGAACCATTCAGAATATCGTCTCTGGCCTGAAATATACCACCACAAATACAAAAAAAATCAAAAGTCATAAACAGCTCTGACCTACGGCATACATGATTCAAGAGGTCACGCGAGTTTTCCAGGAATCTAATTTAATTTGTTTTTGGTTTTGCAGGTGCACTAGGGGGAAAAAAAAGGGAAAGAAAATCTTTCAAGAAATAAAGGCTGGGAGTTTCAGGAGATTACTGGAGCTGGGGAAAAAAAATCCCGCTCTGCCAAAGGTACACTCAGTTACCGGAGAAGCAATCAGAATGTTTCGGGTGGCATTGGAGACATGTGAGGGCAGGAATTCTTCCCTTCCGAATAGGGGCAGATGTGGAAGCTGATTACAATTAATCTTAGGCAGTGAATCCAACACCCAGGGTTTTAAAACCAGCACTCTGTTGGAATTCGAGATAGGAGGTGTAAAGAGTAAGAGAAAGGCTGTGTGTGGCAGGGCAATGTGTAACCTGCGACTTTTTGAACGCTGTACTAAAATAAAACTTTTTGGGGTTCAAAGTTCCTTTCCTAAATTCCTACATTCCTAAATTCAGTCTGAACTGAAAGAAAAACGTTATTGCTCTTCAACTGTATCCCCAAAATTTCAACCAATCCTTCAGATGTCGCTCCCCATCAGTTCCAGCCTTTTGGGGTTTTTATATCTATATAGTTTTGTGCCTGAAATACCAACTCCTCGGGACAATCTCAATAACAAGTGAAAATAAATACTGCTCAGCAGTGCTGGGGGCCAAAAGGTTGTTTCTGCTCGGGGGTGGACACTGCCATTCAGGATATAATAATGCAAGAAGGCTTCAGAGGTCTGAAATTCCATCCTGTAAATCAATATAGCACCACAAATTTTTGACTTAAAATTTAAGATTGGGCAGAAAGGTGGAACATTCCTAAATTCAGTCTGAATTTAGAAGCTATAAAGAGCTGGAAAAANCAGGCTCCCAAATTAAGATTGAATTGAAGGATGGTGCATTACTCTAAATCACCTTAGGATGTCCTTTCAAATGGAAAGGATTTTTCCCTTTTTCTGCATTCCAGATAAAACACATGGGGAACCTTATTTGAGCTGCGTAACATAAATGTTTTGTTTAGCCTGCAATTGATAAGTCCTGCTGCCTTACCTGCACATAGAGTAAGTTCAATTGCACCGGATCTCTTGAATCAACATTTTGATCTGAATAGAAGAATTTTCGCCTGAGAAGTAAGGTTTCATTTTCATCGACTCCTTGTTCTCGAAGTGTTCGCCCATGGTCCAACCAGTTCACTGCAAACAGCAAACACAGGAGCATGAAAACACAACTGGCCACAGCAACATTCCCCACATCCCATGGAAGCCACAAGGCAAAAACCTTCAAAACTTAACGTTGCTCTCAAAAATGACAGGATTCCAAATGGGAGCCCGCTAACCTTCCAGTTGAGTTTCAACTGAATTAAAATATCTGCATAGCCCCCAAAAAGGTAATAAACCAAAACAGCATTGCATTTTCAGATTTTATATTTTACCTCAAAACCAACTGCGCAAAAATATCTCACCTATGTCCATAATACAAAATCACTACCCCGCAATGTTATTTTTGAAAGCTACTATCGAATCTGCTTCCATCACCCTTTCAAGCAGTGCATTCCAGATGGTAGCAACTCATGCATAAAAACATTTCTCCTAGTCTTCAGTCTGGTTCTTTTGCCAATTGTCTTAAATTTGTGTCCTCTGATTACCCATCCGCCAGAAGAAACAGTTTCTCCTCTTATATACATACAGGCATTGATAAAATAGCCACTCACAATCATCATCTGTGTGCAGTTTCTGCTTCAGTTTTTCCATTTTCTTATCGTCTCTCAGCAGAGTTTTGTCTTTCTTCAACGTCCCTGTCATTTCTTCTTTCTTTTCTTCCACAATTTCATGTACAAGTGAATATTCATCGTGGTTTGTGATTCCTACATTTTGTGAAAAACACAAGACACATGGAATTCCATTGCACTGTACAACTTCTCCACAACCGAATGAACGCAAAATATATTATCACATCTTCTAAAATAAAATTTCTGAAAACGTTCAAGCATAAGAATTGAGCGCAGTGAGCCAAGCGCTTCCTGAATGTATGAAGCAAACTTACGCTGTCAATACTACTCCTTTTTGTTTTTTAAGATACATTGCAATCAATCAGCGTTACATGCACACATTGTACATTACCACAGCTTTGAGTGCTACCAGAAGCAAGGACTCGAAATCAGTTTACACACTTCATCAATTCATAGCCTGAGACACTGAAAGATGGAAGAAAACTGACACCCCATTGTCTTGCTGCCGCTTCAGCTATGGAGGGTCACTGAGGCCAAGAGCAGTCCATTCACACGCCAAAGCAACTTCGGAAACAGACCCTGAACTTGGTACTTTCCCAGCACCAGGCACAGACAATGTATTACCCAAATTGGCAACATTTCTCAAAGGAAACTTGGCCCACACATTTGCTCAGAGACCCTTCCAATTGCTGCAGGTTGTAAGAAGTGAGCTAACTTGAATGATGTAGGGGTTCCTGTATTCCTGGGTAGGCTGCCAAGCGGTCCATAGGAAACCCAGGTCTGATGACTGCTCAGAAGGCTCAACGCAAACTTAAAGCAATGAAGCCTAAAGCAGAGTGCACATTAGAGGCCATATTCTGTTGGCCAGGATAGATGGAAAGAACAGAGCCTGTGCAGCGTTCAGAATTTGGTTGACAGCATTCTACTGAATGCAAACGCCAGGACCAAGTGCTTCCATATCTGCCAATGTTCCTCTGGTGTTGTGGGGCTGCTTAGGTCTCGTCGGGGCTGCCTTAAGCCTTCTGTACTCTCTGAACACATGCAGAGAATGTCTCATAAACTTGGGCCATTCAGCCCATCAAGCTTCTCCCTCCATTATTGGATTTTCTTTCAATTCAATTTCCCCACACTCCTTAAAACGTAAACTAAACAATCAACCACCTTTCAAGCATCCCAGTTGATTCTGGCTCTACTGCCTTCTGAGACAGTGTATTGCACAACTCTGTGTCAATGTTTCTTCACACACTACAGAGATGTGGCAAGAGTGTGCTCTCAGGGTGGAGATGTACAATCCAAGAGGGTTAGGTAGAATTTGCGAAGCATAATAAAAGTAGCAGCTTTGGAGGTCTTTAGATATTTCCTGCCCAACTCACAAAAGGCCAAGTCCCATGTGGAGCAGTTGGCCTAGCTCTGTGATGTCTTTTCTCATGCCAAGTCTTCAGGGGGGTATGGCTTTAGGGAATTATTATTGCACCAGAGGGGAATTTTAATCTTCCTACCTATTCTGGCACAGATTGTCATCAGCATGTCGCTCACTATTTTTGAGTCATCCACCATAACTGTTTTGATACTTCCATCCAGCATTCTGATCTTCAGAGGCCTATGCTTTCTCTTATAGTCCAGCGTGTCCTGAAAGGGGTGGAAAGAAGATGATGAGAGATTTAGAACCTGTCCTGCCACAGTTTATAAAGTAATACTTTATTTTTGCAATGGGGAGGTCCATTTCTGTTTTGATAAGCCAGGCTGTCAATGACTTGGGATGTCCTCTCGAAAGGCACAATTTTATTTTTNGGAGGGGGTGGGGGTGGTTGGTCAGCTGGATGTCCGACACATGTTGAAACCCATCACTGTGCTTAAGAGTATCCAAACCAAACTGAAAATTCCATGCATTTCACCTACACATGGACATTCCAGAGACAGAATGTGCTCTCTCACCCTGGAGGGATGTATCCTGCTTACCTAATTCCGGAAAGTATTAGCTGTTGATTCACGCGGAATATAATCACCGTAATTTAAGAGTATCCAAATCAAAACTATTGAGTGTTCCACAAGTACGTGGTGTAATGTTTGTCTCGAAACACTACAAAAAAAGAGCAATGGGACCAAAAGTTCTGAAGTTTCAAAAAGATGCACCATGGATGATGGCAGGTTCATTCCCAAGGGGAAAATAAGGAAGTCACACTACAACAGAACATTGCCCAGATGTGTGGAAGGGGTTACAAACAAACTGAAATGAAGGCTAAGATTCAATTTTCTTCCCTCAAATTTACATTATATCATAGGACAGAGGTATGAGATACAAAAGAGAAGTATGATGAACTTACTCCATTCCTTAACATGTAATAGTCCAAGGCTTTGGCAGACTCCAACCAGATGCCCTTCTTTGGGTCCTCATCGGACAGAAATAATCCATAATCATTCGCTGGAAGGCAATAAATCAAACATTGTTACAATGCAATCAATAGTTTTCAGAGTAGAGGAACAATTTGGTGCATTTGATCGGTAAAAATCATTTATCAAATTAGCAAAAATCTGGTAAATCCCTGCAACATACAAAGTCTGATGTAGTTTACAAACTGCAAAGTCACTACACTTTATAGTAATCTGAGATGTCCTCCCCATATGAAAGGCACTTATCAAGCGAAAGGATTACTATTAAAGTAGAGGAAACCAAAGTTAAACATAAACATCAGGCAAAACTGTGACGTGGCCAAATGGCCCCTTAAGCTTAGACACTTAAGAGGTGAAGCAATATATTATTATGTATGAGAGCATTCAGACAACTGCACCTTAACTGGCTGACATTTCCTGTTTGGCGCCTGTCGAGCTATTTTTGCTCGTGAGCCAGAGATAGACGTTTGCCTTAGTCTGGCTGTAATTTGTCTTTACTTTTAAACCAAGCAGTAAGCTGTCAAAACAAAATCTGTCCATACATCAATTTCAACATATACCAGGTGTTATACCAAAGACCTGGTTATGGATTTTGCAGTAGGACAGTGATAAAGGTTAAACATTGCTGTCTTCACGAGACAGCATTCTCTAGCCAAAATAGTAAGGAAATGATTTGCTTCCAAGCATTCGCCAACTCTACGCTAACAAGTTATTTTGAGATCTAGGAATAGCATTAAGGTTGTTCGAGCTGTGATCTTACACTCTGCGGTAGCCTATAAATACAGTCACTACATATCCCAATATATCCTGTGAAGCGCTTCGAGACATCCTCCTAACATGAAAAGGCCTGTATAAAATGCATTGAATATTATTTATCATCATCAGTGTCATCACGGACAAAATTAGATACAACGGCAACAACATTCTTACATTTATAGAGCATTTTTCAATTCAGAAGGACGTCTCAAAGTCCTTTACACAGCTAACTGGTCATCACATGCAACCAAAGAGACACATTTGCATCATAATGCTTTGTATTAATCTTATTTTTGTTTTAAAACAAATGTAGATTTTGATAGTTTACTCAGACAGCACCTTGAATACTGCATACAGTTCTGGTCACTGCAATATAAGGGGCTGCCTTGGCCCTAGAGAAGGTGCAACAGGAGAATGAGGATGGATGATCCCCAGTGTTAGAGGAATAGCGGAGCAGCAATGATTAGACAGACTAGGGCTCTTCAGCCTTGAGAGAAGATGACTGAGAAAGGACCTCATAGAGGTGTAGAAAATAAGATTTTAAATGGGATTGAAAAAGTAAACCAAGATCAATACTTTAGGATGTATTAAGGCGATAGAACAAGAGGGTGTAGGATTAGAGTTGTAAAAGACAATTTCAGGATAGATACCAAGAAGTTTTTCTTTATGCAGAGATTAATCATCAACTAGAATGGGTTGCTAGGAAAGATGACATAGTCCAGGATATTAGATTAATTTAAAGAGCAACTTGATGCAGTGATCGGTAGTGGTTGCAATTAATTACGCTGCAATTAATAACTTGCTATGTAGCTGTATGTTTTCAATCTACTTTGAAGGGTACGAATGAAATGGGCCATTAAACTGTACTGAATTATGCATCAGAAGCCTGCTCGTCCGCTCGTTAAAATTCCCATTCAATTGAATGCATGCACACACATATATAGTGAATATGTATATATAGATAAAAATATATTTATTCGCAAGTGTAACATTTTCAAAACAAAACCAGAGGGTTTTATTTCTCAGTGAAACATTCCCTTCTCTTCCCCTGGTCCTCAAATTGAGTGAGGGCCAAACAGTGAAAGATCAGCTGCCATAAAGTCAATGGTTAGGAGGAAAAACTAAATATGGCCTTGGACATTAAACTAAAAACATGGCACCATGTAAATTGTTCACACAGAATCTTTGCATTTGGTTAAGATTACTTTTGGTATTGGCCCAAAATGTCCAATGTGCAACATACATTTCTGACCACCATTAATGCAAAATATAATTCAAATGTATGATTTTGTCAATACAGAAAACACAACTCAATAAAATTCTCTTTCCCCCATACTACCCCCCCAACCCGCACACTTTTTTTTTTGCTTTGCCTCACAATGCCAGCAGCCCTGTTCAGGCTAAATGAATCTGATTTTTAAATACCACTGCCATGCAAAAAGCAGTAAGCATGGAGAAAATAGATGGAATTAAGAAGAAGCACTTTTAATGCAACTCAGGTGATGTAGTGCATTGAGCGACAGCTTATGGACTGAGATCCCGCTGGTTTGAATCTCGGTTTGCGCAAAGCTTTCTGGTCTCAGCAGTGGGGAAAAATATTGTAAAAGTAATTGGATGCAATAAATTTTAAAAAATGTTACTTCTGGAAAAGCAACAAAAACTTGTGTAAAGAAAGGAGGAACAGTGGGTGACTTACGCTGTCCTGTCTGTGCCTCAGGAACTCGGTCACGGATCATCCGACAGGCATCATACACCATTGTCGAGGGCTCAAACTGCATCGTTTTGATGGCATTGCCAACACCAATCTTCAAGGATAAGGCAACCATGATGTCCTTCTCGTCACAATTTTATCTACAAAATAAAGCACCACTTAAACAAAGCCATCAGATCGGGGAACCTCAATCTTTCAAAAGAACTCTCAACCAAAATATTGGTTTAGATTTGAGTCATTTTACTCCTTATGCAAACACAGCTGTGGCGTACATCGTGTGTAAACACAGGTATACAAAGGGAATTAAAGGTATCCTTAATTACATAATCATCAACAACATGCATTTATATAGGACCCTTCACATATGGAAACATCTCCATCCAGTTTACAGGAATGACTATGTGCACATTCAAAGAGGTAGGATTTGATACAGGATGTAAAAGATAGAAAGAGAGAGGGAAACGAGATGGCATAGTAGAGGGAGGTTTAGAGATTAGGGGAGTAGGAAGTGTAGGCTCAATCACTGATGGTGACCATAATTCTTTGTGGTCCACATGTTGTCTCAGTTCACTTGCTTATCGTTCTGTAAATAAAATGATGTCTCAATCGGACATGGGCCTGAGCGGCTTGTAATATTTCCATCTACCAAAGAGCATTTGAAGTATAGCAAAGGTCTTGTAGAGTCTGATGACCATAAAGGGGGTTCACTGTGGTCTGGAAAGGCACACTTACTAAAAAGATAAACGCTTGCAAGGTGCAATTCTAGAATCAAAGGGATGCAGTGCCTGGATGTGTGAATGGCCTGCGTGCTTTAATAAGAAATGCCTTACATTTCTGCAATATCTTTCAACTTGAAAGACTGCATTGACCTCAGGGCATGCTGGTAAGTGAACACCTTGTGCAAATGTATGAGTGCAGCAAGCGGTAATCTGGAGCAAACTGGCCAGCAAGTAGTGACCACCAGTGGCGTGCTAAATAGCCTGTGTCGGGTCACAAGTTTTTCAATGAGCTGCCTTGCACAATTCACAATGAAAAAAAAAGCTAACATAGCTAGGGTGTAACACATGCCAGTATACACACTTGCCTTTGAATAATAATAATCTTTGCATTTGATATAGCGCTTCATATATTTTTTATATAAAATTTTTTAAAAGCCTCACAAGCGAGAGACCTGAATTTGATTCCTGGCAGGGCGATACCTTGGGCAAGTTTCCTTATTCCACACACCTGATAATAATCCCTCAAGAAAAAAACAATAATAAATTGGTCACTTCAATCCACAACAGTTTGTGGCACACTGCTGTGTGCACTTGACTGCCACGTTTCGCCCATAAACATGCAGACAATTCACTTTACAGTATATTCTGTGAAGTGCTTTGAGATGCCTAGAAGACTTGAAAAGCGCTATATCAAATTCAAGGATTATTATTATCATCACGTCTTTGAAACATCTCAAAGCGCTTCACTGAATACACTGTAAAGGGAATTGACTGCATATTTTGTGAGCGAAACGTAGCAGCCAATTACACCCAGCAGTGTCCCACAAACAGTCATGGATTGAGCGACCAAATTAGTTTTTTAAGGAATTATTACCCCCGGAAAAGCGATCCACCAATCAATTAACAACCAGGTTCCTACTTTACTGCTGGGTAAATAGAGGCGTGCAAGTGTAAGGAAACTTGCCCAACATTTCGCCCTGCCGAGTGCTCTAACCACTAAGCTACAGGACATATGAACCAGAATCAACTCTGATTAATGTTTGGATCATCAGTTTGGAGTGAAATTAAATAAGTCAGTTCCATTAGGATGTAGGCAGTGGTTTCAAAAGTAAAACTGTTTGCATAAAATTTAATTCGTTTTAGAAGAGAATCTTCTTTTCCAGTAGCTCCTTCAGCTAGCTATAGCTTTTATTGATAGCACAGGAATGTCTATTTGAGGACCATGTTAGTGGCGAAGAGTCCATTTATTTTTAACCAAAAGTGTTTTTGTGGTTACCACATAGACACAAATAATCTCAGTTAAGCAGCAAGGGCTGGTCTCACTGATGGGCAGACAGTTCACTCAGTGATAATGGGTTTGGGTGAAATGTACTCGTCAGGCGTGAAAGATGACAATGAGCAACGATTAGACAAACTGTAATTATAATACTTGCATTTGAAACCGCGCCTTATTGTTTTTAAGGAATCTCAAAGCGCTTCACAGAATGTAAAATGGATTGGCTGTGAATTTGTGGACAAAACACAGCAGTGTTCCACAAATAGTCGTGGATTGAATAAACATTCTTTTGTGTGTGGGGGAGAAGGGATTATTACCCCTAGAAAGCTATTCGTCCATCGACTAACAACTGGGTTTCTACTTACTGCGAGGTAAACCAAGGCGTGTTGGAGTAAGGAAACTTATCCAAGGTTTTGCTCAGTCTCCACCCTCGAACCTCGATCCTTTCGCTAACCACTACACCAAGGACTCCTCTACGGTTAATTGCTCCCCTCAATCATCTCAACGTTAGAGAGAAAAGCTCAACCAGTCCGTCCAATCTTTCTTGATAACTGTATCCACTCATCTCTAGAAAACCCCTTGTAAATCAATGCTGGACACTCTCCAATCCTACAATATCCTTCCTGGAATAAGTTTTCCCCAAGTATAGTATTTATCAATTTCCTTTTAAAATGCTGTCACTGGTTAGCAGCCAACTGTCACAGGGCATTCTACACTCTTAACTATTCTGTTTTGGAAACAAAATCTTCTACCCTCCCTCTTTTCTTTATAAGATAGCTTGAGGCACCAGTGTGCAGTTAAACCCTTGCATCCTTCGAAGATTAAATCTTCATTTGGACATCTACATCTTCACACGTTTGACATGTTTTACAGATGTTTTGAACAACAAAAAAGAAGCTAATTTGCAACTTCAATGGCAAGTGCATGAAAAAGCTGCTAAAATTGGTCAGGAAACCCCTAGAGAAAGACAAGAGACACATTCAGAGAGACTGAGACGCAGAAAGACAGAGCTTTCCTTTGATGACAATACAGCAGACAAAGGAAACAATGGGTCTGTTTTAGCACCAGAAACACCCCCCATCCCTCCCCTCTCCACCTAAACTTCTCAGAGCAAACCCAAGATTCTGTTACAATCTCACCATCCCCACCCCCAAGGCCACAAACTGAGGTTTCTGGAATGCTCCTGTCAAACAGGTCGAAAAGCAGCGATGTGATTCTCTTCAACTGTATCTGTGCTGTAATCCTGGCTAAAACGAGTTTGTTTTTCACTTGGTTTAAGTTTGATCAATATCTGTGTTGACCAATTGCTGGGCGATTGGCACCCATGTGGGGGTGCTGGCATCAGGCACTACTCCGATGCCACACTCCAACCAGGGCTTTGCTGGCACACCTGCCAGACATCGCAGGCTGCCGTGGTGAAAAATACACCCATGCCCAAATCCTTTTAGCCATTCTTCTTATGATTAACATTATTACTTTTCAGATCCCTCCTCCAACAAAGAAGGACTTTCAGCAGCAGATGGTTTCAGTCACACTTGTGCATGGACCCCTTAGGATAATAATAATTTTCCTTGCATTTGATATAGCGCCTTATCACGTCTTCGAGACGTCTCAAAGCCCTTCACAGAATATAATGGATGATTATATCCTGGTCCCCATCACTCAAGGGAAAAAGAGACCAAGAGCAGTCACCTGATACTGTCACTTGGCAGTCAATCAGAAAGAGAGAAAAAAACTTTGTCAAATTAAATACTTTCCGACACTAAGGTTCCTTTAAGGAAAGGGGAAAGAAATCTTGGCTTTACTTCCTGAAATACAGTAACCGGTTTACTTTACAAACCACACTGTTTTGTCATGTCTCTGGATGTCTGAGCTTTAGAAGCTGAACTGGGCACAGGACATTTACTAGAAAAAGTTCCCACCCAGAAAGGTACAGATTTTCTGTCTCTCTGCTGATGTTCGAAGGAAGGCAACATGTACAGAAATACTTCAGTGAGTGAAAAACAATTCAAAGCCAAGCCCAGAGTTTGACATACTCATCAATGGATCACAATGGGGCAGAAAATAAAACATTCCACTTCCTCATCCTGGTTATGTCAGAAAGTACTTGTTGTACCCTCGACTGCACAAATGTACTTACATTTGATACAGAGTCGAATCACATTTAAAAAATCTGAGAAGTGCTCATTAGAACAAGCAAGTTCATTTGAAGTGTAAGTGACTGATTTATTGGAAAATTGAACCGTTCAAGGTTGAATTTGAATGAGGGATGAACAATAGCCAGAACAGTAGGAGAAAATCTAGGAGAAAATACAGTCACTGTAATATCCTCTTACATCAGGAGAAAGTTTTGAGATAGCCTACAATATGTGAAAGGCACAATAGCAAATGTAAGGGTTACTATTCTTATTACTATATTATCATACTCATCACAATATAGTTCGCCCACTTTACAGTATATCCTGTTAAGCGCTTTGAGATGTCGATGATGTGATAATGCACTCCAAATGCAGGGATTATTATTATAATATTGTGGGAACCAGACAAGCCTGGGGTGAAGAGCACAAGATTGGTCTGGATGAAGAATGTCCTACAGCCCAAGCGTTCACATCCTTCCAGAACACCCCACCCTACTATCCCCTGATCATATGTAGAGTTCTAACATCCTTGCCCCGGTGTAACTGAAGAGGGGAAAAGAGGGGACAAGGCGGAGGGACTGAGGCAGGCAAAATTAACTCAAACAGGATCATGTCTCGAAACACCCTGGAGTGAGAAAAAAACATTTAGTAAAGAAACATTACAGTAGGATTGTGATTGGGCTAATGAACCTATAAGGCCATTCTTCAAAATGAACACTTCAATGTCCTCTATTACTATCCCAGCTGCACATCCAACTTGGCACAAGACGGTCCTGTAGGTGTAGTTCTGAGATCTGCACAATAATACAACTACTACTAGCACTCTGGGATGCTACCCTGTGTGAGGGGCGCAATATAAATGCAGGTTGTTGTTGTAATAATAACACTTGAATTTGATATATAATAATAATAATAATCCTTGCATTTGATATAGCGCTTTTCACGTCGGGAGGACGTCCCAAAGCGCTTCACAGAACACACTGTAAAGTGAATTGACTGTATATTTG